AAGTCATCATGCTGTTTTCAACTGTTTTGATCCATCTTGGGATTTTAATTTCGGTCAGTTTATGCATATTTTTTATTATTGCATTAAATTTTCCTTTCCAAACTTCATCCAGTTCTTCATCCCAATCAATTTTGTTTGCCCAAATTTGCTGTAAAAATAGACGCAGCAGCATTGTAAACGGCAACAGATAGTTCAGCGGATCAAATGTTTTTGCAACAATTGACGACACTCCTCGTTTTGTGTATATGATTTCTGAAGGAACTTGAACATTCAGACTTAAATCGTCTTTAATTGGATCATAGTTGAGTCCAAGTGTCTTGAATTTTTCCATGTTTTTTGTATATGCTGTAATTTTCTTCTCTGTTGGAATATCACTCAATATGTCAGGATGATTTGACATGAATTTTGTTAACGGGAATTTTCCCTTTGCCATTGTTTCATTAACTTGGTTAATTATGTCTCTACACTCTGTAATTGTAGAGCCTCCATACATAAAATCATCGACATAGAAACTTTCTTTTATTATGTTTGCTATGGTGTCTGATGGTGCGTGATCAATTGCACACTGCAATATGCAAGCTAAACTCTGATATGGTGCACACTCAGTTCCGTATGTAACTGTGTTTAATTGAAATTCTCTTAATTCTTCAGCTTCATTTCCTCTCCAAATTATTCTCATTTTCTTCCTATCTTCTGGGAGGATTAAAATTTGGCGAAACATTTTAGTTATATCACCTGTTACAATAAATCGGAATGTTCTAGCCTTTGTAAGGATTTCTATGATGGAGTTTTGCAATTTTGGACCAGCACATAGTTGATCGTTTAAACTTTTGCCATTACTTGAAGCTGCAGAAGCATTGAACACATTTCTAAGACGAGTTGAAAGTGAATCTGGCCTCAATATTGATATGTATGGGATGTAGAAACACTCGCCACTCTCATCACCGTGCTCTTTCTTCTCGATTTCGCTCATATGACCTAATACAAGGTACTCTTTCATAAATTCATTGTTGAGTTTTTGATGCTCAGGGTTCTTTGCCCATAATTTCTCTTGCCATAAGAAAAATCTTAAAGTTTTTCTATAGGAATGTCCTAATGGTGGTGGATTTTTCTTCCAAATCATTGGAACTACATATCGTCCCGTTTCGTCTTTATAATGTTTTGTCTTGAACAGTTCTTCGCAATATTTGTTTTCATCTTCATTTGGCTCTTCTTCTTCCAAGGGAACCTCAAAAAACTTCAATATTTTGGTGTTGAGATCCTCATCTGATAAGCATTTATTTGCAGATTCGTTGTACGTTACAAATGATGACACAATTTTCTTGGGATTTGAATTTCTTCCACTAACCAACCATCCTAAATGTGTTTCTTGCAGTAATAATCCACTTTCTGTAATTTCTTGGATACCTCCGGCCTTGAAAATACTTGCCAAAATATCACTGCCCAAAAGAATTCCGACTGAACAGACTTTGTCTAAGTAAGGGTTTGCCAATTTTTTGTCTCCAAACATTTTCATATCCACTTGAATTGTAGGAATGTTTGATGCAATCTGTCTAACCACTAATGCTTGAGTAGTAATTATGCCGACGCTTGGATCATCCAATTTGATGGCCAAATTTACATATGATTTTGCAGTATCAAAGATGTCGTTAATTCCTTTAATTGTTACATTAGTTTTGTATTTTTTGAGAGACAGCACTTGCACAGTATGTTCTGATATATAAGTTCTTTCAGCACAATTGTCGACAAGACATGCTACAGGAATTGTTAAGCCATTTTCTGTCACAATATTTGCAATAGCTGTTGGTAATAAGCTGCAATTTTCTTCGTTTTTTGTGACGAAATTGTAAGATGCGTTAGCAGCTGCATGAGAAAATTCTCTGCATTCCTGCGACCTGGTAACTAGCGCTTTTGTTGCTGCATCATTTAAAGGATGTAGAATAGTATGATGATTCTCATTGCATTTATCGCACTTCACAGATTCCTTCGATCTACAAGGATTGCGGTAATTAAATTTATGCTTCAGACAATAAATGCATAATTTATAATGACGTAACAATTTTTCTCGATTTTCATTAGCCAATAAAGTTGGACAAGCTTGCACCATATGATTTAATTTGCAGATGAAGCATTTTTTCTCTGGGTCAATGTTACTCGCTGGTGACGCGGAATTTTCGTTATTTACTGTAACATGAGCGCGACTTATTTTGCTTTGTTTATTTTTGTTGTTGGAGTCATTCACATTATAATTGTTGCTGATTTTTTGAAAAGCTGGCTGTTTAGTGACATTTTGTCCTTCCAGTTGGTTGCATTCAGCCATCATAAATTCTGTAATCGTCTCTACATCCGCTTTTAATTCTTTTGCGCGTATAAAATCTTCATAACGACGCTTTATGCGTTCATCAAGATTTACATATCCGATTTCAAAAATCCATTGCTCTGGATTTACATCTTCAAGCTGCCTCAGATTTGCTATAATCGTAGTCAATGTTGAATAAAATTGTCTGCATGCTTGAATATCATTGAACTTTACAAACTGCATTTGCAATAATTTGCTTATGTTATGTTGCACTAAGGCTCTTGTAACTAAGAATTCCTTATCCAAAATGTTCCATAGGATTTCATAATTTTGTTCTTCTTTAGCGAGATGGTTTACTCGTTCTAGGGCTCTACCCGATAATTTACTTAGCAGGAATAACAATTTCTCCAGGTTGCTCCACTTACATTTTGAAATTGCTTTGAAAAAAATCTCTTTGAATGATTTATATTCCAAAATGTCTCCAGAAAATGAAGGGATTTCAATCTGTTGTGGCTTCAGTGACGACTTTTCTGCGTTGTTGGTAGCTATTTGATTTTGGAATGCTTGAAATTGTTCCTGCATGATGCTAGTTGCATTATTCTGAACAGCTTGCGTGTTTTGATATTGATTTTGCATCATTTGAAATTGTTGGCCAACGAGGTTTACAATAGCACTCATTGCACCACTTATGTCATTAGGCTGAGATGAATTTGCAGTAAATTCATTTGAATTTTGTCGATTATTTTCTCCAGTATTGGCTGGATCATTTAAGCTTTCTTCACTTGAAGAATCATGAATAGTATATCGTTTATTTTTGTCTGTTTTAGATAAGTTACCGGAAGTTGCCGGAACATGTTGATTTTGCTCATTATTCGTGGGTTTAACGATAGCATTTTGTTCACTTATATTATCCGGACGTGATACATTTTGCTCGTTTTGCGTATTTCTTGCGGTTTTTTCACCTTTATTCAAAGTATTTTTAGACGTTTCCCCTAATAATGCTCCATTACTAGTAGATGGCTTAACATTCAGAGGTTTTTTAGTTTCGTCTTCGCTCTCATTTTGCTTGATTTCCTCTTCTTCTTCATCATCCGTCTCAGAAATCAAATTTTCATTTTCCACCACTTCCAATTTTAGTAAATGTTCCTTAGCACATGCTGATAAACGCACCTTAAAATCTTCGTTTGTTGTTGCACTCAACATTTTGTAAGAGTTGATGTAAACTTCAGGCAAATCAGGAATTGCTGACAATTTCTCATGATTTATGCGAATTTTCCTCCAAGCAGCTCTTCGGTTGATTTCATAGAATTTCAAAACGTCTAGCTTCTTCTTCTTATCCTTACGTTCCGAACAGAATTTAAGATATTGAACCTCATATTCCTGAATTAATGCTTGTTGGAAGTCGAGTAACGCCTTCTGCTTCGTGATTTCTTCAGTTGTATCCATCGCTAAGTCAAATTTAATGTCTTTATTGGTTTATAGGAAGTGTGTAAGTGGACAGCTCTTAAGTAACTTCTCCGGCCACGAAAAGAAACTTCACCGTCAAATTTCTAAGTTTTAAAACTCAGTTTTTTATCGAAGGACCAATTTGTTTGTTGGACTTTTATCTATTAAGATAATCCAAAATTTCTGAAACTATTATTCACTATTAATAAGAACTTATTTGCTTAAGTGTTCTGATAAGACTGAATTTTATTTCATAAAAATTGTTACTTATATACTATTTTCTTAGTACGCATCAATCATGCACCTGTGGTGATGATTAATACGTCAAGAATGTTAAAATATTGTGTAATTGATAAAAAATAAGATTTTTTGCAATTCTGCAATAAAATAAGAATATTTTGCAATTCTGCAATATAATAGGAAAATATGAAATTTCAAAAACGATATAAAATATTTTAAATTATAAGACAGCTAATTAGTGCCATCTTTTAAAAATCTTAAAAAATGAAAGATATAAATGAAAATATAAAAATATAAAAAATATAAAAAATATAAAAATATAAAGTTTCAAGTATTTTATACTTAACATCGTGGAGAGCTCGGGTTTGTTTTATTAGCTCAGTTCTATCGAGTTTTTAGCCGATCGAACAGTTAAAAGTCTCAAAGCAATGAATTTGTACTTTAATTAATGATTTTTTTATTTCATATGAAAAACACGTAATGGGTGCGTTCAGAAATTTGTATTATTTTCTGCAATTGTAAAAATTGTAATCAGCGTGCGTTCAGAAATTCAAATCTTTTTACCAGTAAAAAATTTGAATTCCAAAAACCGTTAAATGGCACGCTTAATTCCCTCGATCAATAACACGAGGACTTTTGTAATTTTTCCAAAAAAATTTATGATCACCCAAGAGCTAAAAGTCGATAGATTTGGGTTGACTTGACTCGACTCATTTTTTCCAAGTTGACTCGAAAAAGATAAAATTGACTCGACTCGACTCGAGTCCACTCGAAAAAACCCGAGTTGACACGAGTCAACTCGAATCGACTTGGAGCTCTTGTCATAATTCGATCATTTTCATCAGTTTCAAAGCATATGACTTGTTTAAAGGCGAAATAACTTTTTGTTATAACACCAACATCCAGTACACTGTTATCTATAACAGCATATATCAAACTATAACATTTTGATTTTGTTATAATAATAATGGGCAACCCATGTGCCACGAAACACAATTGCGGTGCAAAAAAGTATGAAAAAACTACCGAACCGCATGCTGTGTGTAGTTTTAGTCATTGATTACCAACAAGGTGTGCCATGGCACAAAAAATGTTGTCCACCACTGTTTAATAATATTCCAGCCACATATTTTTCTTATCAAAATTTGATACATTCTCGCAGTGTATCCAGCTTTATATGGTATAAGAACAAATCACTTAACTTTAAATCTACTTAAGTTATTACTTTAGAATGGAAACTTATGGCTATATTAAAAATGGTAAGAAAAAAACACAATTTTTAAATTGTTTTTTAATATTTATTTTTTTAATGTCTTTAATTTAACAGTGGATGTGACTTCCGAATTGCTGTCAAAATTTCGTTTGATTTTAACAAGTTTGAGTAATGTTTTCACAGGTACATGTACAAAAGTTAAAGGAATCCTCGACAAGTACCCAATTATATCAACTATAGTCATGCTGTTTGTTTGGTGCTGTTATTCTGAATATTGGAATCTTACCAATGAGTTTAAAGCTGATCAAAAATTGAAGTTCTTAAATGGCGAAGAAGCTTGCGATATTTACAGTAATTCAAATATTTTTATGAAAATGTTTCGTCAAAGCGTTAAAACAGAATGTGAGCATCACAAGAAGATGAAAGAAATATTATGGACAAAAAGTTTTTCATTTATAGAAGTTGTTGTTAGTATGTTTTCAAGAATTCCAATTATTTATCTTGATGCGAATCTCCAAGGTGTAAACAGAATAATTTCAAGTGAAAACTTCTTTTATCGTAGCATCTTAAAGACACCATTCCTTATGTTCTCTTTAGGCATGCCATCGTATTTTATAACTATTATATGCTTATTCATCTTTGTTCAAAAATTTGCACCAGATCTAACTGTCTACAATATTTATAAAAGATTACGGAACATTTTACTTTAAATCCACTATAATCAGCATAGATCCTGGTCATATATGACGGGAAAAAATATATTATGTATATCTATATTAAGATTCAGTCAGGGGCCGTTCTCTTATAACGTCCAGAGATTGAGTCAGCAAGAAAAGAACAAAAGAAATTCCAGGAAATTCATTGTTATTTTTGAAAAATGACCGTTAAATCTTTGACGTCATAAGTGAACGACTCCTCAGCAATCAGACTGTACAAAAGAGTGGAAAAAGGGCATGGATTAGAGGGGAATGTCACGACACAGCCAAACAATCAAACATTGCTATTAGTGCTGATAAATAACTGTTAAAAAAATAAAATTATGTAAAATTTGTAAGGCTGATTTATTAATTGTTATTGAGAAATATTAATAAAGAAGGAAATCAAGAACAATGTTATGAATTACAGATTGGTAGGCAGACAAACGGATGTGGAAGCTCCATTAAATAAACTGTATCTTAATTCTTTCAGGAATTTATTTGATGTTAAAACTTCACATTTTTGTTATTTCTGTGAATTATCAGTAATTTGCAATTAATTCATCGCATCATCTTCTCCTTTTGCTTTTGGAGCTTCTTTTTTGAGACTTTCTTTTTCTCTGGCTCTTCCTCTGCTGGTTTTGATGGTGCTACCTAGGTTCTCAGATCAGACATTCTTAGATCATGTGAAAGACCAACGAACTTATGGAAAGAGGCTGTGGATAGAGACAGCGTTGCATTTGGTATTGGTAATTGGCAAGCAGTAGCCAGCGATAGAGCCTTCTTCCGGCTGCATCTGAGGGAGGTCATGGATCACAATTGAACTGTACGGCCAGCAAAGTAAGTAAGTAGAAAGACAAAAAAAAAATTAACCAATGAGTTTATCAAAAATTATAAGGATTTATAACAATATGTTATCTAGTCTATAACATTTGAATTATTACTAATCTGGTATCATGTGCTAAAAACAAATAAAAGTCAAGTACGTGTACTCTAAGTATTTCATAATTTTGTCTTTAAATGAGGAGTCTTGCTAAAGAATTTTTGAAAAACAAATTTATAATCATGATGATTAAATAAAGAGCAATAAAAAATAAATAACAAATTCTTTAGGAACAGTCTGATCAGTTTTGATCACTTCGACACCCTCGTTTCATTCTGGAGTTACATAATTCATCACTTTAATCTATTGATTTGCTTCTCGAGGGCTTCAATTCTAGCTGTCAGTTCATACAACTCCTTCTTAATGCTCTCATTTTCAAGCTTCAGATTAATTGATTGTGCTTCCAGCTCACAAATTCTCTCATATTCATTGCCAATTGGACAATAAGGTGGTGGATCTAGGAATAATAATAAAAGTCAATTGTTTTCTTAATTGCAGGTTTGACTAAGCCAAAAGCAACAACTACAGATAGAAAACCTGAAAAAGTGTCAATAAACCACAGATAAACCACAGCCAAAGCTCAAACTGGACAGACAGACACACAGACAGACAAGACCAGACCAGACCAGACCAGACCAGACCAGACCAGACCAATCGTACCGATTGCTAAAAGAAACTTCCATACCAAGTTAAACCTGAAAACTAGCCCTAATAACTCAGACAAACAGCTTACCTTCATAATTCTCAAAGCAAACCTGCAGTTCCCTCCTTATCAACTCCTTTGAATCACTCCAGTCATTCCAAAATCCATCAGCACAAAGATTCTGAAGCATATTAAACTGCATAACATTGACATTGTCTATAAACAGCTCATCAACAGCATTAATTTGATTCCAACCGAAATTGACTGTCCTCAGCTCCGGATGAACACCAAATGAAGTTGAGCTAATGACTTGAAGTTGATTGTTGTCCATTTGTAGTTCTCGAAGGTTTATTAAGGAACCAAAAACTCCATTTGGAAGCTCATAAATTTGGTTGTTTGCTAGATTTAAAGACCATAAATTGGTAGTGTTTAAAAATAAAATCGGATCAAGGTACACAAGCTGACAATTTTGTAAATTCAATGTTGTCAACTCCCCAAGTGATTTAAAAGTTTGTGGCAGTAGCTTCTGTATTGGATTCGAGTTCAGCATCAATTCACGAAGTTTTGAAAAATTCACAAAAGATTCTTCAGGAAAATATGAAATTTCAGTGTTGGTCAGGTAAAGTGCACGTAGTGACTTAGAATTTTGGAACCAATATGGATTGAACTTAGATAATTGATTATTTGAGAGGTAGACGTCCAAAAGGTTGACAAGTGGTGCAAATGTTTGGTCTGGAATGTATGAGATTGAATTGTTGGATAGCGACATGACTAATAATTTTGATAAATCAACGAATGTGTCTTCATAAAATGTGCTGATTTGATTTTCATATAGATGAAGTGATTCTAGTTCCAATAATCCATTGAAGATCCTTCTTGGTAGTTCATTTATTCTGTTCTGACTCAAGTTGATCTCGACTAATTTTCTGTTGTTTTGGAATAAATTTTCTACTAAAATCGTCAAGTTATTTCCATTAAGTTCCAAAGTTGTCAATTCCAGATTCTCAGTTAATGCATTCGCATCAATATTGGCAATCTGATTAAACCTGGCACTCAACACTTCCAAAGATTTGCAATTCTTCACTGAATCTTCATCAATTCTTGTGATTCCGATCCAAAATAAGTTTATGGACCTCAAATTATTAAATGTATCACAAATTACTGACGGAATGTTCCTTGAAGTTGAGAATGATGTTGTGCGGACCGCGACTACATCTGCATTGGTTTTGTTTGGCAAGTGAGTCATCTCGATTTGTGTAAAATTGTTAAATCCATTTGGATTGTTCAAGTTGAGGACGCAGGTGTATTCAAAGAAGTCTTCAAACTGACAAGATGCTTGTGAAGCTGCTTGATGGAAAAAAGCGATGAAGAGTAAGGCTAATAGCTTCATTTTCTTATACTTAAACTCAACAACTCAAGAAACTAATCGAATAGACTCAAAAATAATTCTGAATTTTACTGAATTTTTTAACTGTACACTTTTTCTTATCAATTTCTTAACAATTTATCAATCTTTTATCGATAATCTAAAGCTTAGTTGTTTGTTCTTAGGCACAGGCTGACCATCGAGTTGTTCATTATTCCTATTGGTGCTCTTTTGTTGGTTGACTAGCCTGGATAGCAAAAGTCTTCAGTTTAAATCCGGCTCCACGCCATAGTCATGCTGGCTTGGCGTCAAATTTCTGATTGATTAACCGACTTGTGATTTCCGGGGAAGGTAGTTCTGTGAGATATCGAATTATGTGACGGCAAATTTGACAGTGCTAGATTCTAACTTTGTGAGTCCAGTAGTATCCACCAAAATGGATGTCTGCATCCCGAGAGGATATGGATTCGATTCCTTCAACAAGCCATTCCCTCTAGTCATCCTAGTTCTGGTCTAGAGTCTAGATCAGTGTTGTCCAAACTTTTTTGAGCCACTGCACACCTTAGGGATAAGCCATTCCCAAAGTCGCACACAGCATGCAACTCGCGTCATATACAAAAAAAATTTACAGCACACCAGTGTGCCGTGGCACACAGTTTGGACAACACTGGTTAGACATTAAGTTTTGCTTGGAAATTCCTTCGATTGAAAGATTAAGTTCTTAATCTCTTTTTTCCCGTTCTTTTAAAATTCTGAATTTATTTTTTGATATTTTTCAAGGCTGAAAACATCGTTACAATAAAAACTGGACGTCATTGAAGATTAATATTATAAGCAGAACCGACAAAAGAGATTTTCTTATCAAAAAGTATACAAAAAGTTATCAGAAGTTCATCAGCTGTCGTGTGGAAAAGCTTTGCTTAGTGAATATTCAATAAAGTTGCTAAATATGAAGATTTTTGTCATAATTTTGATTCTATTGGTCAATAAAGTAGTTCTTCAGCAGCCAACCATCTCCTGTCTGTATTTTATCGACTCTTTGAGTCAATATTCTTGCGATTTAACATTAAACAATCCAAATGGAATCAACAATTTTACACAAATCACTGGAACTCATTTACCAGGAAGAACCAATCAAGATGTTGTTGTAATTCAAGGAAATCCAGCATCTAGATCGTCAATCATCCCATCAATAATCTGCGTGGCATTCGGTAATCTCAGAGAAATTGAGATGCAGGGAAGTCACATCCAGAGAATCACAAATGAAAACTTTAATGCCTGCAGCAATTTAGAGATTCTTGACCTTAGATTCAACAATATCGCAGACATTGAAGAAGATTCCTTCATTGGATGTCCAAATCTTCAAGAAGTCAACCTACAAAGCAACAGATTGACATTCCTGCATGAAAATTTGTTTCAATTCAACCAAAATCTTGAAACTTTGAACTTTGCTGTAAATTTTTTGGTATTTTTGCCTCCAAAACTTCTTTCTGGACTATCAAGTCTTAAAAATCTATTCATCAATTCGAACCAACTATCTCAAATTACTGAAGACAACTTTTCAGGACTTTTAAGCCTTCAAATCCTCAACTTGGACAGAAATTTGCTTTTATACATTCCAGACCGAGCATTTGCAGATTTAACGAATTTACGACAACTTTTGCTTAGTGAAAATTCGATCAAATATTTAAATCCAAGATGGTTTGAAGGCATGCGGTCCATTAATCAAATTCACCTGAACAGGAATCAAATTTCAGATTTGCCGGAAAATTCATTTTCAAACCTAACAACTTTACGCATCGTCGTACTCAACAGAAATCCAATTTACAAACTTCCAGCAAGAATTTTTCATCCGCTAATCAATCTCGAGGTGCTGTCTTTGGAATTCTGTGAGATTTATGGACTTAACCAGGATCAATTTGCAACTTTAAATCAATTAATCGCTCTTGATCTCACTGGAAATTACATTTACGAGCTTCCAGTTGGAATATTCAGTAATTTAACAAGTCTGACATTTTTATCATTGGCAGTTAATCCAGTAAGCATCATAAGTTCAAGTTCCTTTGGAGTTCATCCAGAATTGATAACTGTGATATTGAATTTCTGTGCTATAACAGCGATTGATGAGAAATTCATCGACAATACGAACATAACAACTCTGGCGATGAATGGAAATAAGTGTGCTGATGGATCATTTATTGACTGGAGTGATTCAAAAGAACTGCTGAGGAAGGAGTTGAGTGTGTGCTTTGATAATTATGACAGTAAGTTTAACTAGAATAAAGTCCAGTGTACATTTAGGTTCTGAGCAGGTCCTTTTTCAGAGCCCAATTCCTCCACTACTGGTACGGTAAGGTATGGTATAGGCCGTAAGGTGGTGCATTGGTTCGCTGGTACTTTATTATTGTTATTTATTAGTCGACGTTACCGTCCGGAAGAATTAGTATTTATACATGTTTTACCTTTTACATTGATTAGTGATACATTTCATATCACTATGGGTGACGTAGAATCAAGGTTCTAATCTTCAAATCTAGGTTTCGATTGAACTCAGGCTCTCGTTTCAATCTTCTGTGGGCGTGACGTGATACATTTCAGGTCCGTTCTGACAATATTCCATTATAAGGTAATCTTGTAGCTCTCGTTCCTATTTCTCCCGCTACACTTCAAGTTCCTGATCCGTTCCTAATCCAACGTTGCCCAAAATGCCCAATTATAGCTTGATCTCGTACATTAAGCAGTCGAAGTATTTAAACTTCTGAAAAAGAACAAATTTGGAAATGGCTGGATTCGAACCGACGACCTTCGAGTTACCATACCAAATTTGAGCCAAGCGCCTTACCTATTCGACCAGCCAGACACTTAACTGCTTAAGTACGCTATGTCGTACGTCTGTGGGTGGTAAATACCTTTTTTGTACTAGAGTGCCACCTTATCTTTCAATTGGTGCACTTATACCGTACCTTATAATTCCATCCCATACCGTACCGTACCAGTAGCAGAGAAATCGGACCCTGGGCTTGCTTGACCTCTTCACTAATGCACTCTTAGTACGTCCGTGAATTAGCCACAATTTTTAACAAGACCTAATTTTAAAGACTTTAATGCAGTACTAAAAACCTCAACCAAAACCAATTTTATTTTAGATCCAAACACATGCCCAGATGGCAATACCTCCGAAAGAATCTGTGAACTAGAAGCACAAGTGACCAACCTACAGAACGACAATGAAGTACTAAAGAAGGAACTGTCTGGATTGATTTATCGAGTTGAAGCCTTAGAGAAAGCAGTTCTTGGAGTTTAGCAATAAATCATACAATATAATTCATGGTTCCATTCATTAATTTAATCGAACCAGGAAAAGATGACGAAGAAATTATAAAAACTTTATCTTTTGCACAAAAAGTTCATGATCCATAATTCATTTAGCTTCGCATTTATGTGAATATTCTTTATTAAATTTATTATCGGAAAAAGTTTTTATATGTCCTCAATTAAATTAATACAAGGATGGAAAAGGGGTTGATGTGCTATTGGATATATTTTACTCCGACAGTCCAGAACTATGGACTTGGATGTTCACTGGAAGTTCATTTAAAAATCAGACCAAGCCAAAGTAGAATTCAGGATCAACATTTTCTTTTTCTGGTAACTTTAGCCAATTTGCTAAGTTTCTGAATCACACTGGATTGAATGTCCAAAATCATAATCCAAATAGGTCAAGAAAAAGCACAAATCTAGCTCTTCGTTGAGCAGAGGAACCTTTACTTTATGATCCTCGTTCAGCTCCTTCATTTCCAATAGTTCCTTATTGGTGTCACGCATCATACAAACAAATGAAAAATGTCAATAAAAAGTGAGAAAATTATAGCTGCTGCTGCCATCTACATGTGACATATTTGAACTATTATCAGCTTAGTAAAGACACAATGCAAATTATTATTGCAGTTAATGTGTCTTGGATAGATGATAGATTGTGGACAGCTATAAAAGGATCAAAAATAGAATTTTTGTAGAATTACTTCAAAGGCACTTGATACCAGCCAAGGTGCAAGTAGATAGTGGAAATGTCTAGGATAATAATAACATAAAAATTTTATTATTTTCTATCGAGGATGCAGTTTTATCTAAGAGGGTTGTTATGTCTGACTTTGTAGATTGCAATGCAACATGTAGAAGGCCGTGTTGATAGAGACAATATTACTTTTAGTATTATCAATTACCAAGTTATAGCCAACGATAGAGCTAGCTGTATTCGTCATCTGAGGATGGCCATGTCTCACTGCTGATCTTTGCAGCTATCAAAGAAAGATAAGCAATTATGCAACAATTATAGTGCATTTTTGCTAACATTTGAACCTTTTACTGCTCAGTTCTATTCTTTAATGTAAAATAAGCTTCAAATTATTATTTCTTATCACAAAAAACACGAATAAATGTGAACAAAAATTGTTTTTAAAAAAATCTCGACCGCAACCAAAAAACAAAACTCCAATCAAGTGTCACGCTCAAAACTTAAAATTCCAAACAAAAAAATAAAGCAGCAACACCAAGTCGCAGTCTCAGTATCAATAAGCTCATCTTGGTGATCAAATGCGACGGAATTTTGTCGCACTAATATTTCTCATAATTTTACTCTCAGTTCCCGATGACGAAACACTTAACCGCAACATGCTGGAGATTCGACTAAATTATCATCTTTTTGAGAGGAATAAGGTCATGGAGAGATTAGCGATCGAGGAAGAAAGTTGCGGTGAGATTGAGCCTGAGACATTTTTGAATGAGACTGTCGTGAGCGGGAAGCTGTACACTGTCGTTGAGGAGGAGTTTGAGGGGCTTTTTGTGAAAGATGAGAAGCAGATTATTAAGTATGTTTATGTTACGATTATCGTTAATTTCTAAGTCAATTAGAATTTTAATTTATGACTGAAATGAGCTGCCTGTCGTTATCAATAAAAATGAGATTTTTTTTAAGTAAATAAATTTAAAATTGTGTACAATTAAAGGTCTGTGTCAATGTGGCATTGAATAATTGTATATGAAGAGAAAATGGAACATGATTTCTTTGTTTGAATATTTTTTTTTTGTTTTTTGCGGTCAGTTGTGGCTTATAAGATCCTTATGATGATTTTCAGAGAATTCTGTTTAAGTTTAGGTGTCATGACATCAAAATATTATGGTTCATGTGCCTTCACACTAGGAATATTAGATTCAGAAGTCTTCATACTATATATTTTTCATTGAGGTGCCTTCACACTAAGCATCTTATGTTCAGGTGCCTTCACACTGGGTAACTTTTGTTCAGGTGCCTTTACGGTTGATATCCTAGATTCAGATGCCTTTACGGTTGATATCCTAGATTCAGGTGCCTTCACTCTAGATATCTTAAGTTCAGATACCTTCACGCTTGATATCTTAGGTTCAAGTAACTTCAAGCTTGACAAACTAGGTTCAGGTGCCTTCACAATTCAAAGTTTTGGTTCAAATTACTTCAAACTAGAGCTCTTAGGTTCAGGTGCCGTCAAATAAGAGTTTTGGGGTTCCGGCAAATTCACACTAGACATTATAGATTCAGCTGCCTGAAAACTAGAAATCTATGGTTCAGGTGCCTTCACACTAGATATTTTAGGTACAGCTACCTGCACACTAGAAATTTCTGGCTCAAATGCCTTCACGCTAGATATATAACGTTCAGGTGCCTTCATACTATATATCTTAGGTTAAGGTGTCTTCCACTAAACATGCTAGGCTTATGTTCCTTGAAACTAATATTATGAAAGTTATGGTGCCTTCACAATATAGTTTCTTCGAGAACTTATCATATGGGATGCAAAAAAAACTTTTACTTTCGATATGCAAATTAATTTTTATCTTTTCTCAATTTATTTTCTCTCAAAAAATATTTTATAAGCCTCAATAAAATTTAACACATTCAAAATTATATTTTTTGAGTGTCTGTCGATTATGCAGTTGACTTAGGTCATGGAAGATGTTGTGAACGCTTACCTATAAATTATTTGATTGTAAACGAAAACACAAAGACCAAAATGACGCTATTTCTGCTCTCTTTTGTTATTATTTATTTAAAATTTAAAATAAAATCTAAAAATAGACTTTGATAATCACAGCGCATGTCTATAATACTTTCCTCATGTCCTCAATATTCTGATGTTTCCCACAAGGCTAATAAATGATCTTCGCATGACTTTCTCACTTAAAAATTACGTGAAAATGCACAACTAGCTGCAATCAAAAACGATCTTGATAAAATAATAAAACAATAATTTCAAGTATTTCATAATTTCTCTTTTTTATTTTGCAAAATTTGATTTCCTAACACATGTGTCTATAGTCGATATAATAATAATAAACAAAGCTTTGTTTACAAAACTGATAACTTTTCAAATGTCATTGACGTGAGCATTGAGTCAGCAGACTTATTGTCTTTGATTTTAGTTCCTTATGAAGGGAGTGTTCCGGTTTATTTGCTTAGTATTCGATAACTCTTTTCTTAGTTGATTTAATGTTAAGGTGTTTGAACCTCAAACACCTTGAACTCTAGCGTGAAGGCACCTGAACTTTTGAACTCTAGTGTGAACGCACCTGAATATTTGAACACTAGTCTGAACGCACCGGAACTTTTAAACTCTAGTGTGAAGGAACTAAAATCACAAATTCTACTCTGAAGACACTCGAAACTCAAAAAACCAGCGTGAAGGCACCTAAATCTCAGGACTTAATTGTAAGTGCACCTAAATATTAACTTTAATAGGCATTTATTTCTGAACTATGATTAGCAGTCTTTATTCATAACATTCATTCTATTTAAGAAATTATACATTTTTAACATATTTTTTCATTTCACTTTGTAACTTTATCACATATTTAACATTCCAATATGGAAAACTTTCAATTATTTTTAAGATTTTAACAATCAATTTCAAATATCAACAGCTAGATCCATGAGGAAACCGCACGACGCACCGCTTAACAACTGTCAAAAATGTATCGTCATTCTCGTCTTTTGAGTTCGTACAGAAGAATTTTGATGACTCCGAGACGTCATTGATGTGATTTATTAAAATTTCTTCAAGAAATTTGCGTTCTGATTTTTGGGAAATTTCTTTTGTTGAATTTTTAACTTTAAATTCCTGACTTTTGTCATCAAATCCAGCAAATTTTTTGTCTAAATTTATAATTTGCAATTTCAATTCTCCATCAAAGTTCCTCAATTCCACAAAGTTTGCGATAAAAATCACACAAAAAAGTGCACAGAAAATTAATTTTTGCATTTTCTTTTAATTTTAATAACTTTCACAGTCCGAACGCTGAATATAAACTGAGTCGCAAAGTGTAAATTACATCGGAATGCTTGACGAAATAAGAAATTGTTTGTGATTACTTTTTCACACGATCTTTGTGTGATAAACAAAACTGTAAATTGCTTATTTAAAAGGAATTAAAATTGTGGATGTTTATTATGAATGATTCAGAACGTGTGCTGCTGTCTGGAGATTTAATTAGCGGATGATGTATGACTGAGAGGTTATTATGGAATTATTCAAGTACTTAGAATTATAGAATTACCAAGATTTTATACAATTTCTGGATCTTAACTACTTGATGAGCTTGTTGAGAGGTTTTTTTGATTTAAGTAACATCATTTCCTGGGCATCTTAGCTCGAGCGTAGTCTTAATGCCCATTTCAAGGGCTCTAGCGCTTTTCTCAACAACTAAGCGGATCAATTGTGATCCAGAGGTGCGCTAGGGCGTTTCGCAGCTAATGAGAGCTTAATGAGTGAGGATGCGCCAAACCACTGCACTCAAACCTAGACCTACAATTTATAGTGGAATCCGAACCACTCTTTTGATGACATTACTGCCTGTAGCCTACAAAGGAAGACTGTGAGCCTCATTTCCAGTACATATGATTCGAAAAAGAACAAGTAAAAAATTTCTCATGCCCAGTCTCGAACCCATGATCGCTGTGTCGGAATTGCAATAATTAGGTACCGAAGTACTAAACCATTCCGCCACCAAGCCACTTCAGCTCACAAGATTATTAAACCTTCGGTACACTGAACATTATCAAAGGTCTGGCTTGAAATGTAATTCGATTGATGCCACTAAACATCAATCAAGTATATGAGTATGAAGCACCAAACCACATAATAATAAATCTCATTGAGCAATAAAAGTCATTTAAGCTTTGACAAGCTTTGCATTATACTTTTTGGCTTTGTGGCACTTTCTGTGGCTCTCAAACTTCTCAACCAAAAATGTAGTTAACTTTAGAAACCACCAAAAGAATCCCCAAAGTCATCGATGCTTGTTTGTGGCTTATTAATTAAATATAAAAACAAAAAATTTTGATTAAAGTTTATCAGTTGTATTTAGGACTGCTTAAAGCTAATGTAAACGTTTTATAAGTGATACTAAATTGTATAATTTATAGCCTTACAAAAGTGACAGAACCGAATTCAAAAAATGTCCCACGATCATCCATATGGAAAGCCAGTAAATGTGCTTAAATTTACAGACACAAAGCAAGTTTTAATAGATAAAGCAGAGCTGGAGAAAATGTTTGATCATCAAGAAGTCAAGAACCGCAAAGTTGTAGTTTTCTCAATTATTGGAGCTTTTAGACGTGGAAAAAGCTTCTTTTTGGATTATTGCTTGAGATTCCTTTATTCTCATGTGAGTATTAATGTGACTTCCCATCCACAATCACTTTATGTACCTTCCATTCACAGTATCCATCAATAAACAACCTAAACAATCCCCTTGACAATCAACAAGACTGGATGGGGAATGGTGAAGAACCACTTAGCGGTTTTACATGGCGATCAGGCACCAAACGTGACACAACTGGTATAATCATGTGGAGTGATGTGTTTTTGCACACTCTTGAGTTAACTGGAGAGAAAATAGCAATTGTCGTAATGGACACTCAAGGACTTTTTGACAACGAAACATCTCCTGCTGATAATTCAAGGATCTTCGCGCTTGGAACTTTGATATCATCGATTCAGGTCTTAAATCTTGTTGGGATCATCCAGGAGGATCAGCTGCAATATCTTCAGTTTGCCACAGAATTTGCAAGATTTGCTGCTGCTGATAGTCAAGGACTTGGTGGCAAACCATTCCAAAACTTACTGTTCCTTATCAGAGATTGGAGTAATCCAGATGAATTTGAGTTTGGAACTGAAGGAGGTGATCATTATTTAAAGGATGTCCTCAAAGTCAAATCTGACCAAAAACCAGAGCTTCGCTCAGTCCGTCAGTTCATTTCTAGCTCATTTGAGCAGATTAATTGCTGTCTACTGCCATATCCTGGAAAAACTGTTGCTCGAGTCAAGACCTACGATGGCCGATGGTCAAAGATGGATGAAGAGTTTAAGGAAGAGCTGCAGAAAGTCATCGAGCACTTGCTACTCCCAAACAATGTAATCCTTAAGAAAATCAACTCAAAAGACCTTAAAGGATCTGAAATGAAGGAATACATTGACTCGTACTTCCAATTGTTCCAATCTGACACTTTACCGCAAGCTCAAAGCATTTATGAGTCAACAATTGATAAGCAGATGAGCATTTTACTAGAAAAGTGCATTGATCAATACAAACAGACGATTTTCCTTAATAATGACTTGTTGACTGAAGACAATCTTCATATAGTCCATGAAATGAGCAAGAACCAGACGCTGATCATGTTTAAAGAAGAGAAGAAAATGGGAAACATTGAGCATGAAAGGAAGTTTAAGGTAAAGCTGGAAGAACAGATGGAGAAGATCTACAATGAATGGAAAGACCAAAAGAAGATCACATTCGAGCAAATCAAGGAACAAAAAGCCAAACAACAAGCTTTATACGAAGAACAACTCAGACTCGAAGAAGAAGCTAAAGAAGCCAAGCATAGAGCAGAAATTAACTTGATAGAACTTAAGAAAGCAAAAGAATTGAAGAAAATTGAGGAGGAACAGTTCCAGACACAAAAAGCACTGCTGGAAACTAGACTAGAAGCTGAATCTCAAAGAGCTAGAGCTATTGAAGCTGAACGAGATGCACAGAAGGCACATAGAGAAGCATTGCAGGCGAGATTGGATGCAGAAAGAGCTGCAAATGCATCAAGACCCAAGAAGAAGTGGTGCTCAATTATGTAGACTGAAAATTGCTGACGTAACTTAAATAAAATGATTTTTATTGATGACTAAGAGGTTTATCTTTATTTTAATCACAATTGTACCTCAACCCGTCTTTTCTAGACGCTCTAAAAATCACCAGAAATTGCCATTTTCGAGTTCTGTGTTAGAACTTTCCGATAATAACGATGGCGTTGATGATGATTTGCCAAAATAATCATAAGAAGTTTCTCCATCAGTTGCATAAACCCACAAGTAGATATTTGGCAGTGCATCATAATTATTAGCTATATCCTCAAAATTAACACAATATCCATCCGAATATACAACTTCTAAGTTGGCAAAACCAGCTAAAAACTTTCGTTGACCATTTGGATTGCATTCGTAGCTTGAAAATGGCTTATTGTTAATGTAGACATCATAGCAGGTTTCACATGGTAAATTGTCTATTGCTGAGCTACTTAAGTAAGCTGGGGATGAAAAAAAAATTAAATTTAAAAATAAAGCAATGAAAAAATTGATATATTTGCCAACTCACCAGGAGAACCTCCAAAAACTTGATAAATTATAGAAAAACAAGCAAAAAATTTTAATAAAAACATTTCAGCAATAACTAGTGACCGTTTTGGAACTGAAACTGAAGTTTTGATTTTAATATTCGATCGACTAGCTTCGTGAAAAATCAATTTTTTTATCGGTCACGATTTTATTTTTTATTTTAGATTTTTATAATATTAACACATTAAAATTCATGATTTACAGCAATAAAATTATTAAGGATAGACAAAGGAGTCACTACTTTACAATGTGCATTTAATTTTTTAAAATCTCCATCAGTATCTTGTGTAGTTGATGATGATGACGATTGTATTGGTGACGATGAAGTTCTACCAAAGTAGTCATAATGAATATGTCCATCCGTTACATAAATCCATAAGATAGATGTTGGCAGTGTTTCATAATTATTAGCAACTAATCCAAAATTAACACAATATCCAGACTTGCTTGATGCTGGTGAGTCAGCAAAATTCACTTGAACTTTCCACTGGCCATTTGGATTACAATCAGAGTCTGATAATAGTTGATTGTTAATTAAAGCATCATAGCAGGTTATGCATAGTGGACCATTGGTGTCTGGATATCGTCCAGAACTGCTTGAGTAATGATGATGGGTTTCTAATACTCCACTATGAATCGTAGGGCGTCCACAAAGCATTTGAATCGCACTCGATTCTGGGCCAAAGCTGCTATTTCCTGCAAATTCTTGTTCTGTTGTTGCTAGCAAAATTTAAACCTCCTTAAATGATACGAGAGCTGTAAATTCACTAACGAGGGCTTTTACAAGATCGAACCCGAAGATATTGTGACATACTGAAAATTGAAACGAGAGAGCAGACATGCAAACTAGTTCTAAGATCTAAAATCAGTTTTTAATTGGCTGCTAGACACACAACTGCGTAGTGAATTTTATGCGCTACACACTCAGCTAGCGTCGATAGATTTATAAACCAGTTGCTGATTTAATTCATCTTTGAGCTCCAATATTCGAACTTCTGTCAGAAATCTACAAAATCAGCTGAAAAAACTCAAAATTAAACGCTTAGCATTAATAACATTGTCTTAAACCAAGTGAGTAGATTAAAATGTTCTTTAAAATTAAGTTTGCCAAAATCTTTAAAACTTTTATTATCAACTTCAATGAAATTCACAATTCAAGTTTTCATCAATTCCTTTAGTTCCTACCAGAACTCTTTGACTCATACGTCTCGAATGTATTTGATGAACTTGCTGAATCTGAAGAGCTTGGTGGTGTCACAGTATAAGAAGGCGATGAAGACATATCCAAATAGTAATCGAAAAACTGTGAAAATCCATCAGTGGCATAGTAAAGGATGTACTCTGATGGTATATATGAACTAAGAAAATCAGTACAGAATCCGGAAAATAAAGCATTAGAATTTGTTAATTTATAGGCTATGGAATATTTTGGTCTTCCTTGTGGATTGCATTCCATTAACGAGAACTGATTATTCATGAAAGCATCATTACAGGTAACACATGGAGGTCCATTGTCTGGATAATATTGAGAGGAGCTGCTGCTTGAGCTGGTGAAGAATTCTAAAGAAAATTGTTCATAGATTAATGAAGCTTAGCAAAGTATTAAGTTTACCAGTGTAGCTTGGTGAGCCAGCCGAAGCCAGGCCAATTAAGCAGCACAAAAACACATCTTTTTGTAAAATCATTTTAAAACTTGACTAAGGTTGTCAGAGCTCTGGAAAGAAATTGGAAAACCAAAAGTAGTTCCCATATTTATAGCCAGTGCAATCTAAAAAAAATTATTTGTAAAAATCACGATTTTAACTGTTAATTTATTTTTAATAGTTTTTTCAATCGTTTGTTATTAGAAATGTCAAAACAAGGAACAGAAGCAAAAAGATGCAAAAAAAAGTCAACAGCACGTAGCGTTCCCAAGCGGTCACCCATCTAAGTACTAACTACGCTCGACGTTGCTTAACTTCGGTGATCGGACGAGAACCGGTGTTTTCAACGTGATATGGTCGTTGACGAAAACAGGAACGACGGAATGATTTATATATGCGTGATTTTTGATTAATTTTCTATTTCGTTCCGTTCTCACTTTTCTAGATTTTTATGAAGATTTAAAGGATTGTTTGCTGTTTAAGACTTTCTTTTATTCACCGAGCACTCAATCCTAGATCTGTTAATACCAAAAAACGTCAGAAACACTAAATCAAATCAAATCAAAATTTTGATATGTTTCAAAGAACTTGACATGACTAAAGCAACTAAGAACTAAAGCGAATAGCACAAGTCGGGGAATCGAATAGATATTCGACACCAAGCTGACATGGTCCTGTCTTAGATTTAATTGAAGCAGTTAAGTGCCTTGCTGGTCGAATAGGTAAGACACTTGGCTCAAATTTGGTATGGTAACTCGAAGGTCGTCGGTTCAAATCCAGCCATTTCCAAATTTGTTCTTTTTCAGAAGTTTAGATACTTTGACTGCTTAATGTACGAGATCAAGCCATAATTGGGCATTTTGGGCAATGTTGTATTAAGGAACGGATCAGGAACTTGAAGTGTAGCGGGAGAAATAGGAACGAGACCTACAAGATTACCTTATAATGGAATATTGTCAGAACGGACCTGAAATGTATCACGTCACGCCCACTAAAGATTGAAACGAGAGCCTGAATTTAATCGAAACCTAGATTTGAAGATTAGAAGCTTGATACTACGTCACCCATAGTGATATGAAATGTATCACTTATCAATGTAAAAAGTTAAACATGTATAAATACTAATTCTTCCGGACGGTAACGTCGACAAATAAATAATAAAATAAAAATAATAATTCCAGCAATATGCTAGAGTCACACTGGCTTAGTGCCAGATTTCTGATCGATTAATCAACTTGTGCCATTCGGGGAAGTTATATTTTTGAGAAATATTATTAAAATCAACTCTTAAATTCAAATTGTCAAAATATTCAAACTTTTATTATTAATTTCAAATAAATTCAAGAATTCAATAGCTCTTTCAGTTGTTATCAGAACTCTTAGAATCATAGAAATAAGTCTGGAATGTATAAGATGAATAAGATGAACTTGATGAATCTGAAGAACTTGACGGAGACACAGTAGACGATATTAAGTCTAAATAGTAATCTATATGCAATGAATCCCCATCAGTGACATAGTAAAGGACATATTGTGATGGAATGGAAGCAGAAACATCAAAGAAATTTGTACAAAAACCGGTAATTACAGTTGCAGAATTTTGGAAGTTATAAGATACAGAATATTTTGGTCTGCCTTGTGGATTGCAGTTAATAGACGAGAATCGCTGAATATTTCTGAATGCATCATAACAAGTTACACATGGAGATCCATTGTCTGGATAATATTGAGAGGAGCTGCTGCTTGAGCTGGTGAAGAATTCTAAAGTCAATTATTAGTAAAGTTCTGATAATTAGTTGAGTTCCTATGTTGTGTAAATGTGTAGCTTGGCGAGCCAGCAAAAGCTTGAAGAACCAAGCAACAAATTATCAAAAGACATGGTAAAGTCATGCTTAACGTAACGACAGTTGTCAAAGGACTGACACAAAATTGAAAATAATTAAACATTTTATTAAAAATTCCTAGTTTTTTTTCTGGAATTTTTATTAAATTTTATTTCAATTTCACGATTTTTCAATGTCTATAATTTTTTATGGGAAATCAAAAAATATTAAAGAATTTTATTTTTCTAATTTTCCGTGTTTTTTCCACGATTTTTTAATTTTCTAGCTTTTTTTTTCTTTCTTTGAATTTTGTATATAATTATTGGATCAGCAAATACATTTCATTCGATTATAAAATGATTTTAAAATTTAACTCACTTTTTAAACCACAAAAGAATCCCCTCAGTCGTACTTCTTTTTCCTCAACTTATTTGTAAACAAGTTCTGCGGTTTATTTAATTTCCTATAAAATTAAAAATTATAGCACAAGTTTTATCAGTTTAAGTCAGACTTTTAACCAGTCAAAAAGAGAAAAGACAAACAAATTCAAAAATGTCCCACGATCATCCATATGGAAAGCCTGTTGAGGTCCTCAAATTTACAGACACAAAGCAAGTTGTCGTTGACAAAGCAGAGCTTGAGAAAATGTTTGATCATCAAGAAGTCAAGAACCGCAAAGTTGTGGTTTTCTCAATAATTGGAGCTTTTAGGCGTGGAAAGAGCTTCTTTTTGGATTATTGCTTGAGATTTCTTTATTCTCATGTGAGTATTAATGTGACTTCCCATCCAAAATCACTTTAATTAACTTCCATCCACAGTATCCATCAATCAACAACCCAAACAACCCTCTCGACAACCAACAAGACTGGATGGGAAATGGTGAAGAACCACTTAGCGGTTTTACATGGCGATCAGGAACCAAACGTGACACAACTGGTATAATCATGTGGAGTGATGTCTTCCTGCATACTTTAGAGTTAACTGGTGAAAAAATAGCAATTATCGTAATGGACACACAAGGACTGTTTGACAACGAAACATCTCCTGCTGAAAATTCAAGGATTTTTGCACTTGGAACTTTGATATCATCTATACAGGTTTTGAATCTTTCATCCATCATCCAAGAAGATCAGCTGCAATATCTTCAGTTTGCCACAGAATTTGCCCGATTCGCTGCTGCTGACAGTCAAGGACAAGCAGAAAAGCCATTTCAGAATCTTCTATTTCTTATCAGAGATTGGAGCAACCCAGATGAATTTGAGTTTGGAACTGAAGGAGGTGATCACTACTTAAAGGATGTCCTCAAAGTCAAATCTGACCAAAAACCAGAGCTTCGATCAGTTCGTCAGTTCATCTCTAGTTCCTTTGAGAACATCAACTGCTGTCTACTGCCATATCCTGGAAAAACTGTTGCTAGAGTCAAAACCTACGATGGTCGATGGTCGAAGATGGATGAAGAGTTTAAGGAAGAGCTGCAGAAAGTCATCGAGCACTTGCTACTTCCAAACAATGTAATCCTTAAGAAAATCAACTCGAAAGACCTTAAAGGATCTGAAATGAAGGAATACATTGACTCGTACTTCCAATTGTTCCAATCTGACACTTTGCCGCAAGCTCAAAGCATTTATGAGTCAACAATTGACAAGCAGATGAGCATCTTATTAGAAAAATGCATTGATCACTACAAACATACGATTTTCCTTAATAATGACTTGCTGACTGAAGAGAATCTTTATGTGATTCACGAAATGAGCAAGAACAAGACGCTTATCATGTTCAAAGAAGAGAAGAAGATGGGCAACATTGAACATGAAAGAAGATTCAGGATCCTATTGGACGAGCAGATGGAGAAACTTTACATCGAATGGAGAGACCAGAAAACCATAACATTTGAACAAATCAAAGAACAAAAAGCCAAACAACAAGCTTTATACGAAGAACAACTAAGACTCGAAGAAGAAGTTAAAGAAGCTAAGCACAAAGCAGAAATCAACTTAATTGAGCTTAACAAAGCAAAAGAACTACAAAAGATTGAGGAAGAACAGTTCCAGACACAAAAAGCACTGCTTGAAGCAAGACTAGATGCTGAAGCTCAACGAGCCCGGGCAATAGAAGCTGAGAGAGATGCACAACAAGCTTTAAGAATTGCTCTTGAGACCAGATTGGCTGCAGAAATTGCAGCAAATGCAGCGAGACCCAAGAAGAAAAAGTGGTACAAAGTCTTTTAAAAAAGTTCTTGTTTTGTAAATTTTAACCTAAAAAAATAAATAAAGTCTGTTGGATGTGAAGCTTAAAATCTTTTTTTAAAAACACTCAGATAACATGTTGGACAAAAGTTACATTTTGGAAAATGAAACAAAATTTTCGATATTCATTTTCATGATCGAAACTGGTTTAAGAGTTTAGTTCCATGTTTTAGCTTGCTGTGAGATTAAAAATATATTTTTTACAAAAATGTTTCAAAAAGAAGAAATTGGAAAGCCAATCAATATTTTAAAGTTTACAAATGATATGAAAATTATCGCAGACAATTCAGCAATAAAAGAAATTTTTAATCGTGCTGAAATTGAAGATCGCAAGGTCGTAATAATTTCCATAGTTGGAGGTTTTCGAGGAGGAAGAAGCTTCTTTTTGGATTATTGTTTGAGATTTTTATATGGAAACGTGAGTCACTTATGTTTAAAAATATGTTAATTATGTCATTTAATTCTTAGCTTGAATACTTTGTTTTTTGACCCGAGAAGCACACTCCATTAGTCTTCTGGCCTAAAACCTTTTTTTTTCTTTGAATAACTCGCTAAATTATTTTATTTATTTTAATATCGTTCAATAAACAATCCGAACAAGCCTAAAAGCTTCATTTTCCAAAAGAACGAGAATTGGATGGGCGAACCTGACGAACCATTAACTGGATTCTCATGGCGAGCAGGCTCAAAACGTGATACAACTGGCATAATCTTCTGGAATGACGTCTTCCTGCATACAATGGACAGAACTGGAGAGGAAATTGCAATTTTTGTGATGGACACGCAAGGATTGTTTGACAGTGAATCAACTTCAGATAATAATACAAAAATCTCTGCTCTTGGAATTTTATTGCCGTCTATTGAAATTGTAAATATTTCAAAGCGTCTTCAAGAAAATCATTTAGAACACATTCAGTTTGCGACATCTTATGCCAAACAATATGGATTAGATGATAAAAATATCTCCGACAAACCATTCCAGAACTTGATGTTTTTAATTCGTGATTGGGTTAATGAAGATGAATTTAAGTTTGGATCTGAAGGAGGTGAATTTTATTTAAATGAAAATATTTTAAAGATTAAAGAATCACAAAATGTAGAATTAAAATCAGTTCGTGAATCAATTAAGAATTATTATGAGAATGTTCGATGCTGTTTATTACCACATCCAGGAAAAGAAGTTGTTAAAAGTATGTAGTTATGATGGTCGCTTGTCATGTATGGATGATGAATTGAGACAAGAATTAAAAAATGTTATTGAAAATCTTCTTTTGCCTGAAAATATGATTCTTAAAAAGATTAATTCTAAGGAATTGACGGTTAATGAAATGAAAACTTTTATTCAGAAATATTTTGAAATATTTCAATCAAACAAAATTCCAGAAACAAAAACTTTATATGAATTAACTGTTGAAAATTTTATGAATAATTTAGTTAAAAAATGTGTTGATGAATATAAATTGATAATGTTTCGTAATAAGGATTTACTAAATTTAAGAACTGTACAAATTATACATGAGAAATGTAAGGAATGGGCGTTCAATATTTACGATTATGAAAGAAAATTGAGTCCAAATGATGACTTAATTAGATTTAAAAGGAAATTAGAAGAAGACATAGATGCATTTTATTTTAATACCAGATCTAACATGGTTCATCAATTTAGCATGGATCCTGAATTGCTACGTTATTTTCAATCTAAGCTGTCTAGCGAATTAGAAATGTCGATAGAGATGAAAGAGTTCGATTGTTCTTTAACAGATGAAATTAAAAAAATGGAAAAAATTAAAATCGTTGACAATAAAGTTAGAACAAAGAAACTACGACTTTATGATCGTAAACATAAGCAACAAATTTTAAAAAATAAGCTTAAGAAGGAAGAAGATGAAAAGAAAAACTTTAGAAAAAAACTGTTAAAAGCTATTTTAAATGTACAAAATTTTTTCGGTAGAATTTACAAATATATTTTTTAAAAATATCAAGATTTATTTTTTTTTGATACTCTATTGAATTTTACAAAGGAACAAAAGTTTTTTAAAAGTTCCCGCTTAAAATGAACCAAATTGAAAGTGAAACAAATAAAATTTTACTAAACACAAATTGCATTTTTATCAATTTTTGACCATTAAAAGCCGGTGATTTTAAATTTAAAATATTTTTGTAGCGCGATAGTTATTATACATTTTGATAGTCTTATTGTATGCCTTAAACATTTTCCGTATCAAATAAAACATGACATCAGATCAGAAATTTGGAAAGGCAATTAATATTTTGAGTTTTATGAATTCAAAAGAAATTGTCGTTGATGACTCAGAACTCGATAAGATTTTTGGACATCCTGAAATTCAAGATCGTAAAGTTGTGATTATGTCAATCATTGGAGCATTTAGAGGTGGCAAAAGCTTCTTCTTGGATTATTGCTTGCGGTTCCTTTATGCTCATGTGAGTATAACTTTAGTTATTAAGTCAGATTATGGAATTAATCCTTAACTTTTTGCAGTTCCCGTCCATAAACAATCCATGGGAAGAAACTCAATGTATCTTTGAGACAAATGACAGCTGGATGGGCGAATCTGATGAACCATTGACTGGATTTTCATGGCGTTCAGGCACAAAACGTGACACAACTGGCATCATCATGTGGAATGACGTCTTCCTGCACACACTGGACAGAACTGGAGAGAAAATTGCAATTTTTGTGATGGACACGCAAGGATTATTTGACAACGAGTCAACTCCAGCTGATAATTCAAGGATCTTTGCACTTGGCAATCTAATTTCGTCTATTCAACTGCTGAACCTCATGAATCGAGCTCAAGAAGATCATTTTCAGTATTTACAATTTGCCACGGAGTTTGCGAAGTTTGCAGGCAGCAGCATGATTGAAAAGCCTTTCCAAAATTTGACATTTCTCATTCGTGACTGGAATAATGATGATGAATACAGCTACGGAACTGCTGGTGGTAATAAATACATTAAAGAAGTTTTATCCCCAAATAATTGCAATAACCAGGAACTGCAGTCAGTCAGAGAGACAATTTTCGAGTGTTTTAATAAAATCGAATGCTGTTTGTTGCCATATCCTGGAAAAATAGTCGCAAGTCGTAAGAATTATGACGGTCGATGGTCTGAAATGAACGAAGAATTCAGGTCAGAACTTAAAACATTTATCGAGTTCCTTCTAATGCCTGACAATTTAATAATCAAGCAAATTAATTCAATTGATGTAAATGTCAAGGACATGAGTCAATATCTCAAGAACTTCTTCACAATCTTTCAGTCAACCGAAGTTCCCAGGACATCCAGCATTTATGAGTTCACTGTCGAGAGTCACATGAACAGCTTGGTCAAGAAGTGTGTCAATGACTACAAAATGACAGTTTATCGCAATTCTGACTTAATCACTAAAGAAAGCATGCCAATCATCCATGAAAAATGCAAGGAAAAAGCTCTGGTGCTGTACAGCCATGAAAAGAAAATGGGAAGTTCCGAGCATGATGAAAAATTCAGAACAGAATTGATTGATGAAATTGACAAGTTTTACGAGTACTTTAATGAGCAGAGTGAGCAAAAATCAAAGGAAATTGAAGCTGAGTTGATGGTTCAGCATGCAGCTATAGTAAGAGAGCAGCAACAACGTCTGGAAGCTACAGAAGCATTAATACAAGCAGAAGAACGTCTAAGAAGACTCGAAGATCGACAAAATCAAATCGAAGCTGCAGAATATGAAAGGCAAAGGATGATGTATGAAGCTAGAGTTCATGCTGAACAATTGAGGACCCAAGACATGGAAATGAGATTTAGGGAACAAGGAGAATTCAGGAGAACATTGATATCAGTTGTTGGAGTTGTTGCTTTAGTCGGTGCAACAGTTGTTACTGGTGGATTACCAGCTGGCATGTCTGCTGTGACTGAAGGTTCATATGCAATTGTAAGATCTGCTGCTGCTGTAGAAGAAGCTGTTATAGCTGTTGAAAGTGTGTGGTCATCAATTAAAAGATGCTTGATTATGTGAAGAAAAAATTTTTTGCCTGTTTTGTTAAGGCAATAATATTGAGTTAAAGGAGGGCCCGGGTCGTTGGTGTTGTAAGATAAAAAGACAGAATTAAAATCATTTTTATCAGCTCCGCTCTTAATCGGATTTCAAAACATATTTTATCAATACTTTGCTACAAGACCACAAAGTTAAATTGCATAAAACTTAAGACATTCAAGGCAAATATTGAATTTTTTATCGTTCGGCACCAAGCTGTGCCATTAAAGAAATTCCTAATCCTGCTGCTAAGACTCCAACACCTAAAACTAGACCTACAGCTTTTGCTAATTTCCATCCAAAAGATGTATTTTCTTTGTCCTTAGCTTCAATGTCTTCAAGTTTCTTCTTTTCAGCTGCCATACGTTCAGTAAGTATTATTTTCTGATTTGTATATTCCTTAACGCTGATCAGCTTTTTATTCAACTTTTCTTCTAGATCTTTCAGCTTTGATTCTGCCGTCTGTTTGGATTTTTCAGCTTCTTCCTTTTGCAGCTTTTCTCTTGCCAGTGCATCTTTTAACTGTTCTTTAATTTCCTCAATTCCTTTGAATTTATTGACCAAATTATTGTGAGAATCTATGAAAATTTTTTCAATTTCGTTGCTTAGTATTGCTTTATACTTCTCTTCATGCTCAGAAGTTCCCATTTTCTTCTCACTTTCATAAAGCTTTAGTGCTCTTGCTTTACAATTTTGATGGACAGTTGTGATGCTCTTGTCAGTCAACAAGTAATCATTGCGGTAAATTGTTAAATAGTAGTCATGGATGCAAGACTTTACCAAATTGCTCATGTGACTCTCGACTGTCATCTCGTAGATTGTCTTAGTCTCTGGGATTTCGTTTGACTGGAATAATTTAAAATATTTTTCAATGTAAGTTCTTAGTTCCTTTCCAGTTATTTCTTGTGCATTGATCTTCTTAAGAATCATGTTGTCAGGCAGCAAGAGATGCTCGATGAATTTTTTCAGCTCTTCCTTGAAATCTTTTTCCATTCCTGACAATTTGCCATCGTATGTTTTACGACCAGCAACTGCTCTACCTGGATGTGGCAACAAGCAGCATCCAATGTGTTCGAATGAGCTTTTAATTGATTCACGGACCGATCGTAGTTCAGGCATTTGAGTTGCTGTAATTTTGAGAACTTCCTCTTCAAAGTATTTGTTTCCACCTTCGATTCCGAATTCAAATTCCTCATCATTGGTCCAATCACGGATGAGAAATGTCAAGTTTTGGAATGGCTTTTGGTTCTCCTCAACAGTTTCTACAGTTGTGAACTTTGTGAATTCCGTAGCAAATTGAAGATATTGCAGCTGATCTTCCTGAACTCGATTCATAAGGTTCAGCACCTGAATTGATGAAATTACAGTTCCAAGTGCAAAGATCCTTGAATTATCAGCTGGAGTTGACTCATTGTCAAATAATCCTTGCGTGTCCATCACAAAAATTGCAATTTTCTCTCCAGTTCTGTCTATTGTATGCAGGAAGACGTCACTCCACATGATGATGCCAGTTGTATCACGTTTTGTGCCTGAACGCCACGAGAATCCAGTCAATGGTTCATCAGGTTCGCCCAACCAGCTGTCATTTGTCTCAAAGATGAATTGAGTTTCTTCCCATGGATTGTTTATGGATGGGAACTGCAAAAAGTTAAGGAATAGTTTCATAATTTGGCATCATAACTAAAGTTATACTCACATGAGCATAAAGGAACCGCAAGCAATAATCCAAGAAGAAGCTTTTGCCGCCTCTAAATGCACCAATTAAGGAAAGTATCACAACTTTACGTTCTTGAATTTCTGGATAATTGAACATCTTTTCAAGTTCGTCATTATCGATAATAATTTCCTTTGTTTCCGAGAATGTCAAAACAGTTATCGGCTTTCCATGGAGATGTTCGTGAGACATTTTTTGATAGTTTTTATAATTTTTTAGAGCATAAACTAGAAATCCTTGTGTAAATAGAAATAATTTGTTGCGTAATTTAACTTTAAAAATTTATTAAATTAAGAAAAAAGCTACTTTTGCGTGGTAATTAAAAAAGAAATAAAAGCCGAATGTGTTCAGCAAAACATGAATTCGCGTTTCATATTTCATTGTGAAATTTTGCCTTAAAAAAATTGCGGGATTTTTTTGATCATTTAATTTTTTTAAGACATCCTGTATACCATCTCATTAAGACTGCCTGACTTTGGGTGCATGAATCCAATCATTTGAGAATCTCTTGATCTAGGAAACTAGTCTAATTGAGCTTAAGCAGCTTTCAATTTTTTTTAAATTGTTATATTCTCAATGACGCATCTACAGCATATAACATGTTATTTTAATAATATCAGCCACGTATTCATTCTCAGTTTGGTTACATTTAGTAAGAATCTAAACATGATCGAAATAAGACATCATACTTTTGGACAGCCGATTATAATTTTAGAGTTTGATGATTCGCAGGAAGTGATCATATACAATGACAAGCTTGACAGCATATTTAATCATCCAGAAATTCAAGATCGTAAAGTTGTGATTCTGTCATTGATTGGTGCATTTAGAGGCGGCAAAAGCTTCTTCTTGGATTATTGCTTGCGGTTCCTTTATGCTCATGTGAGTATAACTTTAGTTATGATGCCAAATTATGAAATTAATTCTTGACTTTTTGCAGTTCCCGTCAATAAACAACCCCAACAAGGTCACTTCCTTTATATTCAAAAAAGATGACACCTGGATGGGCGAACCTGATGAACCATTGACTGGATTTTCATGGCGTTCAGGCACAAAACGTGATACAACTGGCATCATCATGTGGAGTGACGTCTTCCTGCATACAATAGACAGAACTGGAGAAAAAATTGCAATTTTTGTGATGGACACGCAAGGATTATTCGACAATGACTCAACAGCTGAATCCAATTCCAAGATCTTTGCATTAGGAACTTTATTGCCGTCTATTGAACTGCTGAACCTCATGAATCGAGCTCAAGAAGATCATTTTCAGTATTTACAATTTGCCACGGAGTTTGCGAAGTTTGCAGGCAGCAGCATGATTGAAAAGCCTTTCCAAAATTTGACATTTCTCATTCGTGACTGGAATAATGATGATGAATACAGCTACGGAACTGCTGGTGGTAATAAATACATTAAAGAAGTTTTATCCCCAAATAATTGCAATAACCAGGAACTGCAGTCAGTCAGAGAGACAATTTTCGAGTGTTTTAATAAAATCGAATGCTGTTTGTTGCCATATCCTGGAAAAATAGTCGCAAGTCGTAAGAATTATGACGGTCGATGGTCTGAAATGAACGAAGAATTCAGGTCAGAACTTAAAACATTTATCGAGTTCCTTCTAATGCCTGACAATTTAATAATCAAGCAAATTAATTCAATTGATGTAAATGTCAAGGACATGAGTCAATATCTCAAGAACTTCTTCACAATCTTTCAGTCAACCGAAGTTCCCAGGACATCCAGCATTTATGAGTTCACTGTCGAGAGTCACATGAACAGCTTGGTCAAGAAGTGTGTCAATGACTACAAAATGACAGTTTATCGCAATTCTGACTTAATCACTAAAGAAAGCATGCCAATCATCCATGAAAAATGCAAGGAAAAAGCTCTGGTGCTGTACAGCCATGAAAAGAAAATGGGAAGTTCCGAGCATGATGAAAAATTCAGAACAGAATTGATTGATGAAATTGACAAGTTTTACGAGTACTTTAATGAGCAGAGTGAGCAAAAATCAAAGGAAATTGAAGCTGAGTTGATGGTTCAGCATGCAGCTATAGTAAGAGAGCAGCAACAACGTCTGGAAGCTACAGAAGCATTAATACAAGCAGAAGAACGTCTAAGAAGACTCGAAGATCGACAAAATCAAATCGAAGCTGCAGAATATGAAAGGCAAAGGATGATGTATGAAGCTAGAGTTCATGCTGAACAATTGAGGACCCAAGACATGGAAATGAGATTTAGGGAACAAGGAGAATTCAGGAGAACATTGATATCAGTTGTTGGAGTTGTTGCTTTAGTCGGTGCAACAGTTGTTACTGGTGGATTACCAGCTGGCATGTCTGCTGTGACTGAAGGTTCATATGCAATTGTAAGATCTGCTGCTGCTGTAGAAGAAGCTGTTATAGCTGTTGAAAGTGTGTGGTCATCAATTAAAAGATGCTTGATTATGTGAAGAAAAAATTTTTTGCCTGTTTTGTTAAGGCAATAATATTGAGTTAAAGGAGGGCCCGGGTCGTTGGTGTTGTAAGATAAAAAGACAGAATTAAAATCATTTTTATCAGCTCCGCTCTTAATCGGATTTCAAAACATATTTTATCAATACTTTGCTACAAGACCACAAAGTTAAATTGCATAAAACTTAAGACATTCAAGGCAAATATTGAATTTTTTATCGTTCGGCACCAAGCTGTGCCATTAAAGAAATTCCTAATCCTGCTGCTAAGACTCCAACACCTAAAACTAGACCTACAGCTTTTGCTAATTTCCATCCAAAAGATGTATTTTCTTTGTCCTTAGCTTCAATGTCTTCAAGTTTCTTCTTTTCAGCTGCCATACGTTCAGTAAGTATTATTTTCTGATTTGTATATTCCTTAACGCTGATCAGCTTTTTATTCAACTTTTCTTCTAGATCTTTCAGCTTTGATTCTGCCGTCTGTTTGGATTTTTCAGCTTCTTCCTTTTGCAGCTTTTCTCTTGCCAGTGCATCTTTTAACTGTTCTTTAATTTCCTCAATTCCTTTGAATTTATTGACCAAATTATTGTGAGAATCTATGAAAATTTTTTCAATTTCGTTGCTTAGTATTGCTTTATACTTCTCTTCATGCTCAGAAGTTCCCATTTTCTTCTCACTTTCATAAAGCTTTAGTGCTCTTGCTTTACAATTTTGATGGACAGTTGTGATGCTCTTGTCAGTCAACAAGTAATCATTGCGGTAAATTGTTAAATAGTAGTCATGGATGCAAGACTTTACCAAATTGCTCATGTGACTCTCGACTGTCATCTCGTAGATTGTCTTAGTCTCTGGGATTTCGTTTGACTGGAATAATTTAAAATATTTTTCAATGTAAGTTCTTAGTTCCTTTCCAGTTATTTCTTGTGCATTGATCTTCTTAAGAATCATGTTGTCAGGCAGCAAGAGATGCTCGATGAATTTTTTCAGCTCTTCCTTGAAATCTTTTTCCATTCCTGACAATTTGCCATCGTATGTTTTACGACCAGCAACTGCTCTACCTGGATGTGGCAACAAGCAGCATCCAATGTGTTCGAATGAGCTTTTAATTGATTCACGGACCGATCGTAGTTCAGGCATTTGAGTTGCTGTAATTTTGAGAACTTCCTCTTCAAAGTATTTGTTTCCACCTTCGATTCCGAATTCAAATTCCTCATCATTGGTCCAATCACGGATGAGAAATGTCAAGTTTTGGAATGGCTTTTGGTTCTCCTCAACAGTTTCTACAGTTGTGAACTTTGTGAATTCCGTAGCAAATTGAAGATATTGCAGCTGATCTTCCTGAACTCGATTCATAAGGTTCAGCACCTGAATTGATGAAATTACAGTTCCAAGTGCAAAGATCCTTGAATTATCAGCTGGAGTTGACTCATTGTCAAATAATCCTTGCGTGTCCATCACAAAAATTGCAATTTTCTCTCCAGTTCTGTCTATTGTATGCAGGAAGACGTCACTCCACATGATGATGCCAGTTGTATCACGTTTTGTGCCTGAACGCCACGAGAATCCAGTCAATGGTTCATCAGGTTCGCCCAACCAGCTGTCATTTGTCTCAAAGATGAATTGAGTTTCTTCCCATGGATTGTTTATGGATGGGAACTGCAAAAAGTTAAGGAATAGTTTCATAATTTGGCATCATAACTAAAGTTATACTCACATGAGCATAAAGGAACCGCAAGCAATAATCCAAGAAGAAGCTTTTGCCGCCTCTAAATGCACCAATTAAGGAAAGTATCACAACTTTACGTTCTTGAATTTCTGGATAATTGAACATCTTTTCAAGTTCGTCATTATCGATAATAATTTCCTTTGTTTCCGAGAATGTCAAAACAGTTATCGGCTTTCCATGGAGATGTTCGTGAGACATTTTTTGATAGTTTTTATAATTTTTTAGAGCATAAACTAGAAATCCTTGTGTAAATAGAAATAATTTGTTGCGTAATTTAACTTTAAAAATTTATTAAATTAAGAAAAAAGCTACTTTTGCGTGGTAATTAAAAAAGAAATAAAAGCCGAATGTGTTCAGCAAAACATGAATTCGCGTTTCATATTTCATTGTGAAATTTTGCCTTAAAAAAATTGCGGGATTTTTTTGATCATTTAATTTTTTTAAGACATCCTGTATACCATCTCATTAAGACTGCCTGACTTTGGGTGCATGAATCCAATCATTTGAGAATCTCTTGATCTAGGAAACTAGTCTAATTGAGCTTAAGCAGCTTTCAATTTTTTTTAAATTGTTATATTCTCAATGACGCATCTACAGCATATAACATGTTATTTTAATAATATCAGCCACGTATTCATTCTCAGTTTGGTTACATTTAGTAAGAATCTAAACATGATCGAAATAAGACATCATACTTTTGGACAGCCGATTATAATTTTAGAGTTTGATGATTCGCAGGAAGTGATCATATACAATGACAAGCTTGACAGCATATTTAATCATCCAGAAATTCAAGATCGTAAAGTTGTGATTCTGTCATTGATTGGTGCATTTAGAGGCGGCAAAAGCTTCTTCTTGGATTATTGCTTGCGGTTCCTTTATGCTCATGTGAGTATAACTTTAGTTATGATGCCAAATTATGAAATTAATTCTTGACTTTTTGCAGTTCCCGTCAATAAACAACCCCAACAAGGTCACTTCCTTTATATTCAAAAAAGATGACACCTGGATGGGCGAACCTGATGAACCATTGACTGGATTTTCATGGCGTTCAGGCACAAAACGTGACACAACTGGCATCATCATGTGGAATGACGTCTTCCTGCACACACTGGACAGAACTGGAGAGAAAATTGCAATTTTTGTGATGGACACGCAAGGATTATTTGACAACGAGTCAACTCCAGCTGATAATTCAAGGATCTTTGCACTTGGCAATCTAATTTCGTCTATTCAACTGCTGAACCTCATGAATCGAGCTCAAGAAGATCATTTTCAGTATTTACAATTTGCCACGGAGTTTGCGAAGTTTGCAGGCAGCAGCATGATTGAAAAGCCTTTCCAAAATTTGACATTTCTCATTCGTGACTGGAATAATGATGATGAATACAGCTACGGAACTGCTGGTGGTAATAAATACATTAAAGAAGTTTTATCCCCAAATAATTGCAATAACCAGGAACTGCAGTCAGTCAGAGAGACAATTTTCGAGTGTTTTAATAAAATCGAATGCTGTTTGTTGCCATATCCTGGAAAAATAGTCGCAAGTCGTAAGAATTATGACGGTCGATGGTCTGAAATGAACGAAGAATTCAGGTCAGAACTTAAAACATTTATCGAGTTCCTTCTAATGCCTGACAATTTAATAATCAAGCAAATTAATTCAATTGATGTAAATGTCAAGGACATGAGTCAATATCTCAAGAACTTCTTCACAATCTTTCAGTCAACCGAAGTTCCCAGGACATCCAGCATTTATGAGTTCACTGTCGAGAGTCACATGAACAGCTTGGTCAAGAAGTGTGTCAATGACTACAAAATGACAGTTTATCGCAATTCTGACTTAATCACTAAAGAAAGCATGCCAATCATCCATGAAAAATGCAAGGAAAAAGCTCTGGTGCTGTACAGCCATGAAAAGAAAATGGGAAGTTCCGAGCATGATGAAAAATTCAGAACAGAATTGATTGATGAAATTGACAAGTTTTACGAGTACTTTAATGAGCAGAGTGAGCAAAAATCAAAGGAAATTGAAGCTGAGTTGATGGTTCAGCATGCAGCTATAGTAAGAGAGCAGCAACAACGTCTGGAAGCTACAGAAGCATTAATACAAGCAGAAGAACGTCTAAGAAGACTCGAAGATCGACAAAATCAAATCGAAGCTGCAGAATATGAAAGGCAAAGGATGATGTATGAAGCTAGAGTTCATGCTGAACAATTGAGGACCCAAGACATGGAAATGAGATTTAGGGAACAAGGAGAATTCAGGAGAACATTGATATCAGTTGTTGGAGTTGTTGCTTTAGTCGGTGCAACAGTTGTTACTGGTGGATTACCAGCTGGCATGTCTGCTGTGACTGAAGGTTCATATGCAATTGTAAGATCTGCTGCTGCTGTAGAAGAAGCTGTTATAGCTGTTGAAAGTGTGTGGTCATCAATTAAAAGATGCTTGATTATGTGAAGAAAAAATTTTTTGCCTGTTTTGTTAAGGCAATAATATTGAGTTAAAGGAGGGCCCGGGTCGTTGGTGTTGTAAGATAAAAAGACAGAATTAAAATCATTTTTATCAGCTCCGCTCTTAATCGGATTTCAAAACATATTTTATCAATACTTTGCTACAAGACCACAAAGTTAAATTGCATAAAACTTAAGACATTCAAGGCAAATATTGAATTTTTTATCGTTCGGCACCAAGCTGTGCCATTAAAGAAATTCCTAATCCTGCTGCTAAGACTCCAACACCTAAAACTAGACCTACAGCTTTTGCTAATTTCCATCCAAAAGATGTATTTTCTTTGTCCTTAGCTTCAATGTCTTCAAGTTTCTTCTTTTCAGCTGCCATACGTTCAGTAAGTATTATTTTCTGATTTGTATATTCCTTAACGCTGATCAGCTTTTTATTCAACTTTTCTTCTAGATCTTTCAGCTTTGATTCTGCCGTCTGTTTGGATTTTTCAGCTTCTTCCTTTTGCAGCTTTTCTCTTGCCAGTGCATCTTTTAACTGTTCTTTAATTTCCTCAATTCCTTTGAATTTATTGACCAAATTATTGTGAGAATCTATGAAAATTTTTTCAATTTCGTTGCTTAGTATTGCTTTATACTTCTCTTCATGCTCAGAAGTTCCCATTTTCTTCTCACTTTCATAAAGCTTTAGTGCTCTTGCTTTACAATTTTGATGGACAGTTGTGATGCTCTTGTCAGTCAACAAGTAATCATTGCGGTAAATTGTTAAATAGTAGTCATGGATGCAAGACTTTACCAAATTGCTCATGTGACTCTCGACTGTCATCTCGTAGATTGTCTTAGTCTCTGGGATTTCGTTTGACTGGAATAATTTAAAATATTTTTCAATGTAAGTTCTTAGTTCCTTTCCAGTTATTTCTTGTGCATTGATCTTCTTAAGAATCATGTTGTCAGGCAGCAAGAGATGCTCGATGAATTTTTTCAGCTCTTCCTTGAAATCTTTTTCCATTCCTGACAATTTGCCATCGTATGTTTTACGACCAGCAACTGCTCTACCTGGATGTGGCAACAAGCAGCATCCAATGTGTTCGAATGAGCTTTTAATTGATTCACGGACCGATCGTAGTTCAGGCATTTGAGTTGCTGTAATTTTGAGAACTTCCTCTTCAAAGTATTTGTTTCCACCTTCGATTCCGAATTCAAATTCCTCATCATTGGTCCAATCACGGATGAGAAATGTCAAGTTTTGGAATGGCTTTTGGTTCTCCTCAACAGTTTCTACAGTTGTGAACTTTGTGAATTCCGTAGCAAATTGAAGATATTGCAGCTGATCTTCCTGAACTCGATTCATAAGGTTCAGCACCTGAATTGATGAAATTACAGTTCCAAGTGCAAAGATCCTTGAATTATCAGCTGGAGTTGACTCATTGTCAAATAATCCTTGCGTGTCCATCACAAAAATTGCAATTTTCTCTCCAGTTCTGTCTATTGTATGCAGGAAGACGTCACTCCACATGATGATGCCAGTTGTATCACGTTTTGTGCCTGAACGCCACGAGAATCCAGTCAATGGTTCATCAGGTTCGCCCAACCAGCTGTCATTTGTCTCAAAGATGAATTGAGTTTCTTCCCATGGATTGTTTATGGATGGGAACTGCAAAAAGTTAAGGAATAGTTTCATAATTTGGCATCATAACTAAAGTTATACTCACATGAGCATAAAGGAACCGCAAGCAATAATCCAAGAAGAAGCTTTTGCCGCCTCTAAATGCACCAATTAAGGAAAGTATCACAACTTTACGTTCTTGAATTTCTGGATAATTGAACATCTTTTCAAGTTCGTCATTATCGATAATAATTTCCTTTGTTTCCGAGAATGTCAAAACAGTTATCGGCTTTCCATGGAGATGTTCGTGAGACATTTTTTGATAGTTTTTATAATTTTTTAGAGCATAAACTAGAAATCCTTGTGTAAATAGAAATAATTTGTTGCGTAATTTAACTTTAAAAATTTATTAAATTAAGAAAAAAGCTACTTTTGCGTGGTAATTAAAAAAGAAATAAAAGCCGAATGTGTTCAGCAAAACATGAATTCGCGTTTCATATTTCATTGTGAAATTTTGCCTTAAAAAAATTGCGGGATTTTTTTGATCATTTAATTTTTTTAAGACATCCTGTATACCATCTCATTAAGACTGCCTGACTTTGGGTGCATGAATCCAATCATTTGAGAATCTCTTGATCTAGGAAACTAGTCTAATTGAGCTTAAGCAGCTTTCAATTTTTTTTAAATTGTTATATTCTCAATGACGCATCTACAGCATATAACATGTTATTTTAATAATATCAGCCACGTATTCATTCTCAGTTTGGTTACATTTAGTAAGAATCTAAACATGATCGAAATAAGACATCATACTTTTGGACAGCCGATTATAATTTTAGAGTTTGATGATTCGCAGGAAGTGATCATATACAATGACAAGCTTGACAGCATATTTAATCATCCAGAAATTCAAGATCGTAAAGTTGTGATTCTGTCATTGATTGGTGCATTTAGAGGCGGCAAAAGCTTCTTCTTGGATTATTGCTTGCGGTTCCTTTATGCTCATGTGAGTATAACTTTAGTTATGATGCCAAATTATGAAATTAATTCTTGACTTTTTGCAGTTCCCGTCAATAAACAACCCCAACAAGGTCACTTCCTTTATATTCAAAAAAGATGACACCTGGATGGGCGAACCTGATGAACCATTGACTGGATTTTCATGGCGTTCAGGCACAAAACGTGATACAACTGGCATCATCATGTGGAGTGACGTCTTCCTGCATACAATAGACAGAACTGGAGAAAAAATTGCAATTTTTGTGATGGACACGCAAGGATTATTCGACAATGACTCAACAGCTGAATCCAATTCCAAGATCTTTGCATTAGGAACTCTAATTCCTTCGATTCAAGTCCTCAACATTAAAGGAATTATTCAAGAGAATCAGCTGGAATATCTTCAATTTGCCACGGAATATGCGATTAACAGTGCAATGGACATTGTTAATAAGAAAGCATTTCAGAGCTTAACGTTCCTGATGAGGGACTGGGACAACAATGATGAATACAAGTATGGCATCGATGGCGGAAGTCAATACCTTAAACAACTTCTCAAACCCAGAAGGAATGAAAATAAGAAGCTACAGTCAGTCCGCAAGAGTCTTTCAAGTAGTTTTGACCAAACTCGATGCTGCTTATTGCCACATCCTGGAAGAGTTGTTGCTAGTAATGGAACCTATGACGGTAGTTGGTTTGAAATGGATGTGGACTTTAAGAATGAATTAAAAAGTTCTATTGAGGACATGCTGATTTCAACAAACATGGTCATTAAGAAAATCAATTCAAAGGAAGTGACTGGAAAGGAAATGAAGGATTACATCCAAAAATACTTTGAAATTTTTCAGTCAAGCAATACTATGAGGGTGCTGAATATCTATGAATCGACAGTTGAACTGTATATGAATAATATCATTGAGAAGTGCCTTAATGACTACAAACTAAGAATGTTTGAGAATAAGGATTTGATTGGCAATGACAATAACATAGTTCATGATAGTTGTAAGGCAAAGGGTTTAGAGATGTACGATAAGCAGCGTAAAATAGGAAGTCTCGAGTACCAAAAAAGCTGCAAAACAATTTTATTTAAAAAAATTGACGGAATTTACGAAGAATTTGAGACGTTCGCAGAACATGAAGAACAGCTGAAGGCAGCCTTGGATAAGGAACTGCAAGAAAAAGAGGAACTTAAAGAGGCCATAAAATATGTCAAGTCTAAGCTTGAGGAACTTCAAAAGAGCCCCAGTACTCAAGGATATACAGAACTTAAGGATGTCCTCGAAACTCGTCTGGGTAAAGACATTAAAAAGCTCAATGAAATCGAAAAGAAATTGAGGGAACGGGAAGCATTTCGAAGGAAGCTTAGAAATTATGGAATATCTGCATTTATTGGAGGAATCATGGGATGGGCTATAAAAGATATAAAACCATTGGATGTACTTCACAGTGCTCTAGACAATGTCCGTAAAGTTCTAGCACTTACTGCCGCACCTGTAATTGTACAAAACCAAGTTTGTGAAGCTGTAAGTAAAGTTCCCAAGGAATTATTACCTTTTGCAGAAACTACGGCTGACATTTTACTTCCTGCTGTAGAAACTGCAGCTGATATTATAATGCCTGCTGTAGAAACTGCATCCGATGTGATTCTGCCATCTGCAAATATAGTTGATTTTATACCACTGCCATCGGAGTATTCGACCATCTTAGGAGTTGTAGTCACGGCTGCAATAACGATTGGTGGGATATTGGCAATAATATTGAAAGAAAAGATGAAGAATTAATTAATAAATTAAATTTACATGATTTAGAAATTATTAAATCAAAATATTAGCGTTTTTTTTGCTTTTGAGTTTTAGGTCTTATATTCGACATAACGTCAAAAGCAGAGTCATTTTTGTAACAGGTGCGCCCGTTATTTGGGTTTAAATTTATTATTATCTTTCATTCAAGTGGTTCGTATCCCACGAAAAACTGTAGGTATAAAGCGTATGGTACAATAGATTTTTTACAAATTTAATCTAAGTGCTTCCAACTAAAGGGCTGGGTCCTTCACAAAAATGCACATAGCTTCATATCCTTCTCCCCTGCTCAGGGGCGTAGCCAGAAAATTTTTCAGGGGGGGCCCATTTTTGAAAATTAAAAAACCGTTATTTTGTATCCTTAAATCTATATTCATTCTTCATAAGTTTAAATATTTAATTCATTATTCATACATTAAATTTAATTTTTCGTGCTGATTTTGACATTTCTTTTATCACTTCCTCTACATTAACTGGTTCTTCTCTATAAATACTTAATAAAACAATTATCAGATTTTCGTAGGGGGGGGGCCCGGGCCCCCTATGCCCCCCCCCCCCCCCCCCCTGGCTACGCCCCTGCCCCTGCTCCTCCCCTTCTCCACCAAGGACCCGTTCACATGGCTTCACAAAACTTCACAACACTCCTGGGGGCCATTCACTTATTACGTAACGCTTTTAGGGGGAGGGGGGGGTCTAAGATTTTGTTACGGTTCAAACAAGGAAATTTTTTTTTTCATACAAATTTTGTTACGAGGGGGGGGGGGGGGGGGGTCTAAAAAGTCATTTTTTCGCGTTACGTAATAAATGAACAGTCCCCTGCCCCACCATGCTTCCGTCCTAGAGTCAGTCAGGGAATTAAGCTCTTTTATTATAGATTGGAAAGTGAAACACAAGAGAAAAAAATCTCCAGACTGAACGCACACATATGAGGGGACAGACCAACGCATCGAATCATCATTCAACATATATAAAAAAACATAAACAATTGTCGTACTTTCCATCCCCTCAACAACACATCACGAAAAAAAGAATATTTTTTTTTTCCTCTCCACAATAAAGACACACATTCAATTTAGATTAAATGAGATCGAAAGACAGAAGTGAAAAAGTACTTTTTTTATTATTTTCAAATCAAAGACAAACTTTTTAAGTTTATTTTTCAAACGAAACTCACCGAAAGTCCAACCAAAGCGATGTCATTTTCCCGTCAAATTCTCATCTTCATCTGCATTTGGGGTCTGCTGATTTACTTTTTCCTTATCAAACTTAATCCAACGTCGCGCAGCAAAGAGACGGACGAGATTGAGCGACTCAATTCAGCACTGCTGTACCTTGAGAAGTCAAAGGCAATAGACAATGAGTTGAGGAGACTACTGGATGAATATGTCAACGATGTTGCAAGTCCAGAGCAGAAAAGTGAACTTTTAAAGCGAATCAGTTCGAAATTTCAAGATGTGACGTCGTCAAGCACTGGATTATCGTCAAATGGAGTTCCATCATATGAATATGAGCAGCTGAGGCGACGTGTCACGACAAATGTTGGTGAATTGTGGAACTATATGGGCACGGAGTTGTCAAAAATTGAAAAATCAATGAGGAGTGAATTCGAGATGCAGCAATCGATAAAACAAATGAAGAATTTTATGGAGCTCGCAAGGGAGCACATACGGTGAGTTCCTTATTCGCATATTCGTGCCTGCCACGACAATTGTTTAGACAAGTGAGAAAAAAAGTTTAGAAACAATGACGATATGGACAATTTTGGTGTGGAGTATTTTTAGTGTAGATAAATGTCAAAGTGTGTTGTTCTCGGCGTTGCCAATGTGAATGACTTAGGATGCTTTCAAGTGGTCTTAAAATAGTCTATCTTGAGAATTTCTGGCTGTGTAATAATTAGATGAATTGCGGGGGAAACTATGTTTATTTTGGATGTGCGAGAATAATTTTCTGCGGTTGGATTATGATGAATTTTTGTGAATAATTGACTGGAACATTTAGTGATCATCATAGACAAGTGTGGTTGAGTTTTATGGATCAGTGATTGCACTTGTTGTCATTTAAGTAGCGTTGTTGACAATAATACAAAGGGTGGGGTGGATAGCCAGATAGACAAACAGACAAACAGAATACAAAATGGCAGAAAGCGAGACATCCAAACAGCAACACAGCAAAACACCAAGAAATAACTAATGATTGCTTATAGTGTCAATTTACATCAATTTTCATCCAGAACCATATTTTGTCCTACTAGCAATCTACAACATCCCACCAAAGTAATCAAATTCCTACACAACTTTATCAAATACCACAAACTTCCCTTCCAAAAGCATTGCCAACTCAACCAAAATACACAAAAATTTCATTATTAACCATACATAAATGCCTTCTTCAGATAAGATTAGTCAAAAACTTCTTCCATACCCAAAAAAAAACTTATCAGCTTGTAAATTGTGAATCGATTTTGTTTTTATGATTTCTATTTTTACACTAATCGGCAGAACAGAACGTGTTCATGTTTGAAATAAATTGGCAGTTAATGTCTTTTGTGATTGTGAGCTATTGACTTTGGTGATTGTTGGATTATTTGTTTTGGGAAGTGATTGTGAGATTGCTTGGTATGTGAGATTCTTATTGGAATTAGTTTTGTTTGATTAAAGGTTCATTATGTTAAGTTTGAGCTTCGTTCGCTTCTTGGTTCTTGGTTCTTGGTCCTTGGTTCTTGGTTCTTGGTTCTTGTTTCTTGGTTTCTTGGTCCTTGGTTCTTGGTTCTTGGTTCTTGAATCTTGGCTCGTGGTTCTTGGTTCTTGGTTCTTCATTCTTGGTTCGTGGTTTTTGTTTCTTGGTTCTTGGTTCTTGGTTCTTAGTTTTTGATTCTTGGTTCTTGAATCTTGGTTTTTGGTTCTTGGTTCTTGGTTCTTGATTCTTCATTCTTGGTTCGTGGTTCGCGGTTCTTGTTTCTTGGTTTTTGGTATCTTGGTTCATGGTTCTTTGTTCTCGAATCCCGCTTTATTCGCTTAAGTTTAGTCACTCAGTTCAACATTATGCAAAGTAGAGATGCGACAACATTAAAATTAATACCATCCATTCCTAGAAAAGCATCCATAGAAAAATATTATTCAACAAAACTTCATCTTCATTAGAATTGCAAATTTTTTATTATTTCATAAAAACAAGTAAAAACTCTCTAAATTACAAATTCACTTTTTTTTTGTTTGTTTCAATTCGCTGAGTTCTGTTGACCTCATCAGCATCTATTGTTGCCAATAAAAACAAAATCTTTCAGTGTTTTGCTTCACATGTTAATTCAGCCAATTCATCATGAATTATTATCATTATCGTCAATTCTCTCTCACTATTTTTTGTGCATTAAATTTACTCACTCATTTGACTTCACTCGATGTTTGAATAAGCACATGTGAACAATTACTCCCCCATGGACACCTCTCTCACTCGTTAGCTTAAATTATTTTTAAAAAAGCTAATTTGTAGCCGGTTTACTGATAATTCTCACTCATTGGAAAGACAATAAAACTATTTGATATGTGTGCCGCCGGCTGATGAGTGTATTTTGGATGATAATTTACATACGTTTCGTCATGCAATGTTTGTTTTATGTGACATGATGGAGATTGTAATTTTTTGATAGTTATTTTTCGGTGATTTTTCATGGAGAAATTGAAGGCAAGGTCAGATTATTGTCAATGAGATAATTTTTTGGTTTGAATAACATTTTAGAATTTATAAATGAGCAGAATTTGATCTTCTCGGGTCATGCTGAATTAGATCCTCTCAGGTCAAGTTAAATTAAATCCTCTTAGATCGAGCTGAATTAGATCCTCTCAGGTCTAGCTGAATTAAATTCTCTCAGGTCGAGTTAAATTATATCCTCTCAGATCTAGCTGAATTAGATCCTCTCAGGTAAAGCTAACTTAGATCCTCTCAGGTCGAGTTAAATTAAATCCTCTCGGGTCTAGCTGAATTAGATCCTCTCAGGTAAAGCTAACTTAGATCCTCTCAGGTCGAGTTAAATTAAATCCTCTCAGGTCGAGCTGAATTAGATCCTCTCAGGTCGAGTTAAATTAAATCCTCTCAGGTCGAGCTGAATTAGATCCTCTCAGGTCTAGCTGAATTAAATCCTCTCAGGTCGAGTTAAATTATATCCTCTCAGATCTAGCTGAATTAGATCCTCTCAGGTCGAGCTGAATTAGATCCTCTCAGGTCGAGTTAAATTAAATCCTCAACGGTCGGGACTGAGTTAGATTCTCTGAGGTCAAGCTAAGTTACATCATACCACATTGATCCAAATCAGTTCTTCACAACTATAGTAAACACATCCATAAATTATCCAAACCAAAATCAAATTTACAATCCTAGACAGATTTATTAATAATTAAATTTTCTGTTCGTTTCAAACTTTATTAAGCACATGTGAATTATGAACTGCTTCTATAAATCTCAAAACACATGTGAGCTCATTCCAACGCTTATTGATGAATGAACATAAAGTGTCTGATGCATTAATAAATATGAATTAGTGACTATTGAATTATTTATAAAGTTTTATCGCATGCTATGCTTCAGACTTCATATGATTCAACAATTTTGCTCTGTACAAAAGTGAATGAATGAATTTTTTTTCATGTAGACAACAATCAGTCAAGCTGTCGAAAGTTTTTCTTCATGTGATTGGTAAATAGAATAGCTTGAATGACAGATTGATTTTTTGAGGATGTTTGAGGATTAATTTATTATTTATTGAAGTCTAGCGTAGATATTTTGGGTTCTTAGTTGTCTGTGACTTATGGAACGTCTAACTTAGATTGATTCTTATGAAACTGCTTTGATTAATTCTTTCAAATCCTAGAAAACGACCAGAGAGAATTAAACTTCCCCAAACCTTAACAAATTTATAATAAAAATCTCAATTAAAACAAAACTCTGCAAAATCATTTAACCTCAGATAATCTTGATAATTAACATTGTTCTCACACAACAAATTTGCAATACAATAGTAGCATCCATTCCACATATTACGTCAAATTCTCACCATATAGCGAAAAATGAAAGTTAATTGAACAATTTACGTACGCAATAATACAGCAACATCATGCAAACTTTCAATTATGATTTGAATCTTTCTGTTAACCTGAGCTAATTTAGTGTCAAATGATTTATGGAATGTCACAAACTTAAAATTGTGTTCCCAAAGTGTTTTAAACTACACATTGACTCAAAGGGTATGCAACTACACATTGTTTCAAGTGATATGCAACATCACATTGTCTTAAGGGATATGAAACTGTACAATAATTGAGGGGTATGCAACTATACATTTTTTAAGGGGTATGCAACTACACATTGTCTTAAGGGATATGCAACTACACATTGTTTAAGGGGATATGCAACTACACATTGTCTTAAGGGATATGCAACATCACATTGTCTTAAGGGATATGCAACTATACATTTTTTAAGGGGTATGCAACTACACATTGTCTTAAGGGGTATGAAACTGTTCATTGAATGAGGGGTTATTGAACTATCCTGTTTCAAAGTTTCATAGGATATGCAACTACACATTATTTAAAAGGATTTACAATTACACATTGTCTCAAGAAGTCGCAAATAAGAACCATTTATTGATCAAAATCTATAGAAAGGGTCTTCAAATACGATTTTTTTTTCAAGGGGTCTACAACTACAAATGATTTAACCCAAAAAATCTAAATTCTAAACTTTAAAAAAATTTTAAACTAATCTTTTTCCTTCTTTTTCATAAAATTTCAATTTTAGATCCCTAACAACAGACCTTAACACAATGAAAGGTGCTGACGGTTACGAAGCCTACCGCCATAAAGAGTCAAAAGCTCTCAGCGATCTCGTACAAAAGCGACTTCACTACCTTCAAAATCCTTCCGATTGCTCGACAGCAAGAAAACTAGTTTGTAAGATAAACAAAGGCTGTGGCTTTGGTTGCCAATTACATCATATTGTCTACTGCTTTATCATGGCATATGCAACTGAGCGAACACTGATTCTTAAATCGAAAGGATGGAGATATCATAAAGGAGGTTGGGAAGAGATTTATCTTCCTGTCAGTGAGACATGTCTGGACTCTGATAAAGGATCACAGGGAACGTGGCCACAGCAGGATGTTCAAGTCATGTCAGTGCCAATTATTGATTCATTGAATCCACGTCCATCTTACCTTCCACTTGCCATCCCAGCTGATTTAGCACCAAGACTGACAAAACTTCATGGCGATCCAATTGCTTGGTGGATTGGACAGTTGTTAAAGTACATCCTTAAGCCACAGCCCGAGACACTCGAGATGCTCGAAAATGGCAAAAATAAATTAGGATTTAAGAAACCAATTGTTGGTGTTCATGTCCGACGTACTGATAAAGTCGGAACGGAAGCATCATTCCATAGTCTAGAAGAATACATGAAAGGCGTCGATGACTACTACGACCAGCTGGAAATGGTCGAGCATGTTGATAAAAGACGAGTTTATATAGCTAGTGATGATCCAAAAGTAATTGATGAGGCAAGGCGGAATTATCCGCAATATGAAGTAATTGGTGATCCAGAAATCGCAAAGGTTGCTGCTGTGTCGACGAGATATACGGACTCGTCGCTCAATGGAATCATGTTGGATATTGATTTACTATCTAAATGTGATTATCTTGTGTGCACTTTCAGTTCGCAAGTTTGTCGTGTAGCCTATGAGGTAAGTTTGAGTATTTAAAGTGGGAATGAGGTTGATGTGAGTCGAGTATGATTTTTAGGTTAGGTATAGGTTAGGTATGGGTTAGGTATGGGTTAGGTATAGGTTAGGTATAGGTTAGGTATAGGTTAGGTATAGGTTAGGTATAGGTTAGGTATAGGTTAGGTATAGGTTAGGTATAGGTTAGGTATAGGTTAGGTATAGGTTAGGTATAGGTTAGGTATAGGTTAGGTATAGGTTAGGTATAGGTTAGGTATAGGTTAGATATAGGTTAGGTATAGGTTAGGTATAGGTTAGATATAGGTTAGATATAGGTTTGATATAGGTTAGGTATAGGTTAGGTATAGGTTAGGTATAGGTTAGGTATAGGTTAGGTATAGGTTAGGTATAGGTTAGGTATAGGTTAGGTATAGGTTAGGTATAGGTTAGGTATAGGTTAGGTATAGGTTAGGTATAGGTTAGGTATAGGTTAGGTATAGGTTAGGTATAGGTTAGGTATAGGTTAGGTATAGGTTAGGTATAGGTTAGGTATAGGTTAGGTATAGGTTAGGTATAGGTTAGGTATAGGTTAGGTATAGGTTAGGTATAGGTTAGGTATAGGTTAGGTATAGGTTAGGTATAGGTTAGGTATAGGTTAGGTATAGGTTAGGTATAGGTTAGGTATAGGTTAGGTATAGGTTAGGTATAGGTTAGGTACAGGTTAGGTATAGGTTAGGTATAGGTTAGGTATAGGTTAGGTATAGGTTAGGTATAGGTTAGGTATAGGTTAGGTATAGGTTAGGTATAGGTTAGGTATAGGTTAGGTATAGGTTAGGTATAGGTTAGGTATAGGTTAGGTATAGGTTAGGTATAGGTTAGGTATAGGTTAGGTATAGGTTAGGTATAGGTTAGGTATAGGTTAGGTTTGCAGATTGTCAGTAGTGTATAAAAGAAATTTAAAAAATACAATTTACTTTAAATTCTGCTTCCAGATAATGCAAACATTGTATCCAGATGCATCGAGTAAATTTAAGTCATTAGATGATATTTATTATTATGGTGGTCAAAATGCCCATAACGTGATAAGTGTTATGGATCATCAACCAAAGAGCGCCGAGCAAATTCAAATCAAGACTGGCGATCTGATAGGAATCGCTGGTAATCACTGGAATGGATTTTCAAAAGGCAAAAATGCTAGAACAAATGTAAGCATACTTAATTGATGATACAACTCTAGTCTTTGAGATTTAGCTGATTATTATCAATTTTAATTTTAGCAAAATGGACTTTTCCCATCATTTAAAGTGAATAACAAAGTCGAAGTAGCTGATTTTCCAACATATAGTCACGTCGAGTGAGATAGATTTTAATATTAAATCAACAAGTCAAAATTATCAAAAACAATTTCGAGTAAATTTGTGGAAGTAATTTAAAAAAATTATGATAACGAAAAATATCAATGGAATTTAGCAGGATTCAAACTTTTGGTTAAATTTTAATAATTTAAAAGAATAATTTTCCGAACCTTAAAACTAAAAGGAGTGAAGCCAGGAGTCTAAAGCCAGGGGTGTGTTTGGTATTTAAAAATTCAGAACATCTGTCTTGGGGTGTTAATTTAAAAACACATTGTATTTTGGATAAACCAGGTTAAAACCTACTAGTCTAGTGAGCCTAGTAAGCCATTATGTGTTAAACTAGAATGCACAACCTCATTAGAAGACTATACCTTAGTTCACATCATCCACCCAAGCCCTCAATCTTCACAAAATCCACAAAAATGTCAAAAATAAAAACAATTTTTACCTCTAAAAATTCAAAATCTTACTTTTGAATTAAAAAAAAATCAAATTTAGACAAAAAATATTTTTTTTCGGTTGTTTTCTTTAAGTTTATCCACGTAAAATTAGCATCAAAACTTTTTATGTGTTGTCTATTTTTTTACTATGAAACTTATGTGTCGATATAAAATTAGTAAGAAAACCTGGGTAGTTAAATTCGTTTTGCATTTATTAAGACAAAAAATATTCTTATGTTGTACATAAAAGTAATAATAATAAAGAAAAAACTTTTTTATAAAAAAATGTTAAATTTTACAATTTTTTTAAGTCAGGAATATCCCTTCAGTACCTTTTGAACCCCTTTTTTTAATTGTACACCCCTTTTAAATCCCTTCGAACCTTCTTGAACTTTTCTCGGAACATCATGAATTCTTTTTTGACCCTTTAACGATTTTTTGACTTCCTTCAATCTTCTTTTGACTTGTTTAAATCGTTTTTTGACCCCTCAAAACTTTTTGACCCCCTAAAACCTTTTAAATCCAATACAATTCTCCCTAACCCCTTCAAATCTTTGCTAAATTGCTAAACCATGTCTTTAAAATGTCTTCATAAAGTAAATTAATCATTTAAGACCTTAACCCCTAGGCGTAGCCAGGAAGGTCTGTTCCAATTCCTTCCTCACCCCCTTTAAAAGTATTGACCAAAAGCTCTGTTAAACAAACCTTTAATGATCCTTAATTTATTAACAAAATCGAGATTTAAATTTTCATTCTGAATTTCCTTCATATTGTTATTCAAATCTTCATAAAGATGATCATTTTTGTGCTTTCGTTTTTTCTGAATCTCCAACGGAATTGACTTGTACCAGTCCTGTATAATCTTATTACCAATATCCCCAAATCTGCTTCTTGCTTTTCCATCAAGTTCACCCAAATCTGACCAGTTTTCAACAACATTTTCTTTGCAGTTTCTGAATTTTTGGACCTTAGTTGACATTCCAAACAGGCATTTATTAATAATTTTAAGTGGATTAGGTTCTTCTAAGCAGTGATTTGGCAAGTGCTTCCAACCAGTAGACAGAGATTCTAACTTTAGTTCCTTACTTGTGCATGAGAGGAGAGCTAATGCCAAAGCTTTAACTTCTGGAATGTGATGATAGTAAACAAGTAGTTCTAGTCCTTGAATTCGAGCCCAAGCTTCTGCAGTCTTTTCGTCTTTTGGTTTATCAAGCATAATGCAAGCTTTGCCGATGATTTCTTGGACTGATTTTACTGGCATCCATCTTTCAATTCTGTTCCTGCCGTACTTAACTTTTACGAAATTTTTTGAGCAAAAGTTTATGTCCTCCATGTTGTCGATAATTTTAGAGTCCTCGTCAAGTTTCAAATTCTTACGAATCAACCCAATTTCATTCAAAAATTTGTGAGCATATTTTGAATACAGGCTAGCCTGCCTTTCTCCAAAAATCAGCACGGAATCATCACCAGAAATTTTCCCGCCAAAATCATCCGTATGTCCTTTGAACAAACAATTAAGCATCCATTTTTCAAAGTTGGAATCATGAATTCCATAAGAGTATGCAGCAGCACACATGGACACGACTGTGTTGGTTATCGTATTCATTACGTAAGTTGTTCTTCTTCCTGATGCAACTTGACCCCTTAGCTTGTAAATTGCAGTTTCGTCACTAAACATTCCTTCTCTGGCTATCATGACATGTGCATTTGCATAGAGTCTGTAGAGATTAGTTATGTCTTTCTTAAGAGATTCATCATTTGTTATGTTTCGTAGGAAGTTTGCTTCATGGCACAAAAGTCCATAAGATACGCGGGTGTCCCAACCTGAAATGTCGTTGCAAATTGCTTTTCTTGAATTTTGGTGCATTATTTCAGCCAGCTTCTCGCCATAGTCGTATTGTGGCATACCTAGAATTGAGATTGGAGGTTATAATTTTAAATTTGACTCAAAACTAGAATCTTTTCTTAATTTGATATAAACTGAGCAGCTTTTAACCTTAATTGAGCAACTTTAAATCTTAACTGAGCAACTTTGATACTTAACTGAGCAACTTTGACACTTAACTGAGCAACTTTGAACCTTAATTGAGCAACTTTGACTAAAACTGAGCAACTTTGAACCTTAACTGAGCAACTTTGAACCTTAACTGAGCAACTTTGAACCTTAATTGAGCAACTTTGACTAAAACTGAGCAAGTTTTATCCTGAACTGAGCAACTTTGAACCTTAACTGAGCAGCTTTCACCAAAACTGAGCAACTTTGAACCAAAAACTGAACAAAATTCTTGCATCGGATGCATTAAAAGTCAAAAACCACCAAACCTGACACTGAATACGGCAGCATTCTTAAAATATCCTCATGTCCTCCAAAAACTTGAGCCTCAAATATCCTAGCCGTAGCTGGTAAGTACCATATTAACCGATTTGCTTTGTCCAAATTTTTATTTTTCTTCTCAGCCTTTGCGGTTGTTTTAAAAATACCAAACATTGGTTCTCCTTTTTCTAGAGACTCTTTAAACCATTCGACACGCTCCTGCCACAAGTAATGTCCATTTGTCTTGTATTCAACATATTCTTTGAGAGTCTCGAACTTATGCAGTAAAAATTTATCCATGATTGTCTTTTCCTGCATCCCCATCGAGCTTGACAGATTGATTGACTTAATAACTTCATCATTTGACAGCCTTTTAAGTTCCAATTGTCTCTTGTTCATCCATTTTGCTAATATTTTGTAAGCTTTTCCTATGCGATCCCAATGTGGATGTTGTTCCTTGGGTTCTCTGTCAATTTTATCTTTAATCATTTTAGAAATGCTTTTAGCTGTTGTTGGTGTAGCTTTCCATGCGGCAATCTCAGGAACATTATCTCTCAAGTGTTCAGTCAATGAGAAAACTATTTTGCTGTAGAATGTCTTATCAGTTCCTCTTGATGGTGAGATGAAATATCCAATTTCTTTTAGAAAATTTGTTTTATTTTTTGGCTTTAATAACTTCTTTTCCAATTCATTGATTGATGCTGTCATTATATATGGTGGGAGTAGAGGAATACCATAGTTGCCAAGGGCTGACCAGCCTGACTCATTTTCATATTCAACTTGCTCTTCATTGAATTCTGATATTTTGGTGATTATCCATGAGAATAAATGTTTTAAAATATTCCATAAAATCAAAATTAGCTTTTCAAGGATGGACTTAAGTTTATCAAAATTACAGGTATTATTGTTAGTTCTACGTCTGTTGGAGTTATGAAACTGATTGGTTCTGCTGATCTGGAAATTATTGTTATTATTCTGTCTTGAGTTCCATCTTGTACTGTTATTGGAACTCCTGTAATAAAATCTACCAGATTTTTGTTCAATTCTTGGAATATTATTAATCCAGCAATAAGTGTCGATCACCAGTTTTACACCATAAACAAGCATGAGTCCAGTCAAAAAGTTCATTGTGTAGTTGAAAAACAAATAAAGAAAAATTGGCAATAACATTAGTGGTAATTCTCCATTGCAACAAGTGACGATATACAGGAAGAACAAATACGTTGCAGACACGTACGGCAATGATAGCTGATCGAACTCAAATTTTGAGGTTGTTGAAATTATTCTGGAAATTATGAAATTTTGATTAATATTCATTTAATTTAAGAATTTAATTAAACTTGCTCTAACTGCGACGACATCTTTAAATGCTCTGGAGAATTGAGGCTTAATTACTGAGATTGACTTTTAATAGCTGCAGTAAATGCAGCAAAGCAATCTCTACTGATAAAAATAATTGGAATATGAAAATGCGAATGTATTCAAAAGAAATTGTTTGCAAACATAAACATGCATACATTCAAACATAACGCGCGCCTGTGTAGGGTGACCTTATATGGAATATTTATGCTTTTTTGTGTATTGGAATTTGGATATGAATTTATACAATGAAGCTTATGAGGTCAACTGAAAATATCAGGAATCAGGAAAAATAAGCTATCCCTCCTTTTTGAATAATTTCTTCAGGGGTATTTCACTTATGACGTCTAAGGTTCAAGAGGAGAGACCCCTAAATATTTGACAAAATAAAATTTCATCATCCACCCCCCCATCCCCCCACTTCCTCCTCCCTATTTCTCGAAAACATACTGAATAAGCTCCAAGAAGATATGTTGTCTTAATTTTCATGGACGTCATTTATGAAGGTGAACAACATTGATTTAATTAAGTTCCAGAAATGAGACCAATCCAAAGAAAAATCTTTTGAAAAGCTATTAAGCTTATTCAATAAAGACATGAAAAGATGGTTATCCTCAACAAATTCAAAGACACAAATTTAAATAAAATACAGCATGCAAACTTCAGCACCATTATCACTTTTTCAATGCATTTGAATCAATTGTGAATAATTTTCACACAATCACATTCTAAGATTTTATCTTTTAGCCGGTTCGAATGTATAAGCAAAAGTGAAGCGAGAAACTTTTTATTTGCCTTTTCTTCTTATTGGGATCCTTCACTTATTACGTAACGCAAAAAAATACTTCTTAAACCCCCCTCCCAATTAAAAAAAATTTTAATGAAACAATTTCTTTTGTTTGAACCGTTGAAGCGTTACGTCATAAATGAACGACCCCTTAATGAAATAAGAGCGTCTTTATAAAAAATGAAATAAAATTTTAAACTCAATTTTTTATTAAAGTCTTTATTAAGCCAGGTTTTTATTAATCCAGGTTTCTATTAGAACCCCCCCCCCCCCCCGAAATACTTCATTGTGACATTTTATGCTGCAATTTGACGATAAAGGAACTTTAAAGCGTCAAAAGTGATGCAAAAGGTCTTTTGAATGACAAATTTACTCGCATAAAGCGACAACTTTAGAACCATTTTTAAGGCTTGGATGAATTGTTTGCAAATTAGTCTGCCGATTTCATCACAAAATTTAGTCAAGTTGCGATCAATTTTATGTCTACAATCGTCATTCAAAAAGCAAAACGATGCCAAAAATGCCAAAAATATTTCAATGTCGCCGAGAAGTACGCTTAAAATCACCGCTAATAGGTGAAATTTTCGGAGTTTTTTTTCTTGATGAAAGAATAAAATTATGATTGATGTGATGGCAAAAGTTTCCATCTTGTTGAGGAACTGATGAGATTTTTAGTCTGGATAATAAAACAAAAATTTGGGGAAAATTTAGAGCATACTTTTAAATTTATTTAAACTTACATGAAAAAATGAATCCAACTTTAAACGAAATTGTTTCTCACTTGAGGGAATCGTATTGACTGAAACATATTAATAAAAGAAACTCAATGGAAATATGTTTGAGTGATTGACATAAGGGTGACTAAACATGGAATATTGTATTATTTACATTTTATTAAGGGACAGATGCGTAGCCAGGAGGGTCTTGTCTCCCTTTAAACGTTTTGAAAAACTCTTCTAGCTACGCGCCTGTTAAGGGAGTATGAAGGGGTTGGGTGACCCTTTAGACAAAATTTTCAGTGTCAACGCCTTGATTTTGTCCTCTTTCTCAATTCTTAGAGTTCAAACTTAATAAGCAATAATCAATAGCCTCATTAAAAATCGAACCTCCCCCCCCTCCAAAGAAAATCAAGCTTTAAGCATGTCAAAATTCCATCAATAGCCACCCTGCGATAATTTTCTTAACCGATAAGTATGATATTCAGATTACAATTGTATAAACTTCAGCACTGCCTCAAATTCTTAAAGAACTTAATTCTACTTTCGTGGTTATAGCTTCGCACAAATACAGTCGAAAATCTCATTTGCTCGATACTTGCTGTGCACTAAAACATTGTTTTATAAGCATTTATACATCAAAGTCATGAGTAAACATCTAGAAACAAGGTAAAAGTTAAATTCTTGTGTTTTGACAATTTTCTAGACTCTAAAAAAGATGGAAAGCTTCCTGAATAAGTATGAAGAACGTATTTTAAAAAGAAGTCATTAACAAATCGGCTTTAAGTCTTTACTAAGATGACAAGTTATCACTGTCGAGATTGGCATATGAAATTGGTTTTGGATCATTCATACTTTAAGGAAATACAAAGAAGATATTAACAGACAGGCATTGCTGCGGAATGTAAAAAAAAACTATGACTCAATTATTTACATTTATTTTTAGAAACAATGTTATGTGCCTATTTATGTCTTCAAATAACTACAAGCCAAACATGATTTTTAATTCTATTAAAACCAAAAATTCAATTTAAACTTGATCAAATATTCCATAAAAATGTTATTGAGAGGGGAATCGGTAGAAGCATAGGCGTTGTTAGGAGTGAAATTTCCTCAATTTGCTAGGATTTTTGAGAAAAAAAAAATAGCAAGACCCTCAGACCCCCCCCCCCCCCACCCTTTCAAAAAAAAATTCCGTCGTTACCAAAAAAATTTAAAAACCCATCCTTCAAAAAAAAGTTCTGGGTATGCTGCTGGTTGTCATTGTTGCTTTCTAGCACTTGACTTTGAAAAGGTGGACCTAAGCGTAGGCAATTTGGAATGAAAGGCACAAGTCTTTGCCTTTGTCATAGGCAACTTTTTTCATGCCCTTGCCTTTGTTGCGCCTTTGTAAAGGCAAAACTTTGTTTGATCAGATGCAAAATCTGGTATCAACACTGCTGGTGGTCTGCTTTTTTGTGATAGTTTAAAAAAAAGCATGAGGAAGATGCGAAAGAAGTTCAAAATGGCAATTTTTAATATTACGAAGCATTTTCAGGAATAAGACTTCATGCACGCCACATTATTAAATGCCAAAAAATTTGTAAATTGAAATATTTGTGAATATTCAACAACATGTTATAGGAACGAACTCAATTTTTGTTCTTATTTAAAATTAGTTTTGATTGAATTATCATTAAGTAAAGTTGAAGGCCAGGTATAACATTAAGTTAGCACATTTGTAACCTCATTTCGTAAGAAAAATAGCTGTTATAGGTCAACTAAGTCAATTGAGGACGTGAATTTTTTTCGATGGTTCTGTGTGTTGTGTGTCCAGCAACAGAGTCAGATGGAAGGTTTTTTTGTTGTAACCTAAGTTCCACATAGGAACATGGCTACAGGAAGTAAGTAAGTGTGTTATGTGCCAAGGATAGACCACAGGAGTTTATCGTTCAAGGTTATATCCAAACATTTATGAACCCTTTTGTATGGAACCAATACCCTTACAATACAATACAATAATGTGTGAAGGGCCAGTTTTTCAGCTGGAGGCACTGACATTCAAATTAGAACAGAATCTATTGGACCACACCCTTTAGACCTATGTACAGTTTACAGTGGGATCCGAACCACATGCAATAAAACAATTTGATGCTACGCTCATTAAAAGAAAGGTTCTCTGGATTGTCAATTAATTAAAAAAATCAATTAAAAGTCCATCAATTTCTACTGTCTATCAGGTAGAGTTCAGGAAAAAATTGTTTTATTGGAAACTTTTTATTCATTAATAACAATTTCAATTGCTGAGAATGACAGCTTTAGAGCCACAATTATTTTAAAATATATTACCGGTGATTTGACGCAATTTTTTTAAACTTTGATCAAGTTTAACTTTAAATTTCTCGTGCAAAATACAAAACGATAAGAAAAATGCTAAAATAATTTCAATGTCTCCCCATAAAAGGCTCACAAGTAGCGCAACCAGATGATATTGTTGGAGTTCCTTTTTCTTTGTTTGATGCAAGAACAAGACTAAGATTGATGTGAGGATAAAGGTTTTCATCTTGTTAATGGACTCGATGACTCGTGGATGATTAATGGATCTGAGTGGCATAAAAAAAAATAAAAAAAATTTTAAAATAATTTCAAATTTCAAAAAAAAACTTACAAATTAAATTTTTTATTTAAATTAATTGAATTCGAGAGAAAATGATGAATTTCAAAATTTCTGAAAATTAAAATTAAAATTAATTGAATTTATAACATTTTAAAATTTAACAATCTTACTATGAACAATAAGTGTTGCTTGCTAGAAGGATGGATGCTGACTGAACATTTGGAACTTTATTGAAGTCGTTTTTAAGGAGTACGAAAAAAAAAATAAAATTTATTTAGATTGTATCAATTAATTTGTAGCAGTGGCAAAGGTAGGGAGTGTAGCGACCAGGGAGTTGGTCAAAGTGAACGTGAACCATGCAAAAGAATATATATTAAGTAGGTGGGGGGGGTGGGGGGGATTTTTCTCAGATAAATCCAGAGTTTAAAGCAGAGCTCAAAGTCGACTCAACTTATCTCGAATCGACTTCATTTGTTTCGAGTTGACTCGAGTTGACTCGAAAAAAAAGTAGTCGACTCGAGAAAAGTTTAGAGCTCTGGTTTAAAGTCGACTAAAAATAACTAAAGCGGACTTAATTTTCAAAGTTGAATTTACTCGTGTCAACGAGAGTTGACTTGAATCCTCATCGACTTCAAGCTATGGAGAAATCTAAGCAAATTTGCAAAAATTCTTAAACAAAAGTTCTTTATTACTTCATCTCTTGACCCTCTGACTACGCTCATACCCATGCTCCTCAATTTTTTTTTTTAAAAAACTTAATGTTTAACAACAAAACGATAAAAAATGATGCACTGATGACAGATTTTAACCTATTTAAACACAATAAAGTGTAAATCCTCCAATGTCCTCCTCCACCTACTCACAATCACATGACCCATGTTCAAGGTGTTTCAATGAAATGTTCCCATTCACAGTTTTTGTGTCGCAAGTTTCCAAAAACAGAGTTACCAAAACTGGAGCAACGAAAAAGCCCTTAACCCTTCCTGGGTATTAATCTAGGGTCTTTAAAGTTGGTGAGCCGGTGTTTTAAACAAATGTTTTAAATATTGATGTACGTCATTTCTTTAATTACAAAAATGAGTTATTGTGACCATGAGCGTGGATCCGGCGCAAAGCGTAGCCAAGAGAGTGGAGATTTGGGTAACATCTCCTTACGATAACAGAAATCTCTATAGTTTATATGGTAAAATCCTAAAATCCACCCCAAAATTTTCTATATAAAAAATAGAAAAATTAAAATTCAGTTCGATTCATGTTCTATATTCACATCTTCTCTCACCATACCGAATTTTAAAAACCTGTAAAGAAAACTATGTAGTCCATGCCCTATATGTATGTTATAAAAATGTTAAGTACTCGACATGTGTGATCTTCAAATTGAAACAGCTTAAACTTCGGCACATGCATCAATTCTCTATTTTTTAAACTTGTATGTGTAGCTTCTCACAAACACAACCATAAATCTTACTCATAAGCACTTGTTGTGCCTGAAAACATTGTTTTGTAAACATTCGTAATCCATTTGAGTTTAAATTGAGACATTTTTATTTATTTTACTATCAGTTGTGATTGTTTCGTTGAGCTTATCGCAGCTATTGTGAGTTTAGGTTACACTGAAGCTAATTAAAGTCAAGTAAGTCGGTGTAGTTGAGAAAAAAATTGTAAAAACTGAAGAATTTTTGCAGATTTTTGAAGTAAATTTTGTTTATTTTGCCGGTTTTTGGGTTTGTTTTGGTTTTTAAAATGATCAAAAAATTTTAAAATTATCGGAAAACCTGCGAAACAACTTATTGCACTTAAGTTGAGCTTTTATTAATTTATTTGTCAGTTTCAGGCCATAAATTAATCTCAGAAAAATGTCTGTGCCGTCAATTAAAATGTCAAGTGGATTCAGCATCCCAATCATTGGTCTTGGAACCTGGAAGGTAAGGAAAAAATGTTTAAAATTCTGAAAATTACTTTAGATTGCTTATGAACAGCCAGACAGTGTTGTAGCTTAGGAGCTAGGGGTTACTTTGACTGTCAATGGTTTTATTGAATTCTTTGCCTTTTTTCTTTTGATTCTTAACATCTGGGAACACCATAACATGTAGAAAAGCTGCAAAGTTGTGATACTAGGCCGACATTAAGCTAAAACTGAGATACATTCAATAAAATTCTTCACTTATCCACCTTAAAGCTGGGTTTTTTGACTTATCAAGTCGTGTGCAGTTGAATTTCTATTTGTACTACAAATAATTACAACATTCTTAACTCCAGTTCCACCTCTGACCACAACTATCATCCAATTATGCTTCAGACCCTTAATTAATCTCACATAAATCCAACAATGCGTGAAATTGCTCAATTAGAAATTGAATATTGATAAAACATTAAGCAACTTATAATTTGCTGATTAAGTAGTTGACTGATAATCGTGAGTTGATTCCTCGTGACGTCAACAGTTTGCAGGCATGACATTTTGTATTGTTTGATTGAAAATTCCGGTAAGGTTCATAATTTAGGGTCAGTACGAAGCTTAGAGACAGCATTTTTAGAATTTTCAGAGCTAATGTCTAAATAAATGATGCAGAACTGTCAAAAGAAACCAAAAATGATCAAAAATCCTAATTGCAACTATTCCTCAAACAAAATAACATAATTCCTCTTTCCAGTCTCCACAAGGTCAAGTTGAACAAGCTGTCAAAGATGCCATTGACGCTGGCTATCGTCACATCGATTGTGCTTTTGTTTATGGAAATGAAAATGAAGTTGGTGATGGAATTGCAGCCAAAATAGCCGAAGGTGTCGTCAAACGCGAAGACCTCTTCATCACATCTAAATTATGGAACATATTCCATGACCCAAAAGATGTCAAAGGTGCTGTTGAGAAGTCATTGAAGCTCCTCAAGGTTGACTATTTGGATTTGTACTTGATTCATTGGCCAATGGGATATGCAAATTTAGATAATGGAGCAAATTTGTTCCCAAAGAATGAGAAGGAGGAGTGGATCTTCTCGGATGTTGATATTGTGGACACATGGAAGGGAATGGAGGAGCTTGTTGATGCTGGATTGGTTAAATCAATTGGATTGTCGAATTTTAATTCAAAGTGAGTTGTTAAATAGTTGCAAATCAGCTTATAGTCGAATTAGTGCTCTAGATTGTAGTCAGCATTAACATTGACAAATTTGTAAATTTATATTGATTCCAGGCAAATTGAGAGAGTCATGGCAACTGCTAGAATCCAACCAGCAATGCTGCAAATTGAATGCCATCCATATCTTAACCAAAAGAGACTGATTGAATTTTGTAGAAGTAAGAATATTGCTGTGACTGCTTATTCTCCACTAGGTAAGCTTTGCATCATAAAAATGACCAAGAAAAAGATTCTAAAATTTTGATGTATTCAATTTCAGGTTCAAATGACCGACCATGGGGTAAGAATTATTAAAATTGATATTTTTGACTTGACATATTGCTAGTTGTGTGACAGCAGTCAGAGACTGGTGGAGTAGCACTAAAAAAAAGCTAAAAGTGTTTAGAGTTGCCATATTACTGCTGCTCCTTAATTAAACACTAGAAACCATGCATAAAGATATAAAATCATCAACTCAACTCAAGAAGCACCAAATGAACATTTTATGTCAAAACCTTTACCAAAATTATCTAAAATCCCTAAAATTATCTTACATTTCCAGCAAAACCAGAAGATCCTCAACTCATGGACGAACCAAAGATCGTCAAAATAGCTGAAAAATATGGAAAAACTCCAGCGCAGATTCTCATTCGTTATCAAGCTCAGCGCGGTGTTGCAGTCATTCCAAAATCAGTCACTAAGTCAAGAATCATCAGCAACTTTGATGTCTTTAATTTTGAATTGAGTGATGAAGATGTCGAGTTAATTGACAGCATTGACTGCAATGGAAGATTATGTGTATTAGGATGGTGAGTCTAATAAGAGATTATTGGGATTGGGGATGCTAATTTGTTGGAAGAAAATTTTTCACATTGTTGGTTTATGATTGAATTGTGAAAATTTCTACAATTTTTAAAGTTGTTTAAAATAGATCATAGACGTGTTAAGTAGTTAGGATTAAAGTAGCATGTTTGTTGTTAATGATGAGACAAAGAGCAGTGTTTCTTAAACTTTTTTGGTACAAGGCACATTTTTTGCATAAAAATGTTTGAGGCATACTTGAATTTTTTTGCGGCACATAGTGTGCCGCGGCACATAGTTTGAGAGCCACTGGCATAGAGGTTAATGACTAGCTATGTAGAAGATGTGAGCGAGCAAGGTTGCGACATTAAGATTGAATTCATGATTAGATCAGCATGAAATCTGCATTTGAGTAGAGCTTAAACTGGTTTTGCTTGGGAAGAAACTGCATCAATAAGGAACCATGCAAACTCCATGTCAGTTCTAACTCTGTGTCTTCTATTAGTTGAATTTAAGATTATTAAAGACTTGCAACTTATTTATTTTACAATTTTTTATAGGGTCAATCATCATCCATTCTACCCATTTGCTGAGGAGTTCTAAGCTGTTTATGGAGACCATTTGCCAACCGTGGTGGACCACCTTGAACCAGATTTTAGACATTTAGAACCAAATTGTTCGAACAACATTAATCTCTATATTTAATGAACTAATAAAGTTTATAACAAGGCGTGGAATTTTAGGATTAATCCTGAAAAATCCCTAAGCCAATAAACGTGGAAATGTAAAATCCCTTTTAAAATCCCGAAATTATTCATCAAAAAAACAGGAATTTAAAAGGAATTTTACATTTCCACGTTTATTGGCTCAGGGATATTTAAAGATTTTTGGGATTTATCCTAAGTTTCCATTCCTTGGTTTAAAATTTAAAAATCTAGTTTCTTTACTCTCAAAAAATCAGCTCTAAAAGCTCTTTTATTTGGCAATTAAAAATATATTTTTGAACTTATCACTTAATTACCTCACATTATTACATTTTGTCATGGATTGCACAGTTAAATTCTTCAAAATAATACAAAAAATCCTACAAATTTTCAATTTTCTTCCTTAAAAATACGCAAATTTACTTCAATAAATTCAAAATTTTTGTTGCAAAAGCCCCTAATCTACCCAAATGTACTCCTTACCTACTCCAACTCTAATCATAATCTCACTTTTGATTGTACAAAATGATGTAACTTGCAGGAAATGGCAAGAAACCAGTTTTCTTAAACACATAGTAATCATACGAGACTTTTGTAAACAGCGCAATAAGCAGTAGAACTTCAATCACAATCAGATATTCGATGTAATTTGCCCAATCATCAATTCCTGATTTACAGAGTTCAGTTTCTTTTAATTCTAGGATTTTTGCTTGCATGTTGTTGCAGAGAATCTTGTCACAATCGTTGATTAGGCGCCAGTGGTTAATGTTCTTGACGATGTGACATTCGCAGGTGAGACGGTTGCCGCCGAGGTAGAGGATCTGAAAGGAAACAGAGGGGATTAGTAAGATAGAGAAGAATAAAAATTTAACCAAATTTTTCCCAATTTTTCCCATTCCAAACATCAAAACTAACCTTTCCATTGAGATTCTTCTCTAAATTCGACAATATATAGTACGGAATATCTTTTATCTTATTATTCCTCAACGACAGCACCGTAAAGTTCTCCAAAAATTTCGACCCCTCCAAGTCAACAATAGATGTGATAAGATTATCATCAGCAAATAAGCTCTTAATATTCAAGTAATAGTCATTCGTAACCAGTGCAGAGAGTGATGAAATGCTGTTGTTTGTGATGTTTAAATAGTAAGTATTCTCAGGCAACTTAGTCGGTAGCTTTATGAGTCCAGAGTTGGAACAATCGACGTCTGAGATGAAAATTAAATGATCTTTCTTATTTTCTTCGATGTTTGTATATTGCATGTGTCCTGGCTTGCATCGACACTTTTCTGGGCAGTCATATTCGAGTTTTTTGCGCTTTTCGACGTCTGAGATTGTTATGGATGCTGTGTCATTGAACCAGTAGACCACCTCGCTTTCACAGAGTGACTTCTCTTTGTTGAAGAATTTTACGTCCTTTTCTAATGCAGCTGAGATGTTGATGCATGATATTTTTGAATTTCCGAGGATGTCGACGGTTGTGTTTTGCAGACTAGGAAGTTTTGTAAGATTATTGGCTGACAAATCGACAATCTTCAGTTGATTAAGGTTCATGAAAGCTCTTTCGTTGATTTCTGTGATGTTATTGTTCGAAAAGTTAAGACACTTAATAGATGAGAACCTGGCAAACTGTCCAACAAGTCTGCTAACATTTCCATCCGTAATCACCAATGAGTCAACTTGTTTTAATGAATTCAACTGTGTCACATTAATTTCAGCTTGTGTAGCATTGATAACATGAATATTCTTATATGTTGAGGCATTCATGCTCAAACAACCAATAGATTTCAGGATGTCAGTCACATTACAGCAGATTATTGCATCCCTAAACTGCTCACATTCACAACCTTTTGTCGGTTCCTTTTCAAAACAAAATTGATTGATGTCAGCATGAAAACATGGAGATTCGTCGACTCTTCGTTCCTCTAAAGTTGCTTCCAGCACTTCTGATTCTTTTTTACCTTCTTTTGAGTCTGTTGTGCCATTTGATGATCCTACTTCACTTATCACATTTTGTTGTGCCTGATTATCGTCCTGGATTTTACCATAAACCCCAAAAATCAGGAGAAATATTAAAATTTGACTTTTCAGCTTCATCGCTAGTGGAAAACTGAAAGAGAATGTGAAATTATTGTGATAAGGTAAAGAGTTGGTTGTTTTAATTTTAGGATTGGAAGCTAGGATCTTATTTCAGACTTAGTCACTTGAGTCTTTATAGCTTTCTGTCTTACTAGCTTCAGTCCTCCTAGCTTCAGTCTTACTAGCTTCAATCTTACTAGCTTCAGTCTTACTAGCTTCAGTCTTACTAGCTTCAATCTTACTAGCTTTAGTTTTACTAGCTTTAGTTTTACTAGCTTCAGTCTTACTAGCTTCAGTCTTACTAGCTTCAATCTTACTAACTTTAGTTTTACTAGCTTTAGTTTTACTAGCTTCAGTCTTACTAGCTTCAATCTTACTAGCTTCAGTCTTACTAGCTTCAGTCTTACTAGCTTCAATCTTACTAGCTTTAGTTTTACTAGCTTTAGTTTTACTAGCTTCAGTCTTACTAGCTTCAATCTTACTAGCATAAATCTTAGTCACTTGAGTCAACATATAGCCTCCAATCCTAGTATCAACGCACTTAATCTAAAGAATCTCAATTGTTGTGCAAATAAGGGCAAGCTAATGTCAATAAACAAGACTCACCTAAAAATATCCTAACAAATGATTGCATTGACGGTGAAATTGTTGATTTTGTGATTGTAAAAATTCTTACTTAATTGACATCAGTCTTGTTGGTGGTACTAAGGCACTTTAAAGGATACAAAATTGAAATTAATAAAAAATTGATATAAATTGCGATGGAAATGGGAATATATAAATAATAATATTGAGTTAAACTTCGATAGAGTGGAGGAACGAGGTTCTGTTGTTCTTGGCAGTTGGAATCGGATGAAAGTGAAACAAAACAAACTTTCTGTTTACATTGGAGCATATTAAGATTCCAAAAAATCAAAACAAAAATAAAAATAAACCAAAAACTACAAATTTAATTGAATTTTCTACATAAGAAGTAAAAAGCTAGGCAACGGAGTAAAGTCACTCATCTGAACTTACTACAACATAGTAACTCAAAAGCTACTAACCATGGATATTTCTAAAAACAACAGATCATCCAAAAGCAAAAGTTTAAAAAGACAAAACAATAAAAATTCAAATAATTCTAAATCAAAAGTACGAAGAACAACTAACACAAGACATCCTGAAGACAACGATGCTAACAGTTTCTGCGAAGTCATGGATTACTATCCTCCTGTATCGATTGATCCACAAAGTAACGACAACACAAGTTCAGAAGATCTTGAAGATGAGAATGACAACAGCAATGAACATGAAGATGTGTTTGCAAATGTACAAGGAATTGTTAAGCAAGAAGGATCCTCAGACAATGAAGACAACGAGAGAAACGTCATCAAACAAGTTTTTGTCGAGTCACATTCAGTAAGTATTATTTTAATATAATACATTTTTTGAATGAGGAATTAGGAAGATCAATTGAGGGTCTATCATAAGACTGTCTAGCTATATAAACTCTGTATCTGTCTGTATGTATGTCAGGTTGTCTGACTAGTTGACTCCTACAGCCTCAACTTGTACTCTTAAGCCAAACTTGACTAGCTCATTAAATAATCAATTCATTTACATTAAACTTCACATTTCCAGGCCGTACCAGAATCAAACACAAAACCAAATGATAGCAACATCCTGAGACATATTATGATCAAGTTAGACAGAATATCATCAACAAATGAGCACAACTTCCGATTAATATCAGCACAAAATAATGAAATCATAAAGCAACAAATCGGAATTAATAAAAACTTAAAGATGCTCGAAAAACGAGTTCAAAGGATTGAAACTAAGCTACAATGTGAAGTTAAAATTGATGATTTTGATCTTGACTTTATCAACAATGTGGATGAGTTAAAGCAGTTCTTATTAAGCATCCAGAATGATCGAGAGTACAGCACTAAATGTGTAAGTATATTAAATTAAACATATAAAATGACTAAACCTATGACTAAACTATTCAACAGACTGTTTATCTTCATACACACTGCCCAAAAGGATCATCAAAGTATACTCACTACGGAGTCATCAAAGGAATCATTGATAAAATGTTTAGTCCGAATTTTAAGAATATTTGTGGCTGGGCATCTGAAAAAACTAAGAAAAAGTAGGTTTTGAAATCAATAATTCACAATATTAATTGCTAATTTATTTAACTTCACCTTACAGCTCTGAAAATCAGAAAACTACAAAATCAAATCGAGTGTTGCTCTCTGAGCACTTCTTTTTCCAAAAACTCATACTTGATGTCCTTAATTTTAATTCAAATGAAACGTTTACGATGGAGCATGTTGTGGAAGGAATTAAGGAGTATTACAAACGGTTTCCAAGAAAAGCAGTCGATAGTGAGACTGAAGGAGGTTAAATTAATTCAATGTAGTTCATCACTTTATAAATTTAATATTATGTTTTATTTAAATGTTGATAGTTAAGAAATTGTCATTCGTATTGATTATGTTAAGTTTGACTAAAGTTCAGCTTGGCTAAAGCTCGGCTTCAATGAAGAACAATTTAACTGCTCAGTCTTGACTGCAGCCCAGATTGAACTTAGCTCAGCTTGACTGAAGCCCAGCTTGAATTTAGCTCAACTTGACTGAAGTTCAGCTTAACTGAAGTCCAACTTGACTAAAGTATTTCTTGACTAAAGCTTAGCTTGACTGCAGTTTAGCTCGACTGAAGCTCAGCCTTGACTTAGGCTTACCTTGACTAAAGTTCAGCTTGAGTAAATTTTAACTTGACTAAAGCTCAGATTGACTGATTGTTAACAAAATTGATGCTCAGAATGATTGATCCCAAATAAAACTGAATAATAAAATGAACTTTGAGTAAGGAATTCAAGAGTTTTTGTCATTATAAAACTTCTAAGATAACTTAAGACGCCTTATAATTAATCAAATATATGATCAGGGCCCTCAAATGTCTTAAACTCCAATTTAATTACTATTCCGATTTATCACACATTCTAATTCAAATGATTCAAGAAATTAAAGTGACATTTTCATTAGAATTGCATTCCTACAAAGTAAAATCAGATGACGATATCCGTATTTATTACTTAGAAGAAAAATTAAATAAAATGAGAGCATACAAAAGAATCAGAATCAATTATATTTCAATGTAAATTTCATTCAATAGTTTTCTAAAATATTGTATAAAAGTTTAGTGCCTTTTCCTCAATTTCTTCAGTCATAGATTTGAATTCATTTGGATCATACATCACCTAAGCAGCAACTATGGATACAAAATTATTTTTGATATTTTTAATTTTCTTAACATCGACTCAAAATAAAGTTTTTGTCGAAAGTTTTGAATGCTTTTATTCAACTTACATCAACAACTTCAAGATGCTTCCAAAATACATTTGTGAGATGAGACCAGACTGCTCACATCACAACCTTAGCTTCATTGATGGACATCACATGTCAAGAAAATATGACAGCGATGTTCAAGTCATCAGTCATCCATATGGACTTAAGGACATCACCTTAGGTTCATTTACATCGACTTACTGCGATAAATTCAATAATCTCGAAAACATCACACTTGTGGATTTAAAAATCCAAAATCTAAGCCAAGCTGCCTTCAAAAACTGTCGAAAATTGGAAATTTTGAATTTTAACTACAACGAAATTCGAGAAGTTCCTGAAAATCTCCTGACCGCAAACCGCAAATTAAAATCATTTTACATCAGCACCAACAAGATAACAACATTGCATGTCAATACATTCAAGTCACAGCGGGAACTTACAAGACTTGATTTATCAATGAACAAAATCAACTGCCTGCCTAGCAGCTTATTCAAGCCGCTCACAAAACTCGACACTCTGTCACTCGGTGGAAATCAGTTGACAATATTGGATCATGCTTGGTTCCAGCCACTCAAAAATTTGGTCACATTGCATCTGTACTTTAATGGCATTTCAGAATTGCCGAGTGGTATTTTCAGTCCATTTGAAAAATTATGGCTTTTGGCACTGGAAAATAACAAATTATCGGAAATTCATCGAAGTTCTTTCGGGAATCTTCAAGATTTAGAGCATGTCTATCTTGACAATAACCAAATTTCAGCAATTGATGGAGACTTCATTAATAGTTTGAGGAAAATTAAAGAATTAGATTTGAGATTAAATCAGTGCAGCAATGACAAGTTTTTTACGTTTGATAGATTAAGTCAAAAGTTGTGTTATTGCATTCAGAATTATAGAACGACTGGTGAAAATAGAGGATATTGAGCTAGTTATGATGAAAAGCTATATGAAACTATAGTCAGAAGAGCTTAAGGCTATTTGTAGCTAGTAGGGCTTAGTAGTGCCTTAATAGTTCTTAACTGTACTTACTAGAACTTAAGTAAGGCTTAGTTGTACTTAGGAGAACCTAGGAAACCTTATTAGTGCTTAAAAGTAGCTGCCTGTAAATAGTTGCCTGTTCTGTAACTCAAAGATAATCTAGAAACATGAGTAAAATAATATAATCCGAAATATAATTAATCATTGGAAAGTAAATCATTCAAAGTTTTTAATTCATTGTTAATTTTTCTTGTGAAATGTGACAGCGCACCAAAATAGATTTTACTATTCACTCTCGGGATCTAAAAGCTTGATGTCCTTTAATTATTGTCCAATAAACCTATTGTTGATCACTTCACGCATGAATTTTGCTGACTTTTTAGCTGTTCGTTCCTTTGTTGGACTTGTCACATTGACGTGGTAAATTCCAAATCGTTCACTGAAGCCTTTGCGCCACTCAAAGTTGTCTGAAAAATAATTTTTTTAAAAAAAAAAATAGAGTCAAGGGTTTAATACGTTGATGGATGCTCTGAAATACTCTTCGGGAGTGCTATAACAATTGAATCCAGATATCTCTCCTAATCCAGTAGTTTGGGCAGGGGCAAAGCCAGGATTTTTCAAAGAGTTGTGCCCAAAAACATTTTATTTTCAAAAATCATTAAAATTTTCTCTATTCGATAGCTTTTGGGAATTAACTGCGATTTAAAAGTTGAATTTGGGACTAATCAAAATGATTAAAATTGTTCAAAAAAAGATCATTGATCAGTTCCAAAACCCTTGCCTAAACTTTCCTTACTATTCTTTTAAGCTTTAGATGCCATTAAAATTAAATTTACAAGCTTTTTCCGAATAGCACAAGTCGGCTATTCAAATCAAAGGTGCAGAGTGAGTACATTTTGATCATTTTCGATCATTTCATCAGTTCCGCATCCTTGAATAAAATAGCAATTCGGCACCAATCTTTCATTTCATTTCAGTCCAGCACCATGACATAATCACACTGGTTCGGAGCTGGATTCCTATTCGATTAACCAACTTGTGCTATTCGATTCTCTTTTGATCCAACTTACCAATAATAGACCACGCAGTATATCCGATAACATTACACTTTTCCTCATTAATCGCTTTAGCCACAGCTATCAAGTGATCTCTAAAATATTCAATTCTTCCATCATCATTCAATTGCCCATCATCACTCCATCCATTCTCAGTAATCAGTACTGGAATATTGTCATATTGATCTTTAATCCATACGAGAGCATCATGAAGACCTTGTGGGACACTGTACAGCCATGATGACTTTGCTCGTTTCCACGATGGATCAATTGAGGTTCGAATTCGAGAATCTTCAGTTATTGTTGGATTTGAGGATGGATTGTAGTCAGATGTGTCAAGTTCTGCATATCGGGATGAATAATAATTAAATCCAAGGAAGTCAGCAGTGCCTCTGACAAACTTTTTAATGTCTTCTGTCATTTCTGGAAGTCTTGACCAAGCTCGTCCTTCTTTCTTGCTTCTTTCATTGATTTCATCAATCATTACTTGAGGATATCCACCAGTCTTGCTATAAATTGGATGAGCGAACCAGCCAAGTTCAAAATTCATGAATCTGTCTATGATTTCAGGTGAATCTTGTGGATTTTTACGGAAATAGAAACGACTGTCCAGAGTAATTCCAACCATTCCACGTTGATCTTGCTTAAAGTGAGCTTTGTAAGTTTCATAAGCAGCTGCATGAGCTAAAATGACATGATGAGCACACATGTATTCACCAACACCTCGGAGGGTAATTAAAGGTGGAGTTGATCCATAAGAATATCCTTCAACGCAACTTTCGAATGGCTCATTGAATGTTATCCAAATTTTAACTCTTGACCCGAAGTTCTTGTACAATGTGTAAGCATAAAGCTTGAAATATTTAATAAAATATGGATTAAGGAATCCGCCAGTATCTTGAATCCATTGTGGAATGTCATAATGAAGCATAGTCACGACTGGCTCAATGTTGTTTACAATCAGTGCGTCGATAAGCTTGTTGTAGTAATCAAATGCCTTTTCATTGACAATTGTGCTTGTTGGAAATATTCGTGACCATGAAATTGAGAAACGATAATGTTCGAACTGTTGGATATTGGGAAATTTATTGTGGTTACAGTAGATAGTTTAAGCTGACTACTTACACCGACTTCCTTGAGTGCTTTGATGTCATCCATAAAATGGTGATATGAGTCGTCTCCAACATCTATTAATGATAGGAAATTCAATGAATTGAACAAGAATTGACAAATAATTAAGCTATTCTTGGATCGTTAAGCAATTTTGTTACAAAACTCTTTCTTATTACGTTGTTGTCCCCTTGCAATGCATTTGGCATAGTTAATGCTGACAGGATTAGTCTTAATTTTTTCCGAGAGTCCAACCTATAAAGACATCACGAAACTGAAAACTTGATCCAAATTATGTATAGTGAGTTAAGTATGACAAGCAGGAGGTCTAAACCAGTGATGCCCAACTAATGTGTCGCAAAATATTCAGAAAATCCCATGAACCGTGTGTTGTGCGCGGTTTCTGTCATAATGTATCTCTTAGGTGTGCTGTGACAAAGAAAATGTTGTCCATCACTGGTCTAACCTATTAACAAGGGGTTCAGCATGTCAAGAAGAGATTCTAAATTTCAAGAATGGCCTAAATCTCTCTAGACTGTCCAATTTTTATGTCAATACTAATTTTTTCCTTTTCAAAATTCAACCTTCATGAAGATCGATCCTGCTAGCTCATACTAATGCCTCAGTTGCGGCTATATTGTGAACAACAAAACATTCTAAGACAAAATCACAACAGCGGAAACAAAACAATCACAATTTGATAAAAAATATTTAAAATGTTTCAAAAATTCCACTTCCATTGCCTTCAACTCACCCCCATTGCTTCCATCAGCAATCATTTCCGGATGATTATGCACAAATGTGTCCCAAATTGATGGTCCTTTACCATCTTCCTTCCATCCACCTTCGATTTGATAAGCAGCTGTTGCAGCACCAAATGAGAAGTTTTTTGGAAATTCGTAAATATTTTCAGCATCAATAGCTTGACTTTCAATTAAAACTGGAGTCAATGACAGTGAGATGGAGTTTTGTATGCAAATTAATGTGATTGTGATAAGAATTTTGAGTGGCATGACTGAATGTTGATGCTATGGACTGTGAAATTGTACTGAGATATGAAGTTTTTGAGTTTGCTGAGTAGAAAAATGAGAATTTTTTGTCATTTCTCTGAGAACTTTTTATGTAAATTTTTTTGAATTACAAAACAAGCCGGTTGTGTTAAAAATGTTTTTTTTTATATTCTCTCAATTTTATTACATTAACACTGAGTTTTTGTGACATTTAAAAACATTTAAATGATTTTGACAATTTGTAGATTGAACACACTTTTTATATATTTATAATTTTTGAAATATTTTTGAACGAAATTCAAATTTTTTTATATTTTTTCAAAAATATTTCAATTTTTAAAATCAATTTCATAAATTTACATATAGAAATCTTTTAAATGCAAAGCTGAGTCAGGAAATCTAGTTTGATAACGCTGAATTTTGCAAAATCAGCAAATTCAGAAAAATCAGCTGAATATTGCTGAATTCAACAATTCTGCAAAATCAACTGAATAGTGCTGAATTCAGCTGTATAGGGCTGAATTCACCATAATCAGCTCAAAAGTGCTGAATTCACCAAAATCAGCTGAAAACTGCTGAATTCAGCAATATCAGCTGAAAAATGCTGAATTCAGCAAAATCAGGTGAATAGTGTTGAATTTAGTAAAATCAGAATAGTGCTGAATATAGAAAAATTATTTTATGCTGAACTCATACGAAAGAGCTGAATTATTTAATTTTTATATACTTTTTTAAATAATCTTTTTGACGAGGTTTTTGTATAAATTTGTAAAAATGAGGTACGGCTGTTGATTGCTTTATGGAACTAAGTTCCATATAAATGCTTTGATTGTTGCTTTGTTGACTTGTTCTAACCTCAATTTCCTCCTTCTTGACCAATAATCCCACAAATCAGGCATGCAAAGATAGCAACACACTACAACTATGAGAATTTCCTTCTAATATCTTCAAAATAACTCTCCTTTGCATGCACAACCCCAGCTAGATCAACCCTTCATTCCCATAAATTATCCCCACTTTAAATTTGTTGCATTGGTTTCAAGTCCTCAGCAATACTGAATTCAGCGTCTGTGGCTGCTTTCAATTGTTCGAGTGTGATGTCTTCTGCTAATTCGATGAGAGTCAATCCCTTCTCTCTGTCTACATTAAATACTGCCTTATCTGTCACGATCATGTCAACAACATTCTTGCCGGTTAATGGAAGTGAGCATTGCTTAAGAAGCTTTGGTGAGCCGTCTTTGTTGTTGTGTTCCTGGAAATAAAACGAAATTTTTGAGGTTAGATTGGCTTTTTTTGAGGTTAGATTAAATTTTTTTAAGGTAAATTGGATTTTTTGAGGTTAAATTAAAAATTTGAGGTAAGGCTGGAAGTTTTTAAGGATAAACTGACAAAATTTGACGCTAGGTTGGACGTTTTTGAGGTTAGAATGAATTTTTTTGAGGTTAGATTTTAAATTTTGAGGTAAAACTTGAAACTTTTAAAATTAGACTTGAATTTTTAAAGGTTAGCCTAGAAATATTTAAGATAAAATTAAAATTTGAGGTTAGTGTGGAAAATTTGAGGTTGTCTTAACTCACCATTGTAATAATAGTTTTAGTTCCTGGAGCTGCAACCAAATCCATAGCTCCTCCCATTCCTTTCACAAGTTTACCTTAAAAATCAATCAATTTAGTCATTTTCATAATTTTCACCCAGCTAATCCAAAATGCTCACCAGGAATCATCCAATTAGCCAAATCACCATACTGCGATACCTCCATAGCTCCCAAAACTGTAATATCCATATGTCCACCTCTAATCATAGCAAATGAATCATCAGATGAGAAGATTGAAGCTCCAGTAATCATTGTGACTGTTTCCTTTCCAGCATTAATCATATCAGCATCGACCATGTGAGCTTCTGGGAAGGGTCCAAGACCAAGTACTCCATTTTCAGATTGAAGATGCACTGTGATGTCATTTGGGATATAATTACTTGACAATACTGGAATTCCAATACCCAAATTGACATTCATTCCATCACTAAATTCACAAACTACACGCTTGGCGATTCTCTCGCGAGATTTTGCTGTTTTTGATGGTGCTCCATCCAGTCTTCGGACTTGAAGTCTTTCGATTCTTTTCTCGAACTTAGTTCTGACAATTCTGTGTACGAAGATACTTGGGATGTGAATTTCGTCAGGCTGAAGTTCACCAACAGGCACAATTTCCTCAACTTCTGCAATTGTGATCTTTGCAGCTTTACACATTGTTGGATTGAAATTTCTTGCTGATTTTCTGAAGATTAAGTTTCCCATTTCGTCAGCTTTGTAGGCACGAACGAGTGCATAATCTCCTGTAATTGCCTCCTCCATAATGTAAGGAAGTCCATTAAATTCTCTCATTTCTCTTGGCTGACTTGGAATGACAATTTTTCCACCTTCACCGTACTTAATTGGTGATCCACCTTCTTGAATTAAAGTTCCAAATCCAGTTGGTGTGAAAAATGCTGGAATTCCAGCACCACCAGCTCTTATTCTTTCAGCTAATGTTCCTTGTGGTGTCAATTCGAGTTCAAGTTCACCGCTCAAGTATTGTCGTTCAAATTCGGCATTTTCACCCACATAAGATGCAATCATTCGCTTAATGCGACGATCTTTGAGAAGAATGCCGAGGCCAAAGTTGTCAGTGCCTGGAAATGGAAGTGGAAAGCATTTTATTTTAGGTTGTATAGATCTGAGCGTCAACAGGTCATTGATAAGAAGCATTTAGGAAACTAAAGGAAAAGAAGATCAAGAATCCAGTTCTACTTACCAGCATTATTGCTCACAATTGTAAGTCCAGTCTTTCCTGTGTCTAAAAGTGCTTGAATCAAGTTTTGAGGAATACCACAGATGCCTAGGAATGAAAAATGAATAATTTTTAATTTGATCGAATTTTGTTCATGTAGCTCAAGTAGCTTCATGTTAGTCTCTTGACGGCTTGTTGCTGGGGTAGAAGGGGGGGGGGGGGGGGGTGGTATAGACAGGACATCTACCAAAGTCTCATGGATCAAACTATCAGTATACACGTTGCTACATGTTACGATGAGCTGGAGGCACTGCGATCCTGATTGACAGTATACATTTACAACTACTAGGCTATATCCTTGAATAGTGATGGTTGTATCCAGAAAAACAAAAGCCGGTCAATTGAATAGAAGTTCGGCTCCAGACCATTGTTTTGGCGTGGTGCTTTATAAATTTAAATCCAGCACCATGCCAGAATTACGCCGGATCGTGAAGGATTATTGATCAATTAGCCGACTTGTGCTATTCCTGGATACCTAAGCTGCCCGGAAGTCAAAGTTGGTGGAGTGAACTCAGTTCATTACATTCACTGACTTCGACCTATGATTAAAACCTTTCCCAGAAAGTACCATCTTCAAACTTTCTGACTACACCAAAATCCTCTTTATGTTAAATATGAATGACTTGATAATCCATAAAACATGTTTGTAGCTTACCAAATCCACCAACCAGCAATTTAGATCCATTTGGAATATCATCGACTGCATCTTGTGTTGTGCTGTAAATCTTTCCTTTATAGGCTTTGTAATTTATATTTGAGGATGAGAATGAGCATGATAGAATCTAAAACATATAAAGAATTGTAAAATTTAAGTTCAGTGTCATTTTAATTCATACTTAAGTGCCAATAAGTTGTAGGCAATACAATGTAATCAATACAAATACAAAATATTCATGGAGGTGTGTCTCGTGTCTCATATAACTCAAATACATAGAAGACATTCAAGTTTGAGAATCTCATTATCTAAACGAATTTATTTTTTTGTGAGTCGACATAGTATTTTTTGGCTAGTAAAAGTTCAACGACACTCGTAAAAATTTGCGTCACATTCTTTTTTACTTCCACGAGCAAGATTAAGCAGTAAAATCTGGTTTTGTAGCCTTGGCAGATTGTTGTGTAATTTGTAGAATTTTTATTTTATTATTTTGATTTAAGTTTTGATTTTTTGTGTTAGAATGATTTATTTTGAATTTTATGTGGGATGTAGGCATGCTTTTTTGTGGTTTTAAGACCGATGGGAAGTTAAAGATCAGGTTTGTCAGTATTTCCTATCAGAACTGTATCCATACCATGCCATACCCTAATAGTATCGCATAAAGTCAGCGTTAAAGCATGATCAATCCCAAATATTCCAATTCAACTCTAAAAGAGTTAAAGACTGCTCACAAAAAAACTGATAAGAGATAACAAAATCATTATCAACACAAAACCCTTTTCAGCAGTTCCAGTTCAAACCAGATTAACATTTTCTTCATTTCAACTAGCAACTGCGGCACCAAAATCTCTCTAATCTCCCATCAAAATGATGAAATCACTCCAATTAATGTCATAATCCCAACCTTATCGCTCTCAAGTAACAAAATAGAACAAGAAATTAAAAAATCTCTGCACGATTTAACTTAGTCAGACAAACATCACCTGACCAGATTGTTTTTAATTCAAACACTTGATAAAAAAAATCTCAAAACAGCTGTTGGAGTCGATTTTTTTCTTCTTTTTTCATTATCAGCGGCCGCACTCGTGAGTTGCTAAAATATTTTCTGTCGACGTAATTGAATTGAGTAGATTTTTTTTGGTTTTGGGATATAAAAATAGATTTAGAATGGATATATTCATGAAAATATGAAATTTATTGGGGACATTTTGAAGATTTTAAATGATTTTTATGTGAGTTGATTTAAGATTTTTTGGAAGCAACTATTCGAAAGCTATTGCCTTGAACCTCATCTCACTTGCTTACAACGATGATCGATTAGATGAATTGTGATCAATGACCCATGACCTCCCTTGGTCTTTCCCTGAAACCAGTTCTATAGCTTGCCACCGTCTCCCAATCAGAGTTGCGACGACAGGTACCTGTCACAGGCACAGGTGACAGATCCTGTCAAAAGATGTTTCACAGGTCACCAGATTTGCAAATCTGAGACAGATCTGCCAACATGTGGCCTGTTAGCAGGTGACTGGTGGGTTGTATTCGTTGACCTGTGACAGATTGCAACTCTGCTCTCAATTGTCGATTCCAAATTCAACCTCATCACAGAATCTTTAGCTTATTTCCGCAACGAGTCAATCGGTGGCTAGGTTACTGTAATAATAGATCCTTGGTTATTCTCTATGCTCGGAAACTAGATCGGTATACCGTCAAATATCACCAACTTCCATTCAAATACCTTAAAATATCCCCAAATACCTTAAAATATCCCCAAATACAGCCTCTTCATAAGAAATACCGCTAAATATTGTCTTTATATACCGCATAGCTTCCGAGCCTGGGTTATTTTTAACCTGTTGGACTAGAAGTTCAAAAAGGCAGATAATGCGACAAATCCTGAACTGGTGGAAGGTTTCAAAGAGTAGAGCAGTTTTTAGACTGCCCATTTAGAATGGGCACATGTGTGCACTCAAACAAGGAAGTAAGTAAATAATATGGAAAATGACGGGTAACGCAGAAACCGGTTTTTAGGTGTACTCGAGGCATCCAGCACAAGTCTCAGATCAATTTTATTTAAATCTCATAAATAAGTACATTAAAGTAGGATGTGCTGGGTAGACATAAAGCTTGACATCGATTGATTACTGATTGTTTGGTTAATAAGACGACTTTCATCTGTCGCTTCAATTTTCAATAATTTTAACATAATTTTGCTTCACACAAACCAGATTTGCTCTAGATTAACACTTATTATGCCAATATCACGAGTTTTTTTGCAAATTCTTATCCTAAATAACTAGGCGTATGGCTTACAATTATCACTTTTTGAGTAGATTGAAGTCAATTATTATCAGCAACACTCTAATTACTTCACACACTTACCGCATTGAGGTGCTATCACTCAAATTTTCTACAATTTATTTCCACAACTGCGAAATAATTGGAAATTTATCAAAAAAAAAGTTGCTGAAGTTTGCGCCAAAAACTTGAAATTTTTTTTATAAACTAGAATTTTTCACAATATTTCATTGACGGCTGATTGATAATGAGACGTAAAACGCTGCTGACCTTGAGACACAAAGTATTTTTCCCCCAAAAAATTATTATCTGGAAATATTTTTTTATCCAACTTACTCTGCAATGATTCACAGAACCTCTTAAATTATTCACTTTAAGGACAGATTTTGTGAAATTTCCGAGCATTTTTGACAAAAATCTCTTCCGAATTAGCAGTGAAAATGAGAAGAAAAAAAACTTGCCTCGCGATAAATCCAGCACTCGACTGACGCAAATTGTCGTAAAAATATCTCAAATTATTATTTACATGACGTACATCCAAGGTTGTACGGTTTATCGAGGCTCGTCTGCAGGCCGCAAATCAATTTGTAAACAAAAAAAAAGTCGTGAATTTTTATTTTATAATTTTATTAAATAAAAGGCTAAAATATGAAGCCGATAATTGTTGTGAGGAGATATGAGGATAAGGACTTGCTGCAGATGCAGGAGGTGATCAGGAACTATGTGATGTCGATGTTTTCGAATGCTTTTTGGTTCTGTTTGTTTCGTGAGGTGAGAATTTTTTCTTTGATGGATTTAGGAAATTTTGATGAAATTTTACGAAGTTCGATCAAAATTGAGCTAAGTTCACCAAAATAAACCAAAATTGACTCTAGTTTGACCATAACTAGCATAAAATTGACTGAAATTGATCCAAAATTGATCAAATTAAGCTAAGTTGACCAAAATTGACCAAAAACTTAGCAAATTTGATTAAAAGTGACTAAAGAATAAATAAAAACAGGCATAAGCTTCCTTAAATCTACTAAAAGTGAAGATAATCAATCCAGTTCCACCAATTTTAACCATTTTTCGCTATAATCTTCCAGATAACTCTGCAACTTATCGTCCTGTCAACCGCAATTTTCTTCATTTTTATCGGAATTCCATTAATTTACTGTCTATCTTCTGTTCCTGTTGTAGTCGTTCTTATTGCAGGTAAGGAAACTTTTACCTAACCTAGCTAAGGGTAGGTAACCTAGCTTTCAGCTGGCTCTTTCCCTAGCTCCTAATTGCCTTTTCCCAATGCTAAATACAATCCTGTTTCTACAAACACCACCCAGCATACCCTTAATAAAAATCTAATCTCTCAATATCAATCTCCATTAAAAGTCTGCGTCTACTGCTCGCACTACAACAAAGCCATTGAAATGTCAAACATGCACGCTCCAGTCTGCTTTGTTGTTGATCTCTACGAGCCATTTACTATCCTATTAGACAAGAAGGAACTTGAGTACATCCACTTAACAGAAGAAGAACTGAAAAATCATCAAGATGAGATCAAAAAAATGAGACCGAAGCGAGTTGTTGGAACAATTTCGACTAGAAATCATCAAGCATTGCATGAGTCGGCTTGGATTTATCGGATTGCAGTTGATCCAAATTACTCATTTGTGCAGATTACAAAGCCGATGATTTTTCAAGTTATGGAGCATGCTTATGTCAATGGAATGTTTACTGCTGAGACAACATGTGCTGAATGTCATGAGGATGTTAGGGAACTGATGCTGAAAATAGGGTGAGTTTTGGTTGATTGATGATTGAGGGAACTGCTGCTGAAAATTGGGTGACCAATTAAGATGATGATTGATTGATGATTGATGATTGATGATTGATGATTGATGATTGATGATTGATGATTGATGATTGATGATTGATGATTGATGATTGATGATTAATGATTGATGATTGATGATTGATGATTGATGATTGATGATTGATGATTGATGATTGATGATTGATGATTGATGATTGATGATTGATGATTGATGATTGATGATTGATGATTGATGATTGATGATTGATGATTGATGATTGATGATTGATGATTGATGATTGATGATTGATGATTGATGATTGATGATTGATGATTGATGATTGATGATTGATGATTGATGATTGATGATTGATGATTGATGATTGATGATTGATGATTGATGATTGATGATTGATGATTGATGATTGATGATTGATGATTGATGATTGATGATTGATGATTGATGATTGATGATTGATGATTGATGATTGATGATTGATGATTGATGATTGATGATTGATGATTGATGATTGATGATTGATGATTGATGATTGATGATTGATGATTGATGATTGATGATTGATGATTGATGATTGATGATTGATGATTGATGATTGATGATTGATGATTGATGATTGAGGATAAAATTAATTTTTTCTGTCTGACTTTTCAGCTTCAACATTCGACAAATCTACCACAAAACTATCATAGGAAGTAGCTTGCGTGTTATGAAGGCACAACTAGGGATCGATCTGCAAAAATTCTACAAGAATCACCAAAACAAGGAAATATTGAATCAGCAACGTGATTACAATAAATCTGAATATTAAGCACTAAAGTTTGAAACCTAAAATCTCATTTTGATTGATATTATGCTTGACTTTAGCCAATGTCAAGCAGCATAACTAATAGTAATTAATTTCATTCCATTTTAATCTCGAATTTTACGATTTTTTGATTAATTTTATAGAAAGTTAAAAATTATTAAAAATCGAAAAAGACTCTTGTTTAGAATTTTGAATAAAAAATTTTATTTTCCAAAAATGTTTGATTGTAAAAATTAATTAGGTCCATCTGGTTGAGCTGGTTCTTCTTTTTCATCCGCACCTTCAACTGTTTTAGTAGATTCTTCAACATTTTCTTCATTTTTACCACCATTTCCCACCTCAACCTTAGCTACTTCCTCAACCTTAACTTCTCCATCAACCTCAACGTCCTCAACCTTCTTCCTCTCAAACAGCACAACCAATTCACAATGATTTGTATTCGGGAACATGTCAACAGCTCTTGCAATCTTAGGTTCGAATGGCACGCCCTTCATTGACTTTGTTGAGTTCTTACATAAATCGACAAAATTCTTAATGACTTGTCTTGGTGAGCAGCTGACATAGACGAGTCTTTCAATCTTCTTTGAGTTTCTCAGTTGTTGAATTGATTTTGTATTCAGACCTGCCCGTGGCGGATCAACAATTGCAACAATACTTTCATCATCCTTAACATTCGCATTTTTGACCATTAACATGATTAAATCATCAGCACTTCCAACAGCAAAATGTGAATTTTTAATTTCATTGACTTGTGCATTGTGCTTTGCATCTTCAATTGCTTGTGGAATGATTTCCATGCCGTGGACTTCCTTAGCGTATTTTGAGCAACAGAGGCCAATTGTTCCAGTTCCACAGCAGACATCCAAGACAGTTGTTGTTGGTGTAATTGCAGCTAAGTCAATAATCTCTTGATAAAGCTTCTCAGCAGCTTTTGTGTTGCCTTGAAAGAATGAAGACGGAGAAATTCTGAATTTTAGGCCATGAATGAAGTCATGGACATGAGTAGAACCATAGATGTGCTTGATAATGTTTCCTTGTTGTCCAGAACGACGCTTTTCAATTTCTTCATAATAAAGTGACGTCACATCCAGGCTCTTGCCATCCTCTTCTGTGAAAAATTTAACAACGTCATTTTGGAACTTTTCCTTCTCGCTTTCTGTCATCTTTTGTGGATGAATTCCAATAATCAGCATCATTGCCTTATCATCATCATGAAGACGAATTGTCAGTTGCCTGTAATGTCCCTCACATGTCACTGGACTATAACTATCAAGTCCGGACTTGACAATAAACTTTTTGAACAAATTTGCTGCGTCTTTCATCTTTTGCGGTGGCATTTTGAGACCGTCTGTAGACTCAACGTAAATGGTGCCAGACACATAACTTCCAACACGATTGCCAACTTGAATTTCACCAGCTTCATCTTTACCGATTGAGAATTCACATTTGTTTCTATATCCAGTTGATTGTGGACTTGGAACGATCGGAAGTACCTTCAAAGCTGGATCAACATATTCAGACATTTTGGATTTTCCCTGAAAATAATCAGCCTTCCTTAAATCAACTTTAAATTGTGCGAGAACTTCATCAATTATTTGTTGCTTTGAAACTAGTTGCTCTTCATATGGAACATTTCCGAGTGGCTCACTGCTTTCTGCAGCTGTCTTTTTGGCTCTGTTCTCATTGACTTGACCTTCAACATCTTCGTGCTTACGTTTTCTGATGAGTGGATCTTTGATTGGGTTCGCTGGAACTGCTTTTAGGGCTTTTCCTTTCCATTTGTAGCCATTGAGCACTTCTAGGGCTTGATTACGGTCTAGCATAAGAAAAATTGAGAATTTAGTAGTTTTGATTTATTTTGTCAAGTTCAGGTGCTTGCACATTGGTATTTTATAGGTTCTGGTGCCTTTACACTAGATTTTTGAGGTTCAGGAACCTTCACACTAGACTTCTGAGGATCATTTGGATTTACACTAGAATTCTGAAGGTTATGAAACTACACAAGCGTTCTTAAGATTCAGATGCTTTAAAACTAGACTTCTGAGGTTCTGGTACCTTTACACTAGACTTCTGGGGTTCAGGTGACCTTAAACTAAAGTGTAACAGTTCAAGTGCCTTCACACTAGCGTTTTAAGATTTAGATGCATTCACACTAGAGTTTTAAGATTCAGCTGCCTTCGTTCTAGAGTTCTGGGGTTCAGGAACCTTTAAACTAGAGTTTTGACGATTCAAGTGCTTTTACACTAAATTACTAAGGATCAGGTTCCTTCAAATTAAAGTACTAAGGTTTAGGTTCCTTTAAACTGAAGTACTAAGGTTCAGGTGTGTTCACACTAAATTACTAAGGTTCAGGTGTCTTCACACTAAAGTACTAAGGTTCAGGTGCCTTCACATTAAAGTACTGAGGTTCAGGTGCCTTTACACTAAAGTACCAAGGTTCAGGTACCTTCACATTAAAGTACTAAGGTTCAGGTTCCTTCAAACTAAAGTACTAAGGATCAGGTGTCTTCACATTAAAGTACTAAGGTTCAGGGGCCTTCACACTAAAGTACTAAGATTCAGTTGCCTTCACCCTAAAGTACTAAGGTTCAGGTGTCTTCACACTAAAGTAATAAGATTCAGTTGCCTTCACCCTAAATACTATGGTTCGGGTGCCTTCACACTAAAGTACTAAGGTTCAGGGGCCTTCACACTAGATCATTGAGGTTTGGGTGCCTTCACACTAGAACATCGAGGTTCGGGCGCCTTCACGTTAACACAAATCAGTGTTAAATCCAAAAAAATCATCTCACCTTCTTCACTCCTCAAGCAAACAAATGCAAAGCTTGAATTCTTCCTCGGAATCTTAATTTTACTAGCATTCAATGTTAGAGTGCTTGTTATCAACTTCTTCATCTCAGCATATCCATAAAACTTTGGTAAATTCTTTACTTCAATCTTAAATGCCTCACTAGAGAATCCATCATGTTTTAGGTATCCAAATTCATCATTTTCACGATTTTCAGGCTTAAGTTGTTCAACAGTTGCTGATTGTGGATTTTCAGCATCCATATCAATATCTTTGCTGAAGTCCTCAGTGTCCATTTTAGTTTTGATTGTGATATTGAAGATGAAGTTGCCGAAATGATGTTTTTGTGCTGGATGTAAATAAATACAACGTGATTTAGGAAAGTGCTGTTAAACTTCGGTAAAAAGATTTGAAATTTTAAAGTCCGTTAAGAATTTTTTTTGAACTTTCCAATAAAAATGTTTTGGATTTTTTGTGACTTTTCAGGTAAATTTAAAGAGAATTTCAAAATAAATTATCAACCTAGTCAGTTAGATTCAAGCCAATAGAAATGTTTAAAAAGATTAAATTTTTAACATTTTTCCAAAAATTATTCAGACAAATTAAAAGAAAATTCACAAAAAAGCCACATCCAGTTGAAGCCGACCGGTTTGAGTACAATGAGAATAAATCACCATTTAACTGTGAAATTTGCTTGCTTGACATTAATCCAACTGATGGAATCATCCTCAAAGACTGCATCCATAGATTCTGTAAAGCCTGCATCATCAACACTATAAAATATTCAACAGAAGCTGTTATTGGCTGTCCACATGCTGATTGTCGAGGCATCATTACTGATCGTGAAATTCGATGCTTTATATCATATGAAGACTACGATGTTCTGCTTGACAGATCATTAAGACAAGCTGAGATCTCAATGAAGACATCATATCACTGCAAGACACTAAACTGCATTGGATGGGTTGAAGTCAACAGCAAGAAGATTGAAAGGTTCAGATGTCAAGTGTGCATGAAGGTTAATTGTATTCCATGCAGAGCAGTTCATGAAAGCTTTACATGCAGACAATACAGAGAAGAATGGAAAATGGAAATTCAATTGTCAAAGCAACTGATTAAAACAATGATTAAGGAAAAGAAGATCAAGAAATGTCCAAAATGTAATGTCTTAATTGAAAAGCACTTGGGATGTGATCACATTAAATGCATAAAATGTCAACAGGACTTTCAATGGAGTTCATTACAAAAGATTAGGGTTGGTGATCCAGATTAAGATGGATTGGAATGATTAAAGATGCAGTCAGGATGGATTGGGTGTCAAAAATTAAACAGCTTGAAGATTGAAGCTTCATTAAGAATGTTTGCATTAATTTTGTCGATTCAATAAATAATTTTTAATATGATTTAACATTTTGGTTAGTTTTTCAATCATTTAAAGTTGACTAAATTGTAGGGACCGAAAACCGGGATCATTATTATTCACAGCTTCGTCAACAATTGAACGTCAAATGTTAGGAAATATTGTGTGCTTTTAAGTACTATACGTTTTGACATTTCCAATCTTCTTCTTGGAAATTGATGTCGTTAATGACAATGCTTGCTTCTGGATAAGCTATTATATTCCTATCAATGAAATCTTGCAAGGAAGTCATGTCATTAATGTTCAAAGTACGACAGTCATGCTTGGCAGTGAACATGACTTCTATAGCATCAACAATGACTTGTGAATGTCTCATGTTAAGGAACGAAAGGAGTTGATCTAAAATTGGAACAAAAGAATGTCAATTTAAAACGTTTCCTTTGTGCTAATGACAGCCTTTACTTCTTTTTGTGTAAGGAACAATTTGGACATGATTTTTTTAAAATCTGATGCTGGGAATCAAATGAAATTTAATCAAAGATGTTAAGTTTGAATTATAACATGCTGAATGCAAGGAAGGAACTAATCAAAATGGTTTAAAATAATCTAGGTTTGGAAACTTGAAGGTGACCTAAATAGCACAAGTCGGTTAATCACATAGAAATGTGATTCTAACATGGTCATGGACTTAAGTCGAATTTAGCACCATGCCAGAATTACGCCTGGTTGGAACCGGGTTTTTTTTCGATTAACCGACTTGTGCCAAATACCAAATACCACCTTGTTTCCAAGCCTGACATATGAACGAATTAGATTAATCCATTCTGCTCTTTTGGCTCAGATTTACCCATAAAATTAGCAGAAAGTGCAGCTGAATTGTGATGTGTAGATAGATATGAATCCATTGTTGCTGTAAAAAATAGATTTGAATGCTTTAATCTTAACAATGTTTGAACTTTTACTCAATGTTGCTGAAAAACATTCAGTAAAACAACAAAAACCAAGGAGTTGTTGCCAAGGAGATATTTAAGATATTTACATAAGTCATGGAATCACTTGATTTATTTTTGTTGTCTTATCATTACACAATTTTAAAATTACATTGACATTTTGAGGTTCCTTATGGAGAGAGTTCCGTCCTCTTTAAGACCTTCCTTTCATACCTCAACTGAATAAATTTTATCCTTGCAATTTGATTGTAAATTAGATAAATTATATCAATAATGGAATGTAATCAATGAGACTTTAGTCGAGATTGCACATTAATGCCAGATTGTAAGCAGTCTGACCATACTGCAATACATACTGTCTGTTGTACAATAAACAAGCGCTCAGCAAGTCTACTTCGTAGATAACGTGCTGACCATCTGATTCAGTTCTCCAATGAGAAGTATCGAAATCGCCATTGAATCTTGGAATATCACGGAGCAGAAAGTGATCGGTGTAAGGCACTGGCAGCATAGTGTAAAAGTTATACACTGTTCCGTCGTTGATTGCTGATTGTTTTGTTTCCTTAGAATTAACAATCAATCCTGTAGTTGCTTCCAGAAACCACAGAAAAGACTGCAAATTTTTACACCTAAAAACTTCCATGTACGGACCATCCGTGTTGATTTGAATGTTATCATTCGGATCTACTGCACCAAGTTTGTCAGTAATTAATACACGTACGGCATACAAATCTTCTGCAGTAAGGCTATCGTTTGGATGTTTTGCTGTTATGACTGCATCAATGAATCCAGGATTTACTTGACGCTCGCGCTCTCTAAGAAGTGATCTGAAGGATCCATGACCTAAAAGAGTTTGGATTTGATAGAAGGTTTTTTTAATTATTAATATTAGCATGGAACAAGAGAAACAGACATAATTCAATTATTTTAAACCAAAAATCTCATAAAAAAACTGAAGGATAAAAAGGATGACCGGCAGACAAACGGACAACATGCAAATTAAAGTGTCATTTCCTGGCAGAAAAATGCACTTTAAAAAAAAAGTCATGGTTTTGAAAAAACATTAAAACTAACCTGGCAGTGGATTTACAATACGGTACGGCAAATTTGAGGCTGAAATAAAATTTAATTTGAAAAAATTGCAAAAGGGTCGTTCACTCATGACGTCCAACATTTAGGGGGGAGGGGGATCTTCTGTGACAGTTCAAACAATGGAAATTTTTTTCTTTAGAATTTTTGTGACAGAGGGGGGGGGGGTTAAAAATCAGGTTTTTTGATGGACGTCATAAGTCAACGACCCCTAAACTGATTTGATTCATTTAAATTAGCTAACCTGCAATCTGTTGTCTCAATTCGACATCATTTGCAAATGTTGAGAAAAATCGTTGCATTTTGATCTGTAATTTAAAAAAAAATTAATCATTTTTGTAATTTGTGGTATTTTAATATAAAAATTTAAATTATTTTAAGTGACTGATTAGATTTCAAAAAAAAAATTCATTGACTGATTTTAAGCGCGACGCGAATTTTTGGTACTTAAAATTTAATTTTTTTTAAAATAGTTGAATTTTCCGCATTTTGAAAAAAAAAATAAAAGTTGAATAAAATTTATTTTTCTTGCTTCACTACTTAACGCAAGAATGTCACATAATCTTCATTAAAAATAATAATTTTTTCCATTTCCCCAAAGAAGTTGTTGAAAAAAAAGGAAAAGAATTTTCAAAAAGCTTTTTTTGAAAGCTTAAAAATGTTTATAAGCTTTTGTGTTCAGCTTTAAGTTGATAAGGCTAGCTATGAGATTGAATTTGTTATTATACCTCTTTTTATCATTTTAATTTAAAAAAAAATCACAATTCTCTTAAAAATAATAAAAATTAAAAAAAAATGTAACTTAAGAATTATCTTCAATTATTAATGCAAAAAAATCTAGTCATCCTAGTCAGAATCATCCAAAAATTTACATTTGTAAGGTTCTATTTTTGGTGTATGGCTTTAGTAATTAAAAAATATAACTTGAGTTAAAAGACCTTCAAATGTTATTTAGTGACATTTGTTGAGTTTATTTTTAAAAAAATAAAAGCTTGATTTTAAAACCTTACACTAGTTATTCTTTATATCAATAAAATTATAGAAATGTGTTAAAAAATTGAAAAAAAAAAATTAAATGAGAATTTATTTTTCTAAGCTCAAAACTTAGACAATGCATAAAAATTAAAAGTCAATTATCTTACATCTCAATTGCTTGTTCACTTGCTGACATACCTTAAAAACAAGGCTATAAGGCTACAAACTTTCCATTATCCTAACTAGATTGCAAGGATTTTAAATAGCTAATGTCAAAACCTTAGTCAGCATCCACAAAATCCTTAACATAGCAAATTTTCTTCAAAGATCTCCAAAATCACAAGTAGTTTAAAAATGTCAGAAGTAATTTAACTCGACAGCCGCTGGATGCTCCACTCTTGTTGACACAGAGGACACCTGTTGCTCTGCTTCACCCATAAACTAATGCAGCAGTGATGAAAACTGTGATTACATTCGCCCCAGCAAACAACACAAGTCACGTCCTTATTTGTGGCATCCTTTTTAGATTCAGCTTGACATCTAAGACAAGCGTCCATGACTTGAACTCGACAAATAGCGCAAGTGTCTGTTGAACAGTCCCAGCTCCACATAGCGACACTAAACAATTGAAATTTTGGATTAAATATTGTATTAGACCAGTGTTGTCAAAACTTTTTTGACAAACCAAAGTCGGACGCAACATGCGGCTCGCGTCATTTACAAAATAATTCTACGGTGCCGTGGCACACAGTTTGGACAACACTGTATTAGTTTATGATTGTCGTAATTAAGGAGATCTGATCCTATCTAGATCAGTGTTTTTCATACTTTAAAGGCCGTGGAAGCAGTAAAATGAGCTGTTTAGGTTTCTGCACCATGCAGATAACTCCTAATGACACATCTTGACCTTTTTCTAGGACAGTAAAGCTCCAGGGAGCATAGTTTGAGAAACACTGCGTTAGATAAGGGATTATGAATAGTCACTGATGTACAAGAAGTTGTGCAGCTCAAAATATGAATTTTGGTAAACTAAGAAGCTCATCTGTAAGCCAGTGTACCAAAAGTTGTATTCTTACCTATTCCATCTCTTTAATGTAAACATCTTATCAGGCTTGGATTGTTCGTTGTCTGATGATTTGTCTTCGTCATCCATTCCTAAAAAATGCATTTAATCCTTTTGTTTTAGTTCCGGTTGGCATTTCAATAGCTAGCAAATGTAAAAGAAATGCTTACCTTTGATAACTGGATTGAAAATGAGGAACATCCAGAAGTGAAAGTTAAAATGATCGATTTATATTAATTAAATGATTTTAAACACATGTTCTAGCAACATTCTAGTGAAAACTATTCAAAATTTAATTCAAAGACTCAAAATAACTAATAAAATCACAAAAAAATAAAAAAACTATAAAAATACAAAAACAACAATTTCACTTTTTAAAATTTTTTCTAAAAAAATCAACTTTTAAATGAATGAAAAGTCATACTTTACCTTATTATTGTTCTAATGACTCCCAGCAATCGAATTGTATGCAAATTTTAAAGTTAAACTAATGTTTTTTTGTTAAATTTTCGAATTTAAAAAAAATTCAATTTCAATGTCTGGAATTTTTTTCAATAAGTGACTTAACATTTTATTGCAAAACACGACTTTGCCGTTGAGTTTCAACCTTTAAACACATTCACATTGATAACTGGAAGTTCCAAACTTTCAACAAGTCACAAAACCTTGTTTTACCAAAAATTCTTTTAAAAAACTTAAATTTTAAACAAAATTTCAGTCAAATTTAAGTAAAAATTGTAAAATAAAATCAACGGTTTTTAAAAATTCAAACATCTTTTCCACATTTCTACTGTTCTAATCAAATGTAAACATTGACAAACTTCTTCTCACTCATTTTACAGTCTCACATTTCAATTTTAAAATTACTTCAGTCAAGATCATCAAAAGTCTTCAAATTGACCAGCTTTTGCTTATTTCATTGAAATATTTTAACAAAATTATCAAATCAAAATGGATCATTCAGGCTATAGATCACCATTATCCACCAGATATGCATCCAAGGAAATGCAATTTTTATTTTCCGATCAATTCAAGTTTTCCACATGGAGACGTTTGTGGATTATGCTGGCCAAGGCTGAAATGGTGAGTTTAAACTTGAATAAGATACTAAATAGGATAGCTGGAATCATTTGAGGTGATCTGGAGGTTAGATAGGAAATTTCGGTATTTTCCGGTAGATTTGGGAAAATTTGCAAAATAGCTAGATCCATACTTTAAAGTGGCTGTTACCCGAATGGAACACTTGACATGATGTCTAGTTAACTACCAGACGCATGGACGATTAATGACCAATTTCTGGGAATGTTGATACTTTTTTTAATAAAACTAGTCTACTTTGGCTCAACTAAAGCTCATAAAGCTAGTTCGCTATAGCTTACAGAACCCGTCTACTATGATTGATAGAACTAGTACACTATAGCTTATAGAACTAATCAGTTATGAGTCAAAGAACTAGAACATTATGGCTTATAGAATCGGCCCACTGAGCTGACTCATTGTGGTTCATTGTGGCACTTTTAACTGATTTTAACTTAATCCCAATTTATAATTAGAGCCACAATACACAATTCCAAAGAAACTGCACCTTAACCAGCTGTTAAAATTATCATCAGCACCTTAAAACTCTCAATAATCACTTTATTAACCCAAAACCTATCTCTTTCACATTCTAGGATCTCGGCCTGCCCATCACTCAATCCCAAATAACAGAAATGGAGTCAAACATCGAAAACATCGACTTCCCAGCCGCTGCAGCTGAAGAAAAAGCAACTCGTCATGACGTCATGGCTCACGTTCATGTTTTTGCAAAACAATGCCCTTCAGCTGCTCCAATCATTCACTTGGGTGCCACTTCCTGTTATGTCGGCGATAACACAGATCTGATAATACTTCGTGATGCCCTCGATTTGTTGTTGACGCGAGTCGTGAGTGTTGTGAAGTCATTGATGGATTTCGCTATGCAATATCGTGACCTGCCGACCCTTGGATTTACGCATTTACAGCCAGCACAGTTGACGACTGTTGGTAAGAGATGTACGTTGTGGATTCAGGATTTGTTGATGGATGAGAGGAATTTGAGATTTTTGAGGGAAAATTTGAGATTCAGAGGAGTAAAAGGAACGACTGGAACTCAGGCAAGCTTCCTAGAACTCTTCAATGGCGATGGATCAAAAGTAAAGGAACTTGACAAGAAAGTCACAAAATTAGCTGGATTCGAGAGATCATATCCAGTCACAGGACAAACTTATTCCAGAAAAGTTGATGTCGATGTCGTCAACGCAATTGCGAGTCTTGGATCAACAATCCACAAAATGTGCAGCGACTTGAGACTCTTGGCATCGATGAAAGAAGTTGAAGAGCCATTTGAAGCTACACAAATTGGATCGTCCGCAATGCCTTATAAGCGCAATCCAATGAGATCTGAGAGGTGTTGTGCACTTGCTAGACACATGATTACACTTCAATCGAATGCTGCAAATACTCACGCAACTCAATGGATGGAGAGGACACTTGATGACTCAGCAAATCGTCGATTGACACTCTCGGAGAGCTTTTTATCTGCTGATGCAAGCTTATTGACTTTGTTGAATATTTCACAAGGCATTGTGGTATATCCAAAAGTCATTGAACGACACATTCAACAAGAACTTCCATTTATGGCTGCTGAGAATGTTATAATGGCTATGGTCAAGGCTGGAGGTGATCGACAAGTGTGTCATGAAAAGATTCGCGTTTTGTCACACGAAGCTGGTGCTCAAGTCAAGCAGCATGGAAAAGACAACGATTTGGTTGAGAGAATTAAGGCTGACAAATATTTTGAACCAATTTTAGGACAGCTTGAGCATATTTTGGATGCTAAGACATTTACTGGACGTGCTGGTGATCAAGTTGTTGACTTTAATGAAGAAGAAGTCAAGCCAGTGCTGGAAATGTATGCTGGTAAAATTCAGACGTCTAGTGTTAAGTTGGTGATTTAAGTTTTGAAAATAGAAGTTCAAAGGTGCTCAATTGGGGTTTATTTTGGGTCCAATGAATGCAAAACTAAGGCTTAGAACCACCTTAATAGACGTAAGAACATCCAAATCCCTTGATGACTTTCTTAAGGTTCAAAATTTATTATTTTATTATAACTATTTTAAAAGTAGAACAAATAGTAAGACTTATAATCTATAAAAAAATCAAACAGAAGCTGAAAAATTCTAAAATTCACTGGAAGTGCCTAAGGCGCATTTTTTTAAACTTAATAAAAAATATTTAAAATAAATTTTTTCAATTTTTAACCTCACAACCCAAAACCTCATCAACCACAGTCTCACAAGTCAGCACTTCATAAGCTTTTGTAATCTTTTCATTTCCATACTTGTCAGCATAAACTAGTCCGATTGATGGTAAAACTTTTCCAATTAAAATCACTCCATTGCTCTTAATTCTTCCGATATAGTAAGGCCAATTTCCTGTTTGATTGATCGAAATTGCATTTTTTACAGCAAGTCCTTTGGATGAAATTTTCCATGAAAAGTTTTGAAGTTGTGTTTTCGATAAATAACTTATTGTGTTTGTTGTTGACACTTGGTTTGAATTATTGAAGCTAAATGAGAATGCTGGCAAATTTTGAGGATTTATATCAATTTTGCCGAGGATGTATGAGTTGCTGATGTTTATTTTGCCAATATGAGAGAGGAAATTTGCGTTTTGTGAAGTGATTTCGATGCCATCGAATAAGAATGATGGCTTTGCCGGTAGTTGTTTCCAATGAGGAACTGAAAGTAGAATGGGAAAATGTTTGAGATAAATAATTATTAAACCTAACCTATACCTAATCTATACCTAACCTATACCTAACCTATACCTAACCTATACCTAACCTATACCTAACCTATACCTAACCTATACCTAACCTATACCTAACCTATACCTAACCTATACCTAACCTATACCTAACCTATACCTAACCTATACCTAACCTATACCTAACCTATACCTAACCTTTACCTAACCTATACCTAACCTATACCTAACCTATACCTAACCTATTAATATATAACCTCAACCATTATCGCATTTCCACTTTCTACTTACCACACTCAAACATTTCCTTATCTTCATTTACTACAAACTCTTCTGTGCTGGTATCTCCTCCAGTATCGGTACTATCGACACTCATTTGATTTTTATTCACACTTTCTGTTGTTCCTGATGTAGTAAACAACCATCCAGGTTTAGAATTGCCCTCATTTTGAAGTTCTATTGCTATTTCTATTGGAGTTCTTTTTGTAGTTGTTCTTCTGGTCAACTTAGTTCTTGTGGTTCTAGATGTCGTCGATCTGGTTGTATATTTTGAAGGTGTTGGTCTAGAAGAGATTGTTTGTGTAGATTCCTCAACTTTTGTGGTTGTTGTAGGTATTGATGCTTCTTTATGATCTTCTGAGGTGAGAAATATCGATGATAAGTTTGATTCTTGAAGATTACTTGGTGTTGTTGGTGATGCTATTGAGACTGATGCAGTTGTTGAAGTATTTTGATTTACTAGATCAGGTTTTAATGTCTCTGACATTGTTTCAGTAACTTTAGAGGTAGAAGTTGTGAAAACTTGGGGTGATTTAGTAGTTGCCGTGGTATGAGCTTGAGGAATTGCCGGCATCATAGTTATTTGAGTATCAGTCAGATGAACATGACCTGGAATATCCACGATATCTGTAGTATGAACACTGTAGCTACTTGTTACTGACTCACTAGATCCAGAAGAACCCAATGATATTAAGACTGGAGATGCAGACTCATTAAATTTTGGAGTCATTGTTGTATTATTTTCAGATGTCAAGTCATTAGCTTCAGTTGATGTGAAAATGAAATTCATCTCTGTGGATGTCAAGGAAGAGTTTGAAGCTTTTGTTGTTGTTCTTCTTGTGGATTTTACTGTTGTTGTCTGTGCAATTGTTGGATTGGTGATTGATATTGACATTATTGATGGATTTTCCGTATTTTGAGCTTCTGGATGTTGAATAATTTGTATTACTGAATTGCCAGCAACATTTTCAATTGCATGAGTATTATTAAGTTCAAATCTATCTACAATTCCCTCAGTTGATGTAGCTTGACTGTAATTCGAACCAATATCAAGTTCCTCTACATCTCCTTCATTTTCAACCACACTTTGAACTAAATTACCAGTAATTTGATGTAAATTCTCCTCATTGCCACTGTCAATTGGACTTAAGGTCGATTCCTCATCAGTATTCATCCCAAAATCACCTCCAATTCCACTAGCATTTTCACTTAAGCTTTCTTCATTTTCATTAACTTCAGCATTCGTTGTTGTGGCTGTTGATGAACTTATTGAACTCATTTGTGGCACAAGAGTGGTTGATAAAATTTCATTATACGATAATGGAGGTGCTTGTGTCCATGAATGCATCGAAATTAGAGCAGTTTCTGGTGGCTTTGTAATGTTCGTTGGAGATGCAGTTTGAGATGTGTATGATGATACAGTTGAGTTTGATTGCATGAATGTCAATGCTGTGGTTGGTGGTTTTGAGAAAGCTGAAGCTGTGGCTGCTTCAGTTAATATGTTTGAGCTTTCTGTGCTTATAGTTTGACTTGTGATTGATGCAATTGTGCTGAAATTATCTTGGGAGTGCTCATTAGATGTTGATGATGAAAATGGTAAGGATGGAGGATGGTAGCTATATCCATTGCTGTTATTAATGTCTTGAATGATAGTCTGGTTCTCAATATGCGGATTTTGTGATGAATTTTCAAGGAAGCTTGATAAAATAATTGTTGTATTAATTCCAGATAAACCTGAATGATCTGAAGGATAAATTATTGGTCGATGGACCGAATTTTGAGCTGATTCAGTAGTTGTAGCTATTGATGATGCTGTGGATTCATTTTCAATGCTTTCAGTGTATTCTGAATTATTAAATTCTGCATTTTCAGCACTACCAGATGGACGAGCGTCTAAATCACTATCATTAACATTTTGACATGTCAGCACTTCATAGCAATCAGTCGTCCTTTCAATTCCATTCTCATCGCCATAATACATTAGCCCAAGAACCCTAACAACCGTTCCTACATAACTGAGACCATCAACTTGATGCCTACCAATATAAAACGGCAGATTCCTTGTAGCTTGTACAGTAACAGCCTCTTTAACTAAAGCTCCATGCGATGAATTTTTCCAAATAAAATTTGAATTTTCTAAATAATCAATTGATGAGTTTGTGAACCTTACAGATCCATCAAGAGAATAATACAACCCAGCTGGATGTGAAATTTGAATTCTGCCAATTTGAAGTTCACCGTTGACTAAAGTTCTTCCAATAAATGAACTAATGCCTGGTGAAAATGAACCAGCTCGAACTTTATCATCCAAAATATTGCTGTTAAGGTCAAAAGTTTTCCATTTTGGTGCTGAAAAGTTGTAAAATAGTAAGAATCAATCAAACTAGGTCAAAGTTAAAGGAACAACAATTAATTATAGCTGAACTTACAGCATCCAGATGCACAACTTGTTCTCATCGGAAGCGAAGAATTTTCCATCAAAACTTCAATGTTTGAGTGTGGTTTGCACCAGAATTGCTCCTTGCACTTGTTCATTGCTGTGAATATGAGAAGAGGTTATGGAATAGCAGTTGATTAGGTTTGAGGATCGTTAAGAAATTAAATTTGTTTAAGTAAATTGCAAATGATTCAAAATAATAAGAATGGTCATCAAAGGCATCGATTGAAGCACACAAGTTTGTGCTAATCATGATTTTAAAGGAGTTTAGTCATAAATCAAGCAAATACTGAGTTGCAATTTTTCGAATCACATTAAAATTAATGAAATAAAAAAGGGAAGCAAAAAAATGAGATTTATTGTCAATACTTAAATTATGTCATACATTCAAAAATTAATTATGAGTCGTCATTATTTAATTGAATTGTGAGTTGTCAGTCAAAATAATAAAGTGATTGACTTAAAAAATTACAGAAGTCCTCGTGTTATTGATCGAGGGACTTAAGCGCATTTTTGTGTTAGCGATCAGTATTTGATTATGTAATTATTTTGCGTTCATTTACAGATCATGAGAAGATTAGAAGATCATTCATCATTAACAAATAATTATAATGAATGCTTATATAGAAAGGCTTTATTATTTAACGGTCAATAAATAATTTGAAATTTTTCCGCTATAAGTTGCACTACGAAAAAATTAATTATAGTATAATTAAATAATTTACTTATTGCAATAAATTTCCATTCAGAAAGAGTTTATCATTTAACGGTTTTTCGAAATTTAAATTTTAACGACTTTTAAAAATTTGAATTTATAGAGGTAGTCGAAAAAAATTTGAACAGGTTACACTGTTGAAATTAAAGAAATCATTAATTATAGTATAAAGCTATTGTTTTAAGCTTTCTAACTAGTCGATACTAGAACAAAACGATAGAACTGAGCTATTAAAACAATCCCGAGCTCTCAACGATGTCTGATTAAGGCTATCTCGGCTCGCAGCCGAGCGAACGATCAAAGTGAGTTATTAAGCTACCTTTTTGAAACAAGTTTCAAAAATGCGCTAAAAATAGAATATATTTAATATTATTTTAAATATGAACTTACCACGACAGCAAATTGTTTTTTTTCTTAAGCTATCAATGAGTCGTGTTTTAATAATTGGAATAAATTTGGATTGGCAAATAAATCCGGGCTTCCATGTTGATATGTCAGGGCATGTTGGAGCATATGCACAGTTTTCACATTTTATGGTCACTTTTAATTTGAAAAAATAATTGATTAAGTTTCAAAAATTAATTTAAAATATTTTTATTTTTATTTTTTCTGATTTTCAATTTTTTGTTTTATTTGCGAGTGTGAGTTTTTTTATATTCCTCAAATATTTTTTTCGTTTTTTTTCAATTTTCAATACAATTTTTCTAAAGAACTTTTTTTTTAAAAATTAATTTAAAAAAAAATTAAACTCAAACAACAGTTTTTAAAATAAATTAATAAAATTTTGTTTAAATTTAAATTCTTTTCAATAATAAAACCTATTTTAAAACAGTTTTGTTTTAACAAAGCAATTCAAAATAATATTTGAGAAATCTTAAAAACAAACTCAAAAAACTTCTTTTACCAAACAAAAGTCCACAAAAAATCACAAAAATTCCTTCAACTGTCAACCTTTCAACCATTTCACTCAACTCTTTATCACAGAACTAAGAAAAATTCTTCAAAAAATTATAGTTTTTATAAATTTCTCCAAACGCCGCTCCTTCATTCTTTAATTCATTACCATTTAAAATTCATAATTTATTTTAAATTAGCTTTTGTATCAGTTTGTGTGACCATCAAAAATCAATAAAGCTAACTGTTGTGCGTTTGTGAGTTATTGACACATCTGTTGTTCTTGGTTTTGGTTGATCTTTCTCGTTGTTGTCTTAATTCCTTGTTGTAGATGCATTCCTGAGGTCTTTTGCAGTCCTAAGAATTCGTCAAAAACTGCATCTTCAGTTTTTTGGTTATTTAAGCACACTTGCAACATCAACCTTTGGTTAAGCTTAAAATTTAGACTTTTTTCATTATTAGTTCATAAAATTGACCTTAAAACTTCTGCTTGGATGCCGGATTGAACTGATTTGTTTCTCGCTTGGTGCTTCCAATGGTGTGGAACTGAAGACTTACATTTTGATCATTTTTGATCATTTTTGATAATTTTTGATCATTTTATCAGGACCACACCCTTGGGTACTTCATCATTGGATTCAACATAGTTTTGGACAAAATGAAGGGTAAAAGCTCTAGGCTAGCCCCAGGCCATGATGGTAACTGATTTCTTAGACTTAGATTTGTTAATGACTCTTGATTTGATAAGAAATAATCCAAAAGTACCCGAAAAATAAGTCACTTTAATTAATTATTACCATTTTTGTGATTTCCTTTTTTGTCAATTTAACGATTCTGCAACATTTTAAAACTATTTTTCTCACACCTATGATAATTTATTTTCTTTTTAAATTCCCTACGAGTTAATATTCCCATTACAATAAAATACGCGATAATAGCCAATAAAATGAAATTTAAGAACCGAATCATGAAGAATTGATAATTTTACCTAAACATCAAATCCAACACAATAAAATTTAACACAAGCTTTAAATCTTTTAGATAGAAAAATGTCGGAAACATCAATTAACATTGCTTACTCATCTCCATCGGCATTTGTTGCGGTTGGTCAAGAAAAAAAGTGAAACAAAAATCATTCAAGAATTTTAACACAAGCATCAGCAGCAGTAATTTTGCTGCTAATTGAAAGATGCATAACCTTTTTGCATACGAGCAGCGAAAGGTCAAAAATAAAATTTATCATTAATTTATTAAGCATAAAATGATTGCGAATGTTCAAGAGTAACCCGAATAGCACAAGTTGGATAACTTCGAGATAAATTTTTCCCCGTGATGAGAAATTTGCCTTCAGGTCGTGTGCGCATCGTCTTAGTATCTTGTGCAATTCGCGTAAGATTGACTGAATGTGCAAATTCACATGCAAACTACAAAAGGGGTTGTTTGCATATTTTGTAACATAATTTTTGAATCCATCTTCTTCGTTGTTGGTAACAAATTTTGAACAAGATCTCAAAACATCTAATGTGAAGCAAAACAAAACTCAAACTCCCATTCTTGTCTCTTTAAGTGTTACAAAATTTATAATCGACCCTTATAACAATCATTGCATAACGGCTCTAATGGATTTGTTAGAAAAAAAATCATTGCCTACGTGAGCTAATACAGAATTGAGTAGTGCCAACCAAAAGTGAAATTGAAAGTTAAACCAATTATCATACAATGGGTGGCATTAAAAATGGGCTTAGGATGATTTGTCTAGCGAATCTCTCCCTCCCACGGTTATGCTTTTTAATCTTATCGAGCTTCGACTCTAGCAGGGACCTAGCCAGGAGCTTAAGTGCCCAGGCACTTAAAGACTCCCCACTTGATATGCTCCGAAGCCTCTAGTATCGACGTGGAAGTTATGAGTTTGTGTGATGATGTCTAGTTTATAACATTAGCTTCTACTTTTCTTGCTTAAATTTGTTTCTCAGGCTAACCTGAGCAAGACTATTCAAGAACCTGTCTAGAGCTGAAAGAAAACGTTATATAATAGAGGTAATTAAGTAGCTCTATTTGTCTTTAAATTGACTCAAACTTAGTCCTAGAAATAACTGTTTCATCTTAGTTATAAGCTTTGCTTTTTAAGTTTCATATGGCTTCTAGTGGCTTTGCCACTTCGATTGTGAGAAAAATAGATGAGACATTAAGGTTCTAAGCTCTAGAAAAAGAAAGTTGAAAAAGAGTGGTTCATATTTATTGGCGAATTGCAAGTGGTGTGAGCAATTGACCGACAATCAAGAGGTGCAAGGTTCGATTCCCGCTTGGGATGAACCATTTGATGAATTTATTTTTTTCAACATTTTTTGCTGTATAATAGACTGAAGTAGTAATGAGATTTGACGTTAACTGAAGTAGGTTGACCGGATTGTCCAGAAACCTACAATATAATCAATGAACTTTAAAAAAAATTATTTATTCGCTCTGATTTTTTAATAAATTGCAACTCAAAAGCCACTCTCGTTAATCTCATCAAATTTAACTCTCCCATAAAAATTAGCATTCGCAAATTAAACCGTAACCAATCGGAGATTATAATTAATTTTGAATTCATATTCATTATTTTTTTTACAACTCATCAATATTGTCGGAAGTATACATTAGATTCAATTATTATGGATGAATTGTATCACATATGGGGACGTTCTTAAGTGATGTTCAAGTTATGTGGTAGTGTTTGCAGCTTTAATAGCTCAATAAACCTCTGTCCAACTTTTTACTCTTTAAATACCGACAGAGTTGGCATTAAGTCTGCCTCTGTGAGGCAGTTGAAGGTCAAAATTAATACGAATTTTAGAAAATTTTATTTTTTGATAAAAAAAAAACTATTTTGAGTTTGTAGAGACCGCCAGCGGAAGGCTTGCCAACTCTGAATACAACACATCATTTGTAAATTATCCCAAATTATATAGCACATCTTTAATAACTTCTTTTTAGCGCATTTTTGAAACTTGTTTCTAAAAGGTAGCTTAATAATACACTTTGTTCGGCTGTTCGGCTGCTCGGGCGAAGAAAAACTTTTTAATTAGACATCGTAGAGAGCTCTGGTTTGTTTTAATAGCTCTGTTACTATCGATTTATCGGCCCATCGAACAGTTAAAAGTCTTGAAACAGTTTATTTATGCTAAAATTAATGAATTTTTGTTTTGTTTTCAGTGTAACCTGCCCAAATTTTATTTTACCTCTATAATTTCAACATTACCTCTATAATTTTTTTCCAGCCGTTGTAAAATTTGAATTTCAAAAAACCGTTAAATGATAAACCTTTTCTGTATGGAAATTCATTGCAACAAATTAATAATTAGATAATCAAATACTGATCGCTAACACAAAAATGCGCTTAAGTCTCTCGATCAATAACACGAGGACTTCTGTAATTTTTTTCAACAGTCACGAAAAAGCGCAAACCTATTTATTGTATAAATAATCGCAATAAAGTGAAATGACGTTAAATATTACAAAAACAAATAAAAGTATGCGTAATTAATCAGGTCGATTAGTTCTTAAACTTGTTGTGTATCTTCGGGTGCGTTGGACTCTGACCAGATAATTTAAAAAAGAGCAAAAGGGAAAGCAAATGTTAGCTGATTTTTTTAAAATTAAATTATTTAAAATATGTCAATTTTTAACACTTTTTAAACATTTAAAAAGAATTTTGAATTTTTTAAACTTAATTTAATATCCATTTTTTAAAAAAAATTCAAAAAATTTGTAAAGAAAAATTTGAAAAATTTATAAAAACAATTTGAAAGATTTATAAAAAAATCAAAAAATTTATAAGTTAAAAAAATGCGCTTTATACCCTCAAACCTTAAGAAAACATTCCCAACCTTTTATTTGTCTTTTTAATTACACAGTCTGCATGGAAGCAAAAATGAAAATCACATTAGTTGCAAACCTCCCGCGTTCCTACAATGCAGTTAACTTTTTAATTCTATCTGACCTTGAGCACTTTTTATATGTTAATAAAAGTTAAATAAGCATTTCTTGTGGTTTATAAAATAAGCAAAAAAAAATTCTGGAAACGCTCACATTGCATTGCCGTCACTGACTTTATTTTCGAAAAAAAAAATTATTTTTAAAAAGCTTAAATCAGTCTCAATTGATTCTTTTAGCCGGCATACGGAATGTTTTGTGCTGTGTTGAAGATTTTTCTCACATTCAGTTGTCTAAAATTTTGTGCTGCAAATCAGGATGTGGAGTTTGTTAAGAAATTATCGACAATTAATGACGTTGTGATAGAAAGTGATGGTCAGTGCTACAAAGACCTGAAACAGATTCTTAATTTTGTCATGCTGGAGGATTCAAACGCTTTTTTGAGTAAGTTTTTGATTTTATATGTTGTTCAGTGAAGTTTAAAGGGTTGTTCATAAATGATGTCGATAAAATTTTAATTGTTCTGAGCCTTTTCCTTCTGGAGTTAATCAACTCTCTCTTTGATGAGATCTTGGGTTTGATTCCCAACAAAGATCGATCTTTCAATCATTATATAAATCAGAGGTGGCTAACCTTCCTTGTGACACGGCACACTTTGATGACCGAAACTGCACACGGCATACTGTTTGTTGAATTTTCAAAACTTGTTGTGTGCCGCGACACAAGAGTTGGCCAACACTGATGTAAAGTGTTGTTGATATGACAATGATTCGAACAATGCTCACGAAATTACACACTTGAACAACCGTTCTGTTTTGGTGCACTCTGACCCGAAATAGTGTATACATCAGTGGTGTCCAACCTTTTTTGGACCACGGCACTCTTAGTGGAAGTCTGCGACCAAAATCACATAAAAGATACGGTTTGTGGTGTTTCGTGAATATTTATATTACACAGTAGTGTGCCACGGCACACAGTCTGAACAACACTGGTTTAGGTGAATACTTGGAACGATTTATAAGTCTTTGTATGGTCCCTAATCTATTCGCAATCCTTCATTTCATCAATTATTGACTCTTTATCAGAAAACATAGTATAGCCCTAGAAACGGAGGTCAGAAGAGCAGATTAAGGTTAGATTAGGTTTATATTAAGCAATGTAGGGATATAAACTACAAGAACTGATTATTATGAGTACCACCCAGCCTTAGACATCAAACTCAATACTATTAAATGCCATTAATAATCAAATAAATAGCAAAATATTAACAAATTTAATTTTCAAGAAGCTTTATAAGTCGGCTAAGTGGATGAACAAATAAATCTGATCGTAAGATCAAATTAATCAATAAAATCAATGCTTAATAATTTTTTTCCTATCGCCCAACAAAAAAGTGTTTAATTCATGGTCATCATTTTCATCGAACCACACACACGGAAACTCTTATGACTTTGGAAAATACGACGATTGTTTGAAGCTGAAAGTTGATGACCTCATCGGAACTCAGTATTGTCTCGTGCAATTTTACTACAATTCATCACAAAATGTCGAAAAAGTGAAGCCAAAGCAGTCGTATTTAAATCGTGGATGGAAAAGACTTGATGAGAGATTTGGCGGTGCTGTTTGCTTGCCTGAAAGTTGTGAAAGTGACGATGTGAAGAAAATAATGATGAAATTGTTTAGTGGAAGTGATTTGGAGCTGGCTGAAGATTATAGTCAAGCTGATTATTGTAAAAAGTCGAAACAAATGAGAGGATTTACTAGATTTGAAATTATTAATGAGTAATGTATTTTTATTTTATTTTATTACTCAACATTTTAATTGCTTTTAATTTTTTGCTAAATTTTTGTGACTTATTTTTAATTTTTTGATTTTTTTATGACATGTTTGTTTTGTTTGAGTTTTTCAAAATTTTTGAATTTTTCAATTTTTTTTGAAGTTTTAATTTTGTTTTAATTTTTTTCAATTTTCTTTGCAAATTTTTAAAATTTTCCAAATTTTTATAACTTTTCACAATTTTTTGGATTTTTAATTTTTATGATTTTTTTTGAATTTTACAATTTTTTAAATTTCTCAAATTTGTCAACATTTTTGAGTTGTTCAAATTTTTTGAATTTTTCAAATTTTTTTGAAGTTTTAATTCTTTGTTTTAATTTTTTTTAATTTTCTTTGTAAATTTTTAAAATTTTTCACAATTTTTTATGTTTTTATATAATTTTTTTACATTCCAGTGCTGCAACAATATTCTTTATATTATTAGCAATAGTCTCATCATTTTTATACAATTCAACATCCAAAAATGAATCAATTCTAACAAAAATCATATCAGCATATTCAATAAAACAAAATTTTAAAGACTTTATAAACTTGACACCTGAAAAAGGTTCAATAACCTGCCTAAATGGCATACGAGCGATCTCAATTTTCTTTATTATGTTTTACCATTTTGTGTCGCTTCGAAGCAATTTTGCCTTTCGGGATGGAAAAAATCTAGCAGAGCTGAGTGAACGGTTCCTAATGAGATCAACAGGATCATTGTCAATTGCTGTTGATGCCTTTTTTGTGATGAGTGGAGCTTTGGTTACAAAATCTGTGATAAAGCAGCTTGATACGTAAAGACTTGAGTTTTAAAATTATATAAATTATAAAATTGAAATTTTTAGTGGGAAATTAAACATTTGGAAGCTTTATATCCAGCGGTACTTCCGAATAACACCAACAGTTGCAATTGTGGTTATGTTTACGATTGCAATTTCAAAGTTCTTCTACCGAATGGTTCCTTATACTTTTGAAAACAATCTTGGAACTTCTTGTGAGATACATTGGTGGGAAGCTTTGCTACATACTCAAGTGTACTCAAATCCTAGGGATATTGTAAGTTTTGATTATATTTCATATCATGTTAAAGAGTATTTAAGCCGTTTTATTGATTTGTTTCTGAATTCAGCTTTCATTTTATTTTTTTTTTTTAATTTTTGACACTATTTGATGTTTTTAACTTTTTTGATGTGTTGACTTTTTATGACATTTTTAAGTTCTTTGATTTTTTTGACATTTTTTGATTTTTTTGACATTTTTTGATTTTTTTTGACATTTTTTGATTTTTTTTTGACATTTTTTGATTTTTTTTGACATTTTTTGATTTTTTGACATTTGTTTTTATTTTTTTCCATTTTTTTGAACCTTTTATATTTTTAGATTTTTTGACATTTTTGATTTTTTGACACTCTTATATTTTTTTATTCTTTGTGACTTGTTTTATTTTGTTCTAATTTTTTAAAAATTTCTCTGAATTTTTTGGTTTTTTTTTACTGTTCTCATTAGTGTGTCATTCATTCGTGGTACCTGTCAGCAGACTTCCAACTGTTCCTCGTTGCACCATTCTTAATCATCTTAGCCTACAAGTTTCCTTTTAAAAAATTAACAATTGGATGCTTTGTGGTCCTTTTGTCAGCATTCATTGTCTACCGAGGATATCTCATTATCAATACTAACATAACAGTTGCCGACGTGACTGTGTAAGCATGAATTTTTTTATATTCACACCGTTTTCACGTGTGAATCTATTGGTTTTGTTCAGATTGAAAAATCAGTTTTTAGAATTTTGTGAGGATATGGAACAAGGTAGCTTAAAATGTTCAAAGATGAAAAGTTTGTGCCTTGAATTTCACATCTTTTGCAAAACACAGATTTCAAATTGGTTGCGGCATTGCTGAGAAAATCGCAAAATATGCTTTCTGTAAGCAAGCAAACAAGCAAACAAGCAAGTAAGTTAATCAGCAAGAAATCTCAATAACGAGACATTGTAGAGACTTCTAGTTTTCTACATTTGATCCGTGCTGCCCTATAGAAGAGCTGTATTGTTTTTAGACAAGGTAGGAACAGCCGTTGCTTGAGAAAAAGCAAAAAACTTTCCTTTCTTACGAATTTTTCAAATTAAAAGTTCACTGTGATTTTTATTTTAAATTAAACTTTGGATGAAAAAAATTTTTTTAAGCAAAGAACCAAGAAGGAAATACATTTTCAATTTTGGACTAGGGGCTAGGGATTGTGGAAAACAGCTGTTTTTGAAAAACAGTCAATTTTCGGTTTTTGATTTTTAAAAACAGCTGTTTTCCTGTTTTTCTAGAATTCAAAATAAACTGAGTTATCCTAAGTGTTTCTCTAAGATAATGAAACTTTTTGGTGGTTATAAGCAGTTAAGCATACATTTTAGAGCTAAGCATTATTATTTCTTATTTTTTTTTATGTTAATTAACTCTAAAAAATATAATGAAATATAAAAATGCAAAAAAAACCAAAAAAATTTATACCTTTAAGTAACATTGCATTGTTGCATTGTAAAAGTTCCATAAGCTTTTATATTTTATTTGAAATATTCAAAAAATCTTTCTGAATAAAAAAATATCTTGTAAAATTGTTGATTATATTTTTAAACTTTAGTAAATGCTACAAAAGGTTCAACAAATTTAAAATTTCGATTGCAAAATTAATAATGATTAACCATAAATTTGATAATGATTTCAAACCTATTAAACATCCAAAAAATATTAAAACAGTAAATACATTTCAATTTGAAATGCTAGAAAAATAAATTCAGTTCTTCAAAAAATTAAGAAATTTTTTTTCTGCAAATTTTATGTAAAAATGAAAAACAGAAAACAGATCTGTTTTTGAGACCTGTTTTCTGTTAACAAATTTTTGTCTAAAAACAGCTGGTTTTTTGCTGTTTTCTGTTAACAGATTCCCCAAACCCTACTATGGGCGACCCTAGTCAAATTCAATTTTGTCACTTTTTTCTTCGAGGGTTTATCCAAATGGATTGAAACTTTGCATAAATATTCTAGTGCTTAAAACAAATACAAATAAAACATCCAAAAATTTTTTTGAGCAAAGAACCAAGTAGGAAACTAGATTTTGACTAGGGTCGCCCCTAGTCCAAAATTGAAAATGTATTTCCTGCTTGGTTCTTTGCTCAAAAAAATTTTAGGATGTCTTATTTGTATTTGTTTTAAGCACTAAAACATTTATGCAAAGTTTCAATCCATTTGGATAAACCCTCGAAGAAAAAAGTGACAAAATTGATTTTGACTAGGGTCGCCCCTAGTCCAAAATTGAAAATTGATTTTCTATGGTGTACTTTTGTCAAAAAAATTTTTTGGATGTTTTATTTCAATTGACATAATTCTGACATAAATCACATACCAATATTACTTTTTGTAATGCATAGCTTAAAAAAAATCAAAATCTAAAATTTCGACTACCCCATCTGAATTTTGTTCATACTTTTCACTGTGGAAACCAAAAAACAAATTCTTAATCTTAAAACACTTGACAAAATAGCGACATAATTCAGGATTAATTACTTTTTAATAATATTTTAACATTTACAAGAAAATGTGGTTCAAATAAGTGTGAAGTATGGCCGAGATTTGGACCAAAATCAGCTATACTGGTTCATAGTGTTCCCGAAAGTGACAAAATTCAAACTAAGTGTTTTTGTAGCTGACATAATTATGACATAAATTAGGTATAACTTTTGAACTGTGTCGATATGGGTCTCGGTCGTACTTCACGCCCACCCTTCAAACTTATGCTGAGCAAATCTTGGTCTATCCATAAAACTTTTGATGGTACGGTGTGAATATATCCGCATTGGGTTTCTACCTAGGGTGGCCATCTAATTTTTATGAAAATACAGGACATTAGATAAATTTCCTAAAAAATACAGGACACAAAGGAAAATTTGAAAATTAACGGAAATTTTCGTGAAAAAAATACAGGACCTGGAACAAAATTTTCAAATTTATACAGGACAGGGTTTTGAAATACAGGACTCAGGACTGTCCGTTGTAAAACTACGCAGATGGTCACCCTATTTCTACCCGATACACTAGTTGGTTTTTGAATTTTATTATTTTTTCATCTTTAATTTTCAGATTTCGTGATTTATATGGCGAGACTGAAGCAGCATTTTATTATCCAACTCATGTGAGAGGACTTCCATTCCTAGTTGGAATGCTCCTTGGCTACTTATTGATGGATAAAAAGTTTACAATTGTGAATCAAAAGGTAAAGACGATTAAAGGCATCTAGGTGCTACTAATCTTGTCATTCTGTTGATTTTTGACTATTTTAATGACTTGACACTCATCACTTCCTGATATTTTAGATCACAAGACTCATCACCAGATCCCTTCTAGCGTTCTCAATCATATTCTTCCTCATCTATCCAGTTCCACTCGAACCACTCAGTCCACTAATTTCACACAAATTTGAAGCTTTTCTGCTGATTTTCGGTCACTTTTTCTGGTCAATTGGAATCTCAGTTCTCATATTTTCATGTCATCATGGCCACTGTGGATTTATTAATAAATTTTTATCGAGTCAAATTTGGACACCAGTAGCTAAAATGGGATTGAGCTTTTATTTGGTATCTGCTGGTATTCAGTACATGATTGCATCGTTTAGACAGGAACCACAGGAAATTGCGAATGAATTTAACTTGGTGAGTAAAAGCACCAAGAGCCCCTGGATGTTATGATTAAAATTAGTATAAATGACATCCGTCAAAAAACAAGATTTTAAGGTCAGCCCTTAAATTACTTAATTTAATTTACTTTCAGATTTTTCAGTTTTTGATTGAATTGCCTTTTATTGTTCCTATTGTCATGATATCATACTTTGTTGTTGAAGTGCCGTGCATCAAGATTGGACGAATAATAACAGATAAATTGTGTTAATAAAATCAATAAAAATAAATTTAAAATTTAAGAACTAAAGTTAATGTAATGAAATGTAAATAATTTTTTAAAATTTGTAAAACTTAAATTAAATGAAAAACTCTTTAAAATTTAGATTTTAATTATTACTACCGTTCAATTATTATGTGATGCTCTTAGGGGTTACTTATTAAGTCTGAATTGAACTTTCATATTTCAAAAAGGAACAATGAATTTCCAAGAATTTCTATTGTTCTTTTCTTTATGAACCCCCCCCCCCCCACCCCCCTCTTGGACGTCATAGGTGAACTGCCCTTAAGTTATCTAAGGAAAAAAAACCTCTACTTATTCAGATCAATAGTGATCCAGAGGTGAGCTTGGGTATTTCGCATCTAATGAGAGTTTAACGAGTGAGGATGCGCCAAACCACTGTACTCAAACTAAGACCTACAATTTATATTCGGTTCCCAACCACTCCTTTGATGACATTACTGCCTGGAGCCTACAAATGAAGTTTGTGATCTCATTTCCAGTATATATGATTCTAAAAAGGACAAGCTGAAAAATTTTCAATGTCGAGTCTCGAACCAATGATCACTGTGTCGGTATTGCAATAATTAGGTAAAACTATACTAAAACATTCAGCCACCGAGCCACTTCAACTCACAAGGTATCTAAAATTTTGTGATCATTCAAACAAAATAAATTTTTATTGTACACATTTTGTGACATGGTGTCGAAGAAAAGGTCTCAAAAGTCGTTTTATCGCGTTTCGTAAAAAATGAACGGCTCCTAATCAAAAACGTTCATAAATATTGCTGAACTCGATTGATAAAGCACGAGAATTTGTTGTTATTTTTATATCGTTTCCAAAAGATTGCCTAATTTCTTATTTTCTGTAATGTTTTTATTGTGTAGACATCAAAGTCCTTGATATCCAATTGAAAGCTTGTGTTTTGTTTTTAAAAAAAAATAGATTATTTTAGGGTTTCTTGAACTACGTCTAACATTCAGAACGGGTGATTGAAGTTGGAGTCTATGTTGGAGTAGAGTAGTGCACATTTTGTCAGTAATTTTGGTATGGGCAGGCATGGGGGGCATGGGGGGAGGAGGGGGGATTTGGGTAAAAAATCCCACTACATTAACCAAGGGTGCGGAACTGAAGAATTACATTTTGATCATTTTTGATCATTTCATCAGTCCCACACAATTGACATTAACAGAAATTGCCCACTCCTCCTCAAATTCCTGGTTACGCCTCTGGTTGCACGGTTTGTTTACTCCCACCTTCTTCTTGTCTTCCTAAAGGCTCAGAAACTAAAAGGTATGGACAAACACCACCATCTTCTATACAAATACTGCCTAGATTCCGAGCTTGGATCTACCCCACTAAAAAACCACTGGCTACGTTCCTGATTATTATCTTATCTATCAGCATAATTGACTATATAATTGCGCTTTTGACAAGCTATAATTTTAGATATTTTCATACTTTGTTATCGCATTTTTGAAGATTGTTCGCACATTTTTCATCCAAAACAGTTGTCTGATATTAAGTTGGACTGTTAAATCATCAAGAAAGCACATGAAAAGTTTATTTTTAAATTCCAGACGGCTGTTCTGGAAATATTCAATTGTTTGTTTACTCTGGATAGTTCTAATAAGTTATAATACTTTAAATCTGTCAAATATTCACAATACAAATAAATCTGTCAGTCATGCGGGAAATGAAACTGAACGAAATAAAATTGAAAAATTTTTGGAACCAAAGTTTATTGCAATTGGAAACATTTTGGATGACGATGAGTCGTTGATGTCTGATTTAAACCAAAATATCTTTTTACTTGAGACTCATATGGACGAAGTGAGAATTTTGGATAATGCAAGGCAGGCCTGTTCTGTTGAGTCTGCAGGTAAAAAGTTAAAAACTTTGAAATTTTTGTAATTTTTTTTAAATTACTTTCAAGCTCGAGCAAATTCAGACGCAAAAATTTACTTCATTTTAACCACAAATTCATCAGGAATATCACTAAAATACACTGACATAGCCCATGCCTTGCTGTCATACGAAAATATCCACATTCGGTACCTTAATCCTCATGAATTTTCAAAAGGAACTGCTATTGAGCATTTGATTGAAAGCAGTGCAGTCACGAACTCAAAATATCCAATAGAACATATGGCTGATGTCATGCGAGTTTTGCTACTTTATAAGTACACTGGACTGTACTTGGATCTTGACATTTTTTCCTTAGCTTCACTTCGATCTTTAAACTACACAAATTTCGCTTGTCCTGAGGATGTGAACATAATTACAAATGCTGTTCTAAATATCGATAAAAATGGACGAAAAGTTATGGAACTTTATTTACAGTAAGTTCATTATAGGTGTTATTAGTGCCTGTTTAGACCAGTAATGGTCAAACCATGTGTCGCGTAAACATTCGATTAAAAAAATAAACCGTGTTTCGCGTGCGGTTTTGTTCATGTCTTACCACCAAGGTGTGCCGTGGTACAAAAAAGGTTGCTCACAACTGCTCTTGACGTTAAATTTATGTTTTAAGAGCCTCAAATATAGTCACACATATCTTAGATTAATTCTGAAAATTGTTTTTTTTTTCTATTTTTAGTAAACTTAATTCTTCCTACGACGGTTCATCGTGGGGTGGTAAGTCTAGCATTAATAGCATAAAATCCCTCGTTTGTTTTTCTGTCATTCCGCTTTAAGCCTTATTAACTTTCATACAAATTGAATGACGCATGTCGGAATCCAAAATGGCGATCCAAATGAGAAAACTTTGTTTAATATAAGCGGGGCACTTAACTAGCAATTTAAAGGGTTAATCATGGGAAGGGCACAGACATTTTAAGCTGGAGGCACTGCGATACAAATTAGAACAGAATCTACTGTACCATTTCCCCTTTACACCTTCAGTTTATAGTGTAATCCGAACCACTTGCAAGCTCTGCACATTGCAAAGACACGAGTATGTCTATAGACCTGATGTACTCTGCAACCTAGTCACAATTTGTGTGCTCTTTAATAACATTCAAATAATTATTTTCTAATTTTAGTAAATGGACTTGCAATGCTGTCAGTTTCAATCAGATCGTTCTGCAATAACAAAAACATAACGAAAAATGAATTAACAATCTGTGATGAATTTACAATCTTGCCAGTTCAGAAATGCTATCCGCTCGAATATGACGATTATTACAATTTTTACCTTCCAGAAGGCAAAATGAAGGCATTGGAAAAAATTAAACAATCGAACGCTTACTTTGTGCATATTTGGAATAAAATGTTGGATTTTGGAAATCAGAAGTTTCCACTCACATTTGAATCTGATTCTGCTTATATCGAACTGGCAAAGGCATTGTGTCCGAAGGTTTTGAAAACTATTGAAAAATATTTTTAAGAATTTAAAGAAAAAATGAATAATTTTGTTGAATAAACTTTTTATTTTAATTTTAAAAAAATTATTTCGTTGTTTATCTCAGGATATTGAATATGAAGACTGCCTTGCTCTTGATCCTGGTGAATTTTTTCGTCATTTTGACAAAATGTCACTAATCGACACTCCTTCTAGTCAACTTAACTTCATCTCCAATGTAACCCGGAATGGCACAAATCGGATAATCGAATAGAAATCCAGCACTAAACCGGCATGACTCTGGTATGGTGCTTAATTGAAATCGAAGCCTGCATAATTCCAGCTTGGTGTCAAATTTCTATTCGATTATCCGATTTATGCCATTCGGGTAACATCCAGAAACTGGCCGTAACTGCCGTAAAGCTCCGTATCTTCTACAAAACATATGTTTAATGTCCATGATAAGTCTACGCACTGCTGATTTTTTTTTTTCATTGAGGAATTTTTCCGATAAGTTGAAAGAAAAAATTCCCGCAAAAACAATGAAGATGTCAATTAATGGAGATGATTGATTAGATATCCCGTCCAAAAAGACTTGTACTATAAAAGCTTTGTCGAAAAAATTGCGAAACTCAGTGAAGGACTGTGGTTGATTTTCAGCAGTAAAAATAATAAAATAAAAGGTTGTTTAAAAAAATAATTTCAAATTTGTAATGAAAAATTGTCTTTGTAAGTATTTTTTTTTTGAGGTTATGTTACAAAATTTACGCAAAATTTTCATCATTTTCAGTCGCAGCCCTTCTTTTGGGTTCCTTAATTCCGCTAATATCATCACAGAGCGAGTCATTTGACTTTATCGACTCTCAAGGTCGTTGCTGGCGTTGTGTAGATGGATCATGTGCATCATGTCCAGCTGCTCTCCTTCCCCAAATAAGAATTCCAGGAGTAATTTTCCCAGATCCATGGGATTTAACATGTCCAGGACCATCAGCTCAAGATTGCATTGACTTTCCAACTGCTAAATTTCCAGCAGATGACATCAAGTAAGCAGCTAGCCTTAAATGATTTTAAGACAGTAATGATGATTTAATTTTACAGTTGGTACTGGGATTGCGCCCATCTAAGTGGCAACGTTCCACTCAGATGCGAGTGCGACAAAGGATTTGATATGAGACAACAAATGTGTGTGTTTTCCAACAATATGCAGTCAATTGGATGCAACGATCAATCTTATAGTAACAGTATTATTACTGATTGCGGTAAGGAACTGACAAGAACTCATATTTCTTTAAATTGACTTTTAATTTTGATTATTTTAAGCTTCAACATCGACAACTGTAGCAACAACAACAACAGTTACAACAACAACTTCCACACCATGTGTTTGTATGCCATTCTGGCCATGCCGATGTAATCCATGCTGGAATATGCCATGTCACAGTTGTGGTGGATGTGGAATGATGATGGGATAAGTTTTAGTAATCCAGTAAATCCTGAAGTTCTTTCCATAAAAAAAAAAAAATGTAAAATCCACAAAATTCACAATTTTTCACCTTATCCATCGTGTTTTTTAAATAAGGTTCATCCATGTAAAGTATCAAGATAATAGTTTAAGAGAATAAAGTTTAAAAAAAAGGTTCAGCAACAAAAATGTGTACAAAAATAAGAAAATAGTAATAATGGAATAAAAAATTAACATTTTTTCATGAAATATTTTGAATGTCATTTGAATTTTACTTGCAATCCAGGATTCAGCATTTATTTTAACTTTTTGATCAACTTTAAAGCAGAGTTGCGATGACAGGTGGCTGTTACAGGCACAGGTGACGAATCATTTCAAAAAAGCACCTTTTACAAGTTTTTTTCGCAACTGTGGCGACTTTGAGATAATCAACTCCCCTGATAGCCAAATAGATCAATTGGGATCTTGTAAGTTGTCTTAAATTGGTTAAAGTCGGCTCAAATCTTCTGGTTCTATCGATTGCTCCCAACTGTTGATTTCTAAAACTAAGCACAATTTCTACATAAGGGGCCGTTCACTTATTACGTTCGCACTTTAGGGGGGAGGGGGGGTTTGAAAAATTGTAACAAAATGTAACATAGGGGGAAGGGGGGGGGGGGTCAAGAAGTATGTAACGTTCTAACTGTCGTCTGTCTTTTAAAAAAAAGTTCACGAAAAAAATTTGTTTAAAAATTCACACCAAAAACATTTTTTTTTAAATTTTCCACCTTTTTTAATGAATTATGAACGTTCAGGGGGGGGGGGGGGGGTTGCGTAACTTTCACTTATTTGCGTAACGTAATAAGTGAACGGCCCCAAAGTAGCTTCATTTTATTAGTTGTAAGGAAGCCCACTAATATGCTGACCATCTGATCGAGGTTTCTATCCACAAAATAGGATCGTATTTAAAGTAATGGTTGCTGATAAAAAAACCCCAACAATTGTTTTACTATGCCAGAGTTTTTTTGAAAAAAACATCGAAAGCCCCTTCACTCTTTGCGCAAGTTTCAAAATCTTTGGATATGAACCTAAGAACCTAAGTATCAAAAATGTATATTTTTGCAAAAGTTTAACAATAGAATTGATGTCAAAAAACCTAATCAGTGCTGTAAGATCGCTCTTGATAATGCTCTTATTGAAAGTTCAGTTGCTATACCCAAGCCATTTTCTGTTGAAGGTTTAAAGATTACATCAAGCATCCAATCATCTTCTTCTTCAATCTCAGCAGTGAAGCACAGTCCTTAATAGAACGACCCGTTGCACAGTCTACAGAAAAAAATCCAAATGAACGTCAAATTGCCTTGACAGCTGTTTAAACCTCATTAAGCTTTAAGAAATAACATCTACCACTCGTTCAGCTTACCATGACTCACTGATTTGTCATCACTTCCCTCAAAGATCAAATCTCGCACATATCAAATCACATCTTCCGTTTTCCACCTTTTTCTGTCACATGAAGCTCCAAAACCAGCCAAATTGCTATTTCTGTAAGATAATTTCCTTAAAAATTGCTGATAACGAAACGAAAACATCAAAAACTTCCGCTTTTGTATTTTGCCAATTATTAAAAAACCCGTGTTTTACAAAATATTTCGCAAATTTGTGCGATGTGATAAAGAAAAAATAAAACTTGTGTCCAAGTCGATATATAAAGAGCAAAAATATCAGTTTTTAGTTTAGTGAAGGATAGCCGTCACTTTTTGTGTGATGTCAAGTGACGAGTAAAATAAAGAAGAACTGAATTTGTGGCTTGATCGAAAAATATAATGAAAGAGATTTTAAGTAAGTTTACAGCATGTCACATTCCTAAGTTAAATTTATATCTCTCCATCACTTCCTTCTAGTCGCAACCCTCCTTCTGGGTTGTCTAATTGCATCTGTGACGGCCGAACGTGGTCTGTTTGAGTTTCACGATACTTACGGACGATGTTGGCGCTGCTTGCCTGGTTCATCATGTGTCAGATGTTCTACTATTTTTGTACCGTTTGTAGCTGGACCGCCACTTATTTGGGATCGGACCTGCGGACAGCCTACTGCTGAAGTATGTGCTGCTAATCCTGGTGTAAAGTTTCCACATCAGGATATTGGGTAAGTTCTTTGGTTGACATTGACTTTGCTGACATTTTGTTACTCAAACAACTTTATAGCTGCTCATCTATTTTGATAGTACGGAGTCCTTTCTTATGGATACTTAATGTTTCTACTCTACACAATCTGACCCTAGTCACTTAAACTTTACATTTAGTATCGCGATTCTTCCCTGAAATCAGTCTAAAGAACATAGTATAGACCTCGTTTTTATATATTTTCAGATTCTATTGGGTGTGTGCTGATGAAGGCGTCGTTGCAGAAGCGCCATGCTTTTGTGATCATGTATTTGATATGCGAGCACAGCAATGTGTTAAATCTGACGTTTTGACATCAATTGGATGTGATCAATATGCTAATTTTGATCCACATGACTGCTGTAAGTTACAATATGTACCAAAACTTGTCATTAAGGATCTTGTGAGAATTTCGCGAATGACACAAGTCGGTTAATCGATTTTAAATCCAGCATCAAGCCGGTTTGACTTTGGAAATTGAAGCCAGAATTTAAATCTAGTCATGCAAGCTTGGTGCCAGATTTCTATTTGATTAACTGACTTGTGATATTCGGATCTCCGCAATGCTATGAAAAATTACCATCTAATATTTTCTTATTTTAAATTCAGTGAGTGACGAACCACGTCCTCCTCCATCGACCTTAGCTCCAACTGATACAACAACACCAACAACGACAACAACAACAATTGGTGGTCCAGCAAATACTCCTTCAGTTCCAACAGCTCCAAATGATTCAACAACAACAACACCTGGAACAACGCCATCGGTTCCAACAGCACCGAATGAGCCAACAACAGAATCTACAACAACAACTACAACAACAACAACACCAATAAATGGTGTTACAACAACAACAACGACAGCAGGACCAACAAGAACTACAGAAATGGCTGGTCCAGGAACATTAGATCCAGGAAATCCAACACCAGATACAACACCAGCACCATGTGTTTGTGTCGTCTGGTGGCCATGCTGGTGTAACCCATGCTGGAATATGCCATGTCATAGCTGTAATGGCTGTGTTGGAATGATGGGATAGGCACAAAAGCCACAAAATAATCCTTTGCCAGAAAGAACATCAATCATCACAAATGAAGAAGATCAGAGGGAGTTTGCTTAGTTGTCTTAACTCGAAGGTGCTTCCTTGAGTCTGGATAAGTGAGATGAACCCTGCAGTGAGAGATGAGCACATTGTTGATTCTTAGGAGTTCTCAATTTAGTGCATTGTTGTCCAACCTTTTTTGTGCCATGGCACATGGGTTGAACATCACTGACTTAACTTCAAACAATTGGAAATTACCCGATTTTTTCGACCAACCCCGTTTGATCTAAATTTTAATAATGTGTTCCACTGACATCCGAAAAGCACGACATTATGGTGACATCAGGCAAATTTGTGGTCACTACTTAAAGGATTCCTATAATCTTGTGCTTTTCGGGACATAAATCAGAGTTGGAATTGTAAAATTGACTCTGATTTTTATCTCAAAGAACAAGTTTGACTTGCGATGGTGTTTAAATGTTTGTAAGACGAAATGCCATCATGACTTGAGCTTGTGAACCAAAGAATAAAGTAGTCGATATAAAAAAAAGTTCAGTAACAAAAAATGTACAAGAGACGAAAAAAAAAGTCGTCAAAAATAATAATTTTGTAATTTCTCAATAATTAAATTTAGATTAAGTAATAATTTTAAGGATTTGGTGAAGGGGAATTATTTTGGTGATGGGAATGGGTAAGAAATGGAGAAAAAGAGAAAAATAAAGTTGAAGAATTAATTTTCACTTTTAACATTTGTGTTTTTTATAAATTAACATTAAACATATTATGTTTTTTTTACATTGGATACTTCGGTGAAGATTTTAAAAAAATGCTTGACAACAACAACTAAGATAACATCTGAAAATTTGACCAAAGAACCTAGAATCATTTCACTAGCCACAAAAACTAATTTATCTTTATTGAAACCAGGTTTTTTTTTAATCCTTCAAAAAGCTTTAAAAAGGAGAATTGTTTTGTTTTTACCGCATTTTGTATACTTGTATACAAAAAGGGAGCTTAATAATGCGAAACGTTCGTTCGTTCGTTCGGGCGAAGAAAAACTTTTTAACCAGACATCGTAGAGAGCTTAGGTTTGATTTACTAGCTCCGTTACTATTGTTTATTGTCTGATCGAACAGTTAAAAGTCTTGAAACAGTGTATTTATACTATAATTAATGGCTTTTTTATTTCAGAAACCAAACCGCGTGATGAGTACGTTTAAAAAATTCACCATTACCTCTATAATTTCAAATGTTTATAGACCGTTAAAAAATTTGAATTCCAAACGACCGTTAAATGATAAACCCTTTTTATATGAAAAATTATTGTAATTATTTGTAAATTACACTTAAATGAATGATCTTCTAATTTTCTAATGATCTGTAAATGGACACAAAATAAATAGATAATCAAATACTGATCGCTGCATCAAAAATGCGCTGAAGTCCCTCGATCAATAACACGTTTTTAACTTTTAGAGGAGTTCTTTCTATTTTGTTCGCTATCTTGTATTGTTTGGCTCAAAAACATTGATCAAAGCAAATTTAAAGAGTCTAATCACTCTAGTGTTTGACTTTGACTTAATGTTGATTTATTTAGGTCGAAATTTAAGCTCTACTGAAAACTATGAGTGAGACTTATTCAGATTCTACAAACTTTTTTTTTCTATGGGTTGTCTTAACAATTTTCAAAGACGTACACACTTGGAAAACTTGCGAATGAAAAATATATAAGCCTTACGAGAATTCTGAAAAGTTTTTGTAATCAACATCTTAATGCACAGGACATGATGGAATATTGCAACAGTTTAATTAGGATTTACTGAATGCTCAGTTTTAAATTTCCTTAAGCTCCTTGAGTATACGCCTTGAAGTTTTCTGACTATCCATCACATCTACACACTAATTGACAGCATCATTATGAGCACCATACAGTACGGATTAGCGTTTTTACAGTTATTTTGATTCGAAGAACTCTAATTGCCATTTATTGGCACAACTGGCAAACTCTTAGAAATATAGTTGAAAAGCCACTGCTTTACAGTCCTCGCCATGTATCCTTGTATAACAAATGCAGAGAAATTGGTATCGTACATTACAGCAAACCACATTCAGTGTTCAAATAATGAAGAAAATAAATTTAATTTCTGGAAATAACAAAATACTTAAAATAACTTTGCTAGTCGCTATACTTCAATAGCCATTAACACATGTTCCTTACTGATAATAAAATTAAATTTATTCGCATCTTTTGCAAAAAATGATTGTTTTACAAGAATTATTTCCGATAAGATTGAAATTGACTTTTTGAGTTCCTATATAAGTGATACCAAAAGACATTTTTCGATTTCTATTATTGTCATTTCAAAGCAGCAGCAAGAGAACAACTTTCAGAAATGAACAATATTTTGTGTGAGTTTTGAAAATAAAAATATTGAAAATATTTTAATTCAAATCTTTTTTCAGTTATAAGTCTCATTTTGGGATGCTTTATAGCCGTTCTTTGTGGACGATACGACATGTACGAATTTCATGACTCACACGGACGCTGTTGGCGTTGCACGAACGGAAACGACTGTGTAAGATGCTATGAGCCAATAGCACGATTTAACTTCCCTGATCCATGGGGTAGAGAATGTCTCGCACCTACTTCATGTGCAACATATCCAGGCGCTAAGTTTCCTCATCAAGACATTACGTAAATGATTAAATTTTTGCAATAATTTGATAGAATTGATATTTATTTAATTATTATTTCCAGTCGATACTATCTTTGTGCTCTTAACAGCCAAGTAGTCACCGTTTCTTGCTTCTGTGATACAGTTTTTGATATGAGACAACAGATGTGTGTAAAGTCAGATGTCATGACTTCAATTGGCTGTTCTGCATACACACAATCAGAACCAAGAGCATGTACTTAAATATTTTGCTTATTTTTTTTTTTAATAAAATTGGAATTAATTAAATCCAGAATAAAATGCCAGCTTGAAGTTTTAAATGAGTTATTAAAAATATGAATAAATGACAACATTTACTAAGATTGAATGCTTAATTGTAGGACATTGTAAGCATGGGGCGCTGGTTTTTGTTGCTGCTTTGGGATGCTGCTTTTTGGTCATAAAAAGTTGTCTTAACTCTGAATTTTCATGCATTTTCCAAGAAAAATTGGTTCAAAAAAGTAAGACATTAAGGAAAAGTGCGCACTTAGACAGCTTAATCATAATTAATGAAACCAGTGCTTATCTCCCTCATATTTTACGGCATGATTTTAAAATGGTGGCTATTACTCTTCCTTGTCAAAATTAATCTAAAACGATGAATTTAACGATAAATCAAATTTTATAAAACAAAATAAAAATGCCAAGTGAGCATCCAGAACCATTATCATCAAACTAATGGGACCCAGTTCAGCTATTCTTATTTCAACGGGAAAAAACCATGCAGCCAAAAATGCATTAGAAAAAACTTTATTTGCTTTAAAATAAAAAATATAAAAAAATAAAAGCTTCATAATATTTAAAGTATACAACAACAGATCAACCCATGCAGCCATTACAGTTATGACAAGGCATATTCCAGCATGGATTACACCAACATGGCCACCAAGGTATACACGCACAAGATCTTGGAGTCGTTGTTGTCGCTAAAGTTGTTGTTGTTGACATTATTGTTGTTGTAGTCGACATAGGAGTTGTGGTCACTGGCTCCCAAATTGTAGTGTTTTCTGGTTGGACACCATTAAATTCAAGGACTGATACTCTTCGACCAGTAGCTAGGTTTAAGAAAGAATAATGAAAATCATCACTAAGGTTAGAAGATCAGGGTTCAAGGGAAAAGGCTCTTAAAGGCTCTAAACTGGTTTTCTAGTTTAATTCTACTAGAATTGACAAAAAAAGAAGAAAAGTTTGAAGTCAAAAATTAAGTAAGTTTCTACTTGTTGAGCCCCTGTTCAAGCCTGATGCTAAAAGCTAATTGACACTTACCGCATGATGTGATCATAATTGGTGTGATTAGCTCACTGCAGTAAGGTGACCATCTATCAACTCCAACACATTCTTGAGTCTTCATGTTGAATAAGGTTCCACAAGAACAATCAACAACCTCAAGAGTCCAACTGTTCCTGTCTAATTTACATCGGAAGTAGCGACTAAAATTTAAAAAAACATAGCAAATTAGTCACAAGAGGTTTGAAATGTCGTTTAAAGCTACAATCAAGGGGAGAAAGATGGTTTCAAAATCCTCCAACGTAACTTGTGAACGACCCTACATTCAAAAAACTCAAACTCACTCAGATTCCCTCGATGGAAACAAAAACTTTCGATTTTCCTGAGACTTGCAGTTTGGCTCAAAACATAAGTTCGACCATCCAGCAGGCCAATTTGCACTTCCATATCTCGGACACTGTTCACATGGTTGATTTGGATAGCATCTCCAACATTGTCCCCGAGAGTCTGTGAATTCGTGATAGTCAAAATTTGCAGAGATAATTGTTGCTGTCAAAAAGAGGCACAAAACCTGAATTTTCATTTTTGGTTAACGACACTGAGACCATACAAAGTTGACGACGTTCAATTTTTAACTGATTTTAAAGTTTTGATGCCTTTGTGTTCATCCTAGTTAAGTTATTTATGGTAAATTGACAAACCGTGCTGTTGATTGCTGATATGATTGTGACAATTGTTCCTTCCTGTGTGACGAATTTAAAGGTTTCTTGTCTGGTTCCATTGTTTTGTGTGTAAAATCATTTCAGAGGAAAATTTTAAGTTTGAAAGAATCAGAAGCTACAACATTCAAAGCAATGATCATAAAAAATTTCGAATACTTGGTCAACCAGATTGCTGATCAATCCCAAAGATCAAAAGTTCTTCAAGTGCCACTTAAAAGTCAAGAACATATTTGATATCACTCATTTATCACATGAAACTAATTTTAAGGTCAAACTAAATCAAAATTATATTTTTAGCTTCCGTTGTTGATATTTTCTAAGGTCTTCGATAAGGATCAAGTAGCAAAGAAAATTCCAGGTTTAATTAAAAAGCTATAAAAATATCAATTGATAAGATAAAAGAATTGGCAAGTCAGTAAAATACGCAAAATGTCTCACGAGCAGTTTACGCTCGATTGTTGCTTGTTATCAGCTACAATAATAAATTTCGGTGTCTTTAATTAAGACTTTGGAATTTTCTATTGTGTGATCACAACAAAAACATGTCGTGTGCTTATCAGATCTAATACCTTAAAGTAAGTAGTTGTTTGATAAGAAACAAAATTGGCAACAAACAAAATATTAATGGATATTTCATCATGGCAGGAAATGAATTGTTTCCGCAAACTTAGTTTTTGGATGATTGATCGATGTCAGGTGATGAAATCAAGGACTGATAGAAGGACCTAAACAATGAAAGACATATAGACAAGTATACAGTGTAAGGACCTGACAGCCATAGTGCCAGACAACAAAAAACTCAGTCCAAAAAACTACCAAACAACCAGAAAACCGAAAAACCAGACATCCATACAACCAAACTGTAGAACTATCGACAAACATTATCCTACTAGTCCACCCCACGTCGTCAAAAGTATTATTCCTCATGGCACACATTCCAACAAATTGTTTGAGTTTAGCGATAAAAGTTATTTTAATGTGTTTACTGTTCAAGGCTTAATACTTGACTTTGAAGTCTTTCGTAGGTCGTTTTTCCAAGAAAAAGAGATCATTTACCGTAAAAAATAACTGATAAGGTTAAAAAACCACAACTTTATACAACCACAAAAGTCTCGAATCATCAAACATTTCCAATATTGTGAACAACATCAACGCCTCATTTTCTAATTTTACTCAACCTTTTTCATCCATTTTAAGTAAAACTATCATGATTCACAGCCAATAAAGCCCTCACAAGCCCTTTAAAGCGTTATCTAAAATGAAAAATACATCAAACTATTTAAACGAAATCAACCAATTGTCATCGAGTCCTACACTTGAACTTGTCTTATCAGCAAACATTTTAAACTATTTTCAAGTAGTTTTGACATCTTATCTTATCATCAAGGCTACTTTTATACCAATCACACAAGTTCAGAGTCAAATGAATTGATAAGAAGCATGTAAGTAGTTTTGAAGGTTCTCTGATTGGTTTTTGATACAGTTTTGGTTGATAAAATGTTTTTGGGCTAGAAAATGTATTATTGGTAGTGCGTGAGTTTGTAAGATTCCAAACTTAGTGTAATCCAGTGGTGGACAACCTATTTTTTGTTATATCACATCTTGATGAAAGCCATGACCGCACACGGCTCTCGATTCGTTGGATTTCCCTAATTTTGTAGTTGGAAACTAGAGTGCCGCGGCACATAGGTTGCCCATCACTGATAGAATCTCATGTGATTAAAGCCAATCTGTTTTGAAATTTCTACGTCAAAACCATTATTAAAAATCACTTTCTCTCACATTTTAGACATTTTAAGAGCTAAAATTCTCAAGTTCACCTTTAACTGAATCTCTAGTTTTTGTAAACCTTGAGATAGCTAAGTTTATCATCATCCTGACCTTAAATTCACCCTTGAGTCGATCTAATCGCAAAATTGATAATAAAACTTGCCTAAAAAGGAAGATAATCGCATGATTAAATTGAGTCACGAGAATGTTTTGATAAAATTCTTGATAATTTTTTTTAAATCTTGCACAAATAAGTTAAGGAAGTTAGTTGCGATGAGATTTTAAGCTGAGAAAGTCGTAAAAACAGATTCTTGATTTTTTGAGGTTAGCCAAGTTTGATTTTTTAATAATAAAAAATAAAATTAATTGTCAATAAGCCATGCGAACGCTGGTCGTGTTATCTATGCTGCTGTGTGCAGTCAGTGCATTTAGACTTAATGAGGCGAGTCAAAAATAATTTAAAGTTCATAAAAATTGGCTTCATAACAAAATTTAATTTCATTTAAAATTCAAACTTCAGATTAGACCGCTTGGTAGACTTAATGCATCACCTAGGAGTGATTGTTTAGTAAGTATGGCATGAGAAAAATCAGAAATTGGACACTATGTGAATTATTATTAATTTTTGAACTATATTGATTTTGGATTATGGCCGATAACTCAAGTTTATTATGTCATTAAATAATATTCCTATTAATAATGTAAAGCTAAGTTTCTAGGACCACCTACAGTCCCCTGCTGCTACAAAACTTCCGAAGAATTCCAATTTTTTGACACAAATTTTGATAAATCATTTTAGGGAGTCCCAAACGGAGCACAACTGCCACACCCTGTTAACTGCAATCAATTCATTCTTTGTGAGAACAATATCGGATTGACACTCACTTGCAGATCAAGTCATCCACATTTTGACAGATGCAGTGGACGATGTGTTGATGATATTTTGGTTTGCATGATTACCGATTGCAATGGAGTAAGTTTGTTAAGAATTGTTTTGATTTCTATATATTAAAAATTATCCTTATCAGGCTCCAACTCCACCTCCAACTCCAACTGACCCACCAACTGACCCTCCAGTCACGCAACCACCAACAACTCCAGAAATACCGACAGTATCAACAGAAGGGGTAACAATAGAGCCAGAACCAACGACAACAACGCGTTTTGTTGTTCCAACTGTGCCTTAATAAGTTCTTGAAAAACTTATTTTTAATAAATAAATAAACGACTTTACTGAAATTAGTCTGAAGGACTTAATCACATTTATTTAATAATATTATTTTATTTATTTTTGTGCCTAATAATTTAAAAACTTAACCACAATAAAAAATTAACTTTTAGTATGAATTAACAGTATTATTTTTATAAATTTAAGTTGCACGTGCTTTTGAAGCTGAAAGAAGCATACCCAGGGGGTCCTTAGATTGCCGGGCACCAAGGGCGTAGTCAGGAATTTGAAGAGGGGGGACAAAAAAATGTTTATATGGAAAATCCAGAGGGAAAGGGGGGGGGGGGGGGGGGGATTTTTATGATTTTTTCATAAAACTCCAAGCAAAATAAAGAAATTTCTTGTTATGTCGGGGTCCCACAACCCCCCCCCCCCCCCCCCCCCCCCCCCCTCCCTCCCTTTCATTTCATACCAATTTTTTGGAAATTTTTTTAAAAAACTAAGAACAATAAAATTATTTTTTATTAATCGAATAGAAAAAGTTTTATTTATTTTTGACACCCCCTAAGAAAATCTAACCCCTAGAAAGGACCCCCTAGAAAAATCCTGGCTACGCTCTTGCAATTAATGCGTTTGGCTGAATTTTTCTTTTTTGAAGATTTAGCTTCTGATAAGGTTTTTTGATCTCCCTCCCCAATAAATTATAACTTTGAGCTCCATTTTCGTTTGTGAACCAAATCAACAAAAAATTGGTAAAAATTGGAAACACCTTAAACTAAACAAGCAGATTTATCCTAGCAATTGAACAATCTTGCTTATTTTGCACCAAAGAACAGCATTTAAACTCTTCAAAAAGTTCACAACTTTCTTATCGGTCAACAAATAAAACCGAAATGATCCTTTTGACACACATTTTCATAAACACGCGTGAATATTTTCGACAAATAAAATCAAGATTAACAAGAAGTTTTAATTGGCGAAAATTACTTAAAATAGGTCATCAGCAGATTTAGATGATAAAAATATTGTATAAAACTCGAATCAATTTTGTTTGGGACAGCAAGTTACAATCAAGTTTCCTTAAAGTGAAGTTCTAAGACTGCAAAAAGTTTAAATTTACCAAAAAAAGAATTAAAAACACAATGAAAGTTCTAATTGCATTATTTGTAGCATTCTGTGCAGTTAGTGGATTTAGTTTTCTTAATGTACGTTGAGTTTTTTGGTATTCTGAGTTAAAAACGGTTTAAAAAACGTTAAAAAAATATCTAATTTTAGCTTTTCTCAGAATCTATTGAGATTGCACCATTCAATAGTTGTACTGTGAGTATGAAGGGTTATTTATAAATGACATTTAGCCATAAAATCGAATTATTTGATCACATCTGACTTCGAAGAGCATTATTTAAATTCTGAGTGTAAGGTCAAGTTTTAGGGCTACTCGAGGGCATTATTACGACAAATTTGATAACTTGTGGACTATACTTTATTATATATATGAAATCCAACTGTAGCGACAAAAAGATTCAAAAGTTTAGCAGCCCTGACACTAAGTAGTTATTATTGGTGACACCACATCGCTTCTCTGTCAGTTTTAAACCTATTTGTCAGTCACAGTATCCTGTCAACTCTTAGTATCAGCTTAAATGACATATGACTTTGTCTTGACACTCTCTTGACCATGCCAATGTACCGTGGCACAAAAAAGGCATGCTCACATTCTCTTACATTCTTTCAGGGTATTAAAGATGGAACTCGACTCGCAATTGCTGGAAACTGCAACGCTTTCACACTTTGTGACTCAGGAATCGGATTGAATCTAACATGTAGACTGTCTGAACCTCATTTTGATCCATGCTTAAAAGTCTGTAGCAGTGATATGAATGTTTGTAGTAAAACATGCTCTGTAAGTAGTTACATCACCTCTTTTTTGCAATTAAGCATAAATTTTAATTCATAGGATGATACAACAACCACAGCAAGTACAACAACAACCACAACAACGAAGGCAGAAGACCCAACAACCACAACAACAACAACATCAACAACAACAACAACAACAACAACTAAAGCACCAGTCACAACTACAACAACAAAGTTTGCTGTACCAACTGTCCCAATAGGATGTACTCCATCATGTTCAAAAACTTTCAATACAACCGTTTGTGAATGCACAGAAAAGTGGGTTTGTGTAAATCAAGTGTGTACATGTGATGCTACAAAAGCATGTCCAGTGGATAGAGCAACGTGTGAGGGAACAGGAACTGGTGGTTGTGGATGTGCTGAAAGATGCGACTGTACTGGAACTGCACCCGATGAGAAATGTTTCTGCATAGCAGATGTAGTTTGTCCATTTAACAAAGCTGATTGTGCTGGTATTTGTGATTGTGCAGAACAATGTGATGATACAGTTTGTAAAGAAGACACAGCAGTGGCGGGCACATTCATCTGTACAGCATGCAATAAAACAGCTCAATGTTCATTCGCAAATACTGAATGTGCATCAAAGTGTGGATGTGCTAATAATTGTAACTGTACAACTGACACATCTTGCACTTGTAATCCAATTTGTGCATGTATTGAACCTCCAGTCGTTTGTCCTTTCAAACCTTCTGATTGTGTAGCTAGATGCGGATGTGATAAGCGTTGTGAAGCAACTTGTAATGGTGACTTTTGTGTCTGTGATCCCGCAGTTAAATGCATATAAAGTTAAGTTTTTGTTAATATTAGGACTATCAGAACTTATTAAGGCAGTGTTTTTTGGTCCACGGCACAGTACCAACCAGCCAGACGAACAAATTGCATTGTTAAGCTTCCTTTTTAAAATCAGCGTTAAAAACAGTTAAAATTTCAGTTATAAATAACTTTGCAATGCATCTGAGAAGTTCTCATAGTAAACTAGTGTGCCGCAACCAACAGATCAAGAATCACTGTCTATCTATTATTAAGTAGATTTTGGTGTAGGATATGGACATTGGTGAATGGTAAAGTTAAGAAACTGATTAACTTTAAAATAATTAAATTTAAAGAAATAAAATTAAAATGTTAAAATTGACAATTTAAAATTAAAATAGAATTTGGTAATTTTTTTTAAATATTAAAAAGGTTCAAAGTTGAATAACAGGTCTCCTAAGCAGGTGCGTAGCCAAGAGGGTATTGTTCCCCTTTTAAGCGTTTTGGACCGTACGCAACTGCTCCTAAGTAAGTTGCAACTATGAAGCAGCTCGACAACTGCTGCACTTTTTAAAATGGATAAGCAAAGTTAAACTTAATGAAGTTAATTCATCAAAATTTATATGAGGACAAGTCAATGCATCTTTATAGTCAAACTATGAAAATCGTAAGTTCTGCTATCAATAAAAAAACAAAAAAAATTAATTTTATCTTTTAAAGAGCTCAATACATCACTAACTTCGTTCCTTATCACTCTTAAAATAATAAAAAACAACTTCAATACCAACTTAATTTGACGGAAAATCATCAAAACATGAGTAAGAATTTTTTACACGTTTACAAATTAAAAGGATTAAACTTAAATTTTGATTAGGACACGACTTTTTTTGTGATAAACGTTTGGTATAAAAACTGAGTTTGGTAACTTGTGAAATACAAGTTTTATTTATTTTCTCGAAATGTAAGGATCGAAGATTTTAAAAAATCATTGTTTGAAGTTTGCAAAAATTTAAATTTTAAAAATAATTTTTCAAATTAATTCAGTTTTTTAAAAAAAAATTTGACAATAATTTCAAGTTTAATTAAGAAAAAAACAAAAATTGAAATTTAAATATTTGTGAATTGTTTTTTGAATTTTTGTAAAGTTTGAAAATTCTGAAAAAAGTAAAAAGTTTGAAAAAAATAAATTAATTTTTTGAAGTTTTAAAAAATCCTTCTAGACTGAAAAAAAATCAAAAAAGGACTCAGAATGAAAATACTCATAGCATTATCACTCGCATTCTGTGCTGTCAATGGATTTAGTTTCTTTAATGTAAGTTTATTTTTATTTAAGTGGCAAAGCTAAAGATTTGCATTTGTGAAGCATTAAATGGTGTGGTTTACCTCGACCCTTATTAAGAACAAAGTAAATGCTGCAATATCGACCGTTCTGAACGTACCCGAACAGCACAAATTGGTTAATTGAATAGAAATCTGGTATCAAGCTGGCATAAACCTAACATAATGCTGGATATGATTTGGGATCAGAACCATGCCTGTTTGGAGCCAGATTTTTTTCCGACTTGTGAAGTAGTGACAATTTTTTTTTATAGAATTTCTGGATGACTTACACGATTTTTTTACAAAAATCCAAGATAAAATTTCCAATAAAAAATCCCCCCCCCCCCCACCCTTAATCCCCTCTCGAAAATGAAAATGTCGAAACTTTCTTTAATCAAATTCTATCTGCTCACTATTGTAGGCACATGCAGACCCCATTGAGATTGCACCATTCAACAGTTGTGCTGTGAGTATAAATTGATTTTATTTAAAAACATTTAATTTTTATCAGAGCTCAAAGTCGATGAAATTTTGTATGGAGTCGACTTCGCCATACAAAATCGGTGATAATCTCGAGTCAACTTGGAGCTCTGATCTCTATTTAGAAAATTAAATTAATTAATAGGGAATTGCCGATGGAACTCGACTTCGAATCGAGAGTAACTGCAATGCATTCACACTTTGTGACTCTGGATACGGACTTAACTTAACATGTAGATTATCAGAACCGGACTTCGATTGGTGTACTGGAAAATGTGTTAATGACAAGTCAGTTTGTACACAAACGTCCTGCTCAGTGAGTTTGAGGTTCTTTGTTGAGAAATTCTTTATATTTTTAATGATTTTTCAATAGACGGATACAACCACAACAACGGTTGCTGGGGACACGACAACAACCACGTCAACGACCACAACTGCATCAACGACCACTTCTACAACGCCAGCAGCAGTAACAACAACAACAACAACATCAAAAACAACCACTCCATTCAATATCCCAACAGTTCCAACTGTATGCAGTCCTGTATGTGATACATCCTTATGTGTAGCACCTGGTTGTCCTGAACAAATGGTCTGCAAAATTGGAAATGTTTGTGAATGTGACTCAACCATAATGTGTCCAACGGATTTAGACACATGTTCATTACCCGAAAATTGCGGATGTGCATCAAATTGTGAGTGCTCTGATCCAGACACTAATCTTTTATGCACATGCATTGAAAAAGACACATCAGTCTGCACATTCGACAGAGAAACACAATGCGTTGAAAAGTGTGGATGCGATTACAGATGCGACAGTTCCGTTTGTACCGAAAGTACAACAAATCCTGGATCTTACTTATGTACTGGATGTAATGAAGAAAAATCATGTCCATTTAAGAAGGAAGAATGCCTTGCTAAATGCGGCTGTACAAAGAATTGCGATTGTGATCTTACTGGAAGTACTTGCAACTGTTTTTCAACATGTCAATGTCCTACAACACCGCCACCAGATGTCTGTCCATTTGTCCCAGCTGATTGTGTCACAAAATGTGGTTGTGCTGAACGTTGTAACTGTAACGGACCTTTCTGTATGTGTAATGTTGATGCAGTGTGTCCTGAAATTTGAAAAACTTAAGCTTAACTTTTTAAGTTAATTTAAAAAAAAGTTTAAATGCTTTTTAAAAAAATAAATTTAAATAAAATGGATTGTTTAAAACTAAAATTTGAGGTTAAACTTATTGCCAGGAACGCTCAGCTGTTTTTTTTAAAAAATTTGACAACTTCATGCCGTCATTTTGTTATCATCGGCATAAAGTAAAGGAAATTAGGAGTTAAACTAGGATTGACAAAAACAATAAAATAATCGATAATGTTACAGCTTATTTTATTTATTTGATAAAAAGTTTCTATAAAAGCCGGTGCATTTTAGGCAATTTTTAAAAGTGTGAATTTATTGAATTTAAAATAAAAATATTGCATTAAAAAATTAATAAAAAAAATTTTTTTAATTGTGAAATTTAAAAAAAAAATAAGTTTAAAAAAATTGGATAAAAAATAAAAAAAATTAACGATGAGTGCTAAAATTATTATATTATGTAGTTTATTAATAAGCTCAACGTATGGATTTAGATTTCCTCGTGTAAGTTTTAATCATGGATATTTGCTTAGGTGATGCTAATTTGGACCTAGTTGATTATTAAATAACCTAGCTTAGTAAGCTCAACTTACCTATTAGCTACTTTTTTCGAAGTTTTATCCTCAAAATGGCGTCAAATTTATGAAAAACCTGTTCTTTATAAACCTAGCAGATGCTTAGATAAGCAAAAAAAAAGAATATAACTTCATTAGGTCCTGTTTGCAGGACATGACTGAATAATTTCTGTTTGTCTGAAAAATACTCGAAGTAAAAAAAAAATTCAAAAAGCAAATTAAAAATATTACAAAAAAAAATTTAATTTCTCCAAAGATTTTTGACGCTCCGATGGAAGTAGCTCCTCATATTGTGTGTACGGTAAGTGAATATATTTTATATAAAAAACCTCCAAAACTAAGTGTGTGGAATTGATCAAAAATGTTAAAAAGTAATATTAATCACTTCTGCACAACCCAAAAACTTATTATTTAAAATTATTCACAAACTCACGCAATCAAAAAATTCTCACAGGGCGTTGCAGATGGGACAAAACTTCCTGACGACACAGATTGCGGTCATTTTTTCTTGTGTGATGGCGGTGCATCATTAAGACTTGCATGCAGATTATCAGAACCACATTTTGACAGATGCGCGGGCGCTTGTATCAATGATCCTTCTGTGTGTACAGTTACTGACTGCCCTGGGGTGAGTTGACAAAGATGTGAACAGAAGATTAAGTTTTTATTATATTTTTAACTTTTGGATATAGAGCACTGAATCCTCCACAACAGAATCCACAACAACAACAACAACGACGACATCAACAACAACAACAACAACAACTACGACACCAGCACCGTCTGATTCAACAACAAAATTCAACCCTCCAACCGTACCAACTGTTTGTTCAACACCTTGTGAAACCACTTGGGATGTTGCCACTTGTGAATGCATTGAAAAATGGGTATGCGAAAACGATGTCTGCGTTTGCAATCCAAATAACGAATGTCCTTTGACTGAAGCTGAATGCATTTTACCAGAAAATTGTGGATGTATGGAAAGATGTGATTGCCCAGAAACAGATAAGTGTAGCTGCGTAACCGATGGCACACAATGTCCATTTGATGACATAGCTGGAGCTTGCATTAAGAATTGTGGATGTCAAAGTAATTGCATATGCACAGACACTACTGCTGCTACTGGTTGTACTTGCAATCCAACATGTACATGCAATGAACCTCCAAAAGTTTGTCCTTTCAAGCCTGCTGACTGTTTAACAAATTGCGCTTGTGATGAAAGATGCAACTGTAATGGTGATTTTTGTACATGCAATGCTGATGTTGCATGTCCTGCATCATTTTGGAAACGTTTATATTAGAGAATATTAGATATACTCGGTCGGTGCTGGTGCAGCTGTGGCTTTTAAGAAGTAGAGATAAATTATACTAAGAAGTAATTTTTATGGTTTTGGTGCAATAGATCATCAATCAGGATTGTAGTGACTCCAGCTTTTTGTAAGATATAGGTTCGCTTCGAAGGAACCATCTCATATTTTAATCCTTATGGTTGTAGTTGAACTTTAAAGTTTTTAATGTTTTAAATTTAAAAAAAAATAAAAAAAAGTTTTAGAAAAATATTTTTTAAGTTTTTTTTTCATTTCTTTTAGGGAGTCGTTCACTTATTACGTCCAGAATTAATGGTCATATTTAAAAAAAACCAATGGATTTCCACGAATTTCTATTGTTCCTTTTTCGCTGCCCCCCCCCCTCCCCCATACCCCTCCCCCCACCCCCCCACTCAAACTTTTCAGGCAATTTACTGGATTGGCAAAGTAGTTGACTAAATTTAATTAATATTCACACAAATTAGTTGAAAATATGTTTGGACTAGGGACGGTTGTCAGCCTTTTATTTGCCTGGATGCGAGATCTATGCTTCAGATTAACTCTCAACACCCTTCTCTCCCCCCCCCCCCGCCTCTCCCCCTTCTTTCAATGGGGCAACATCTAAAATTAAGGAACTGATTAATCAGTTCCACACCCTTGGTACACGCAAGGCGCGTAAGAGGGGGGGGGGGGGATTTTTGTGACAAATCTCCCGACGTTAGAAGAAACTTCATCATTATGCTAGGAGTTTTATGAATAAATCATAAACTCCCCCGCCCCCCCCCCCCCCCCCTTTGAAAATTTTCCATATAAAAATTTTCTGTGTCCCCCCTCTTCAAGATCCTGGCTACGCCCCTGGTACACGCACTTAGTTTACCACATTATCTTGATTCAATCAATTCCCACATTTCAAGGCCCCAAATGATGTCAAATGATTTTTTTGTTACTGTTTCATCACAATTTATTTTTGGGTCTCATAATTCGGCAAGATTTACTGTTGCGGATATACAAAAGAAATGAGATACCTGAGTCTTTTGCGTTTTATCGAAAATATTTGATAAAGAAAATTGTATAAAAATACAATCAATATAGGCTGAAGGTGTCAAATAGGAATACACTTAATCATATAAAGGAAGTGTTTCGGAGAAATTTTGTAAAATTAAAATGAAAATTTTAATGATTTTGCCTTTGATTGTCTACAGTCTGTATGGATTAACTTTTGGACAGGTAAGATTTTGAACATTATTGAGATTAAGAATGAAGTCACTACAACTCATTTTATAGTCAAAATTTCATCAATATAAATATTTTTATTTTCTAGATTATTTTTCCAAACAACTTAGAAATATCACCTCACAGTGAGTGCGTGGTAAGTAGATTTATTGGATCTTTTGATAAATGAATGTTACATCAGCAGTAAAATGTTTGATTTTACATCGATGACTGATAAGATCTTAATCATAACTAAGTAAATGATTAAATGATCAAGAATTGAAGAAGAATGTTGTGGGGTTTTTGGATGTTTTACAAGAACTTACAAACTAGCTTGCCGCTGCACATAGTTGCTGCACATAGTTTGAGAACCTCTGATCTAACCCCCTTTCCACCCCCCTCCCCTTCCCCTCCCCTTCCCCTCCCCTTCCCCTCCTCTTCCCCTCCCCTTCCCCTCCCCTTCCCCTCCCCTTCCCCTCCCCTTCCCCTCCCCTTCCCCTCCCATTCCCCTCCCATTCCCCTCCCCTTCCCCTCCCCTTCCCCTCCCCTTCCCCTCCCCTTCCCCTCCCCTTCCCCTCCCCTTCCCCTCCCCTTCCCCTCCCCTTCCCCTCCCCTTCCCCTCCCCTTCCCCTTCCCCTCCCCTTCCCCTCCCCTTCCCCTCCCCTTCTCCTCCCCTTCCTCTCCCCTTCCCCTCCCCTTCCCCTACCCTTCCCCTCCCCTTCCCCTCCCCTTCCCCTCCCCTTCTCCTCCCCTTCCCCTCCCCTTCCCCTCCCCTTCCCCTTCCCTACTTCCCCCTCCATATCAACTCTATTAACCATCCACATTATCAAAACCTTTTCCAGGGTATCCCAGATGGAACCAGACTCCCTCAAGCCAATTGCAGTACATTCATCCTTTGCGACATGGAATCACCCTTGTTACTTCCATGTAGAGAAAGTGAACCGTATTTTGACAGAACTGCTCAGAGATGCAGTAATGACTCATCAGTTTGTTACATTGATGGAGTAAGTTGGTGTATTTTTGACCTTATTATTTAACAAAAATTTATTTTGATCCTAATAGGGCGTAGTTCCACCAACAACAACCACAAAAGCTACAACAATAATCATACCAACTGTCCCAGTAGGCACAAATCCTCCTCCAACTACAACCACAACTACAACAACACTTCCTCCACCACTTACCTGCCCTACACCATGTGCAGATCTTCCAAATACTTGCTTATGTGATGCTCAATGGACGTGCGTTGATGGCAATTGTATTTGCGATGAAACAATTGTGTGTCAAATGACTAAAGCAGAATGCTTAGCAAAGGAAGGATGTGGAGGTACAAATGGATGTGCTGAGCGATGTGAATGTGTTGATGATAATAATTGCGTATGCAACTTAGACACTCAATGTACATTCAACAGGCTTCTTTGTGTATCAAAATGTGGCTGTCAAAATAATTGCAACTGTGTACTCCTTAAATGTACTTGCTTTGATACATGTAAATGCTTCGAACCACCACCGGTGTGTCCAAAAAGTAGACAAGAATGTCCTGAATTTTGTGGGTGTCAGGAAAGATGTCTTTGTAATGGAGATAAGTGCGTTTGTGATCTTGATCATGGTTGTCCATGAGTTTTTGGTAAAAAGACTTAAAAATCAAAAAATCATGAAGCTTTTTGGATCTTCGAATTTTTAAAAAGATAATGGACAATTCTCCAGATGAGTTGAGTTTTTGAAAAAAGAGCTTTTATAATCCAAAGTCATTTACTGTTTACTTTCAATTTTTTTTTTGTAAATATCTTGTCAATTTCTTTGTTTTGATTGCTTAAAGCAACTTTAAACTGTTTATTACGATTGATTCTAACTGAATCAACAATAATTCAACCATGAAGTGTTAAATTAAGACTAAAATTTAATTTTTATGAAATATTTGCTTTGCATTTTTTTCATGGATTTGCAAAATAAAAGCTTAATTTTTTTACTGTCAGCAAAAAAATCCACCGAAGAATCAAAAATTCTCTTTAAATAGTAATTATTGGAGTGTGATATGATTATGGTTAGATAGATTAGCTCAAAAACTACATTTCTGCATAATCATAATAAAAAATGAGTGTTTACTTTTCTTCAATTTTCGATTCTCCGGATGATTATTCCATTTTTTGCTGACAGTAATTTTGACAAAAAATTGAAATAACTTAATTAATGGTTACTTTCAAAGACTAAAATAGATGAAATATAATAGTTTTTGCCATGTTACATCGATTTAAATGTAAAACTAATGCTTGGTAATGGAAAATTTTCGAGAAAAATCAATTCTCCGGATGATTTTTTGAAAAACTTATCTGGAGAATTGCCCTAATGTTATCAAGTTTTTAATAAAAAATGTCTAGAAAATTAAAAATTGTCTAATCTTAACTAAACTATGCGCATGTCTACAGATTACAACTAAAAAATGACATAAAATTGGGAAAGGAGCTTAAAACTATGAAAGGGGTGTGAAATTATGAAAAGGTTGTGAAACTATGAAAAGGATGTGAAATTGCGAAATGGTTAGAAACTGTAAATTAATGTGTAATTGCAGAAGGGTGTAAAACTATAAAAAGGGTGTGAAACTATGAATAGTGAGAAACTTTGAAAAGGGTGTAAAACCAAGAAGGGGTGTGAATCTATGATGGGGTACAAAACTATGAAAGGGGTCTGAACCTATGAAAGGGGTGGAAAACTATGAAAGGGGTGTGGAACTACAGAGGAGTGTAAAACTACGAAAAGGTGTGAACCTATGAAAGTGATGCAAAACTATGAAAGGAGTGTGAAACTATGAAAGAGATGTGAAACTGCAAAATGTTTAGAAACTGTAAATTATTGCAATTATGTGTGTAATTGCAAAAGGGTGTAAAACTATGAAAGGGGCGTGAAACTATGAATAGTGAGAAACTTTGAAATTGGCGTGAAACTTTGGTTGAAACAGATGGTACCCATTAAAAGAGTGTGAAAGTGCATAAAGATTGTGAAACTGCGTCAGGGGTGTTGTTATGTCGTGAGGATTGTGCGAATCATTGTTATATTGACAATGTTCTATATTATGATTGTGATATCAGTTTCTGGTTGGAATTGAGCTCGCATTCTTACAAAAAAGGGTTACATATTTATTGTCTGCTGTTTAAATACCTCAGAGACCAAACTCTTATCCTGGCAGATTCGCCTATATATGGATCGATCTTCAAGATTCTACTCTGATAAGATGCAACGGCAGTGAAACTATAAAATAGAATTAAGATACAGGTTGCTTGTCACAGGCACAGGTGACAGATTTGTCACAGATATTGTCTGTTAACAAGCAGTGCCTGCGAACTGGCAAAAAAATATTTCCTGTCACCTGTGAGGTTTAATACTTTTAAAATATATGAAATATAAAGGCTTTATGCTTAAATTTCCAACAAATTTTGATTAAAGCTTCAGTATTTAAGCCAATAAAATGTAAAAGTTGATTACTATAAATTCTTTTTGACAAATTAATAATTAATATTTAATTTCTCTTTTCTGATTATTCCATTCAGCTAAGGAAAAGCTTATATCAAGGTTATAAATATCATTCGATTTCCCAGTAATTTATTTATCTGCCTTTATTTTATTGAACTCTATTTTTGTGCCCTTGTTTTTTTCGGTTAATCCTTTTGGTGATTTACCCTTGTGTAACATAAAAACACAAATTTTTTAAAGCTTGTGCGTTTTATCAATTTGTTATTGTATGATAAAGAAAACTGTATAAAAGACGATCCAAATAGCCAAGACAATTTATAATAATAAATATTCTTCAAAATAAAAGAAGTGCTTACAGGATAAATATTTAAAATTTGTTAATTTAAAAACAAAAGTTGTCAAAGTTGAACAAAAAAAAAATATCTCAACAAATATGAAGTTTTTATACATTATCTCGATGATTTTCTGTGCAGTAAATGGATTCAGGTTTAAAGATGTGAGTATCAGGAAGGATTTCTCTGTTATTGGTTTGGTTTTATACAGGTTTAACCCCTCGTATGGCATGATTCCAGTATGACAAAGTTTAACATCTAATGTAGTACAGAAGTGAATGGCGGTTTATAGATTTACCATACCAGAAGTATTTTGTGGCTATATTATTATTAAACTATACTGTGCGGATACCGAGCCTATACATAACCATACCGTATACCATAGGGGCCGTTCACTTATTACGTAACGCGAAAAAACTACTTTTTAGACCCCCCCTCCCCCCCCTCGTAACAAAATTTGTATGAAAAAAAAATTCTTTTGTTTGAACCGTAACAAAATCTTAGACCCCCCTCCCCCCTAAAAGCGTTACGTAATAAGTGAACGGCACCATACCTAATCAATTACCTAACCCTATCCTATATTTATCTTCATATATACTTAAGCCTATCCTATACCCAACTCTATCCTTTGCTTAACCCTTTCCTATACCTAACCTTATCCTATAACTAACCTTATCCTATACCTAACCTTATCCTATACCTAACCTTATCCTTTACCTTACCTTATCCTATACCCAACTCTATCCTATATCTAACTCTATCCTTTGCTTAACCCTTTCCTATACCTAACCTTATCCTATAACTAACCTTATCCTATACCTAACCTTATCCTATACCTAACCTTATCCTTTACCTTACCTTATCCTATACCCAACTCTATCCTATATCTAACTCTATCCTTTGCTTAACCCTTTCCTATACCTAACCTTATCCTATACCTAACCTTATCCTATACCTTACCTTATCCTATACCTTACCTTATTCATATCTAATCCTATGCTATACCTAACCTTATCCTATACCTTACCTTATCCTATACCTTACCTTATTCATATCTAATCCTATCCTATACCTAACCTTATCCCATAACTAACCTTATTCTATACCTAACCTTATCCTATACCTAACCTCATCCTACACCTAACCTTATCCTATACCCTACCTTATTCATAGCTAACCCTATTCTATACCTATGTTGGATTCATGACCCGAATAGCGGAAAAGATCCTGTCAGAAAATCGAGACGAAATCCCACACCAGGACGATGTCACTCCAACATCGGTACGCAAGCCCCTCAAGTTGTCCTAGCGCAGGAATTTGTCTCGTTTATCCGACTTAAACTTTTGGATAAGAACATTCAATTGAATTAGGTTAAAACATTTCACATTAGATGATAAAGCAAAAACCATGATACTTCATCTCAGTGCCACTTAAACATAGCATTTACTGCATGACAATGATTCGCTCACATTTTTTTTTTTCCAAAATCATTCAATTAAAGTTGTCTCAAAAATTAATATTTTGTTCATTTGTTATCAGGTTATCTCAGATCACATAGACGTATCGCCACACAACGAATGTGCTGTAAGTTAAAGTCTTAATGCTTAAGGATTAAAAAAATATTTTTGATAAGGAAAAATAACATCAACAAGTTCAAGTTTGGAACTAAAGGAGACATGAGCTGATATATAAAAATAAATAATGACGTGATTCAATAATTTTGAAATTAATTCTTAATTGTATTTCACAATAGAATCAACCAAATGGAATGAGACTTCCACATGCTGATTGTAATCGATTCATACTTTGTGATTCACAAGCTGGACTGGTTCTTTCATGCAGAGCAGCAGAGCCGAATTTTGATAGATGCAATCAGAGATGTGTAGATGATCCGTTAGTGTGCACGACAACTGATTGTAATGGCGGCGGTGGGGTAGGTTGATGCAGCAATATCCTTGAATTGTTTGAAAAAATATTTAAAAATTTCAGGAAGTAACATCGACCACAGTAACAAATGAACCTCCAGTAACAACAACAACAACAAGGTTTACTCCTCCAACAGTTCAAGCTGTATGTCCAATTCCTTGTACTTCAGGAAACATGCCTACATCCTGTGACTGTATAGAACGATGGATATGCGTTGGTATAACATGTCAATGCAACGCTAACATCCCGTGTCCTATGACAGAAGACGAATGCATGGCATTACCAGAATGTGGCGGTGATTGTCAAGAACGATGTGTTTGTGAAACTCCTGAAAATTGTCAATGCAACACTGAACTTCAATGTCCTTTCGCACAGGCTGAATGTGCTGCAAGATGCGGTTGTGGAGCTAATTGTAACTGCGAAACACCAACAACGTGTGTCTGCAATGATGTATGCGTTTGTGTAGGACCACCAAATGTATGTCCATTTGCTCCCGTTGACTGTGTTGCACGTTGCGGATGTAACGAAAGATGTATCTGTAATGGAAATGTTTGCACATGTGATACTGAAACTCACTGTCCAGCAAATGTCCCTAGGATTTTTATGTATAAGAATTAAATGCGGATATTAAGGTTCATTTGGATATTTTTTAAAATTGGTTCAGGAATTATTATTTTAGTTTTTACTATTAATTTGAATAATATTTAAATAAATAAAAATATATTTTTAAATATAGAAAAATAAATAACTTGCTTACTTCCTTGGCTGGGGCGTACGTGGGCCCATTGCCGCGCTTAGAGATCGTCTGAAGACAGCTCTATCCTTAGAAACCTTCTGCCAGTTCGGGATATTAAGCACTCTAGCGTTCTTTTCAATACATCCAATCCACGAGATCTTCGGTCTTCCTTGTGATCTCTTGCCATCCATAAAGTCTGCTAATGTTACTTTTAGTACTTCATCTTTAGATCTTTAATTCAGATGAGTTGGGAATAGGACAGTTTTGGATAAAATATGTTCAGCATGAAACTGCGAATCGTTTTACACTCGGGAACCAGAAGCGAAACCGAGAGAGAGGGGGGGGGGGGGGGTTATGTGGTCAAATTACCCCCTTTTTTGATAAATATCTGAAAAATTAACTAGTTTTTTATTTTAACAAAAATTAATCCAAACCCGAAAATTCTCAGGTACGACCCTGTCAGAAAAATAGTCAAGAAAGACTGTTAAATGCCCTGCACTCCTGTTGATATCAAAATTTAAAGTCAATTAATCCTCGTCGCATATCATACTGTATGCATGGGTAATTGATCCGTACAAAACATTTCATCAACTTAAGAAAACCAGAACAGTCTTCCGTCATGCAGAACTGTAGCGGTTATTCCTTGGATCTTCTTGGATAAAATTGACGCATTTTTGAAACTTGTTTCGAAAAGGTAGCTTAATATCTCACTATGTCTGTTCGTTCGGGCTGAGAAAAACTTTTTAACTAGACATCGTAGAGAGTTCTAGTTTGTTTTATTAGCTCAGGTCCATTGTTTTATTTTCGGGAAACGCATTCAAAAGTCTTGAAACAGTCTTTTTGTCCTATAATTAATGGTTTTTATATTTCATATGAAAAAACACGTGATGAGAGCGTTTAGAATTTCGAATTTATTTCTACCGTTAAAAATTTTTGAATCTCAAAAAACCGTTGAATGATAAACAATTTATTTATGAGAATTAAAGATATTAAATTGTTAAATATACTATAATTAATGATTTTTTGCGTATCTTTTGGCGGAAAGCTTTCAAAAACTTACTGACCGTTAGAAAATTTGAATCTCAAGAAACCGTTAAATGATAAACTTTTTCTATATGGAAATTCATTTCTACAAATTAATAATTAGGCTATAGTTTTTATTTTTGAATTGCAACTTTTAGCGGCAAAATTTCAAATTATTTATTGACCGTTAAATAATAAAGGTTTTTCATATAAGTATTCATTGTAATTATTTGCTAATTGCACTTAAATCAATGATCTTCTAATCTTCTAATGATCTGTAAATGAACGCAAAATAAATAGACAATCAAATGCTGATCACTAACACAAAAATGCGCTTAAGTCCCTCGATCAATAACACGAGGACTTCTGTAATTTTTTTTTAATTTTAGCGATTAAAAAAGTCTTTTAAGCAATGCGTGGAAATTTCCATGTTTATTGGCTCAGGAATGTTTTAAGGATTAATCCCGAGTTTTCACGCCTTGCTTTTAAGTCATTTGCTAATTTTACGCACAATTTCATTGACAAATCAGCATCAATTATGAAAATTTCCACGAAAAGTTTGATAAAAAAAAATTGTTCATGGCATTGAAAAGGCTTAAAAATCGGCATATGACAAAGGATTGATAAGTTTTTTATCGGTTTTTCCAATTCAGCAAAGATCTCAAAATTCCGCGATAACAAAACAATCTTCCAATCTAAAAAGATCCATCTTGAACTTGATAAGAATCTCTACTTTTTGTATAAAAATCAGAAGCATTTATTGTCAAGTCCGTTTTGTTCATTTTTAAAGGTTCTGACATTCGCAACACTTAACGTTAATATTTTGTAAAATTAAAAAAATTTAAAAATGAGATTTTTAGTAATTTTACCAAGTTTATTAGCTGCTTGCTATGGATATAACCTTTTTTCAGTAAGCTGAAGTTTTTAACATTGTTTTGAATTTTTTTGTGAATTGTAAAATAATATTTTTTTAAAGAATAATATAGAAGATGTTGTGAAATCAGCAATAATTTATGACTGTGCAGTAAGTTGACAAGCTATAAAGAAGCAAATTTTAAAATATATTTAAAAAAAAAATTTAAAAAGAAATAATTTAAATTATTTAATTTTATTTTAAAAATAATCAGCAAGCTAACAATGGCGCAAAACTTCCTGTTCTCAACGAATGCTCCAAATTTGTTCTTTGTGATGGAAACTATAACATAACTTTGACATGTCGATTATCAGAGCCCCATTTTAATAGATGCACTAGCTCATGTGTTAATGACTTGGCAATATGCAGTGTAGCTAGCTGTGATTCGGTAAGTTTTGTGATTAGGACTGTAGAATATGATACATAAAATAATTATTAATCTAGGACTTAACAACCACAACAACAACAACAACAACAACAACTACAACAACCCCATCTAATGTAGATTCTACAACGACATCAACAATCACAACAACAACAACAACCCCAGTCACAACAACAACGAAATTTTCTCCACCAACTGTTCCTAGCGCGACCACAACAGGAGCTGTACCGCCACCTGCAGCATGTACAGATAACGCTAGTTGCGCTGGACAGTGTCCAAGTCCTTCATGTGATGAACAATGTGAATGTAATACAGATTTAGGAACCTGCAGTGCAAATACAGCTATTACGTGTCCATTCGACTGTGTAACGGAATGTGGATGTACTGATAATTGTGATTGCACTAGTGGCACATGTACAGCTTGTATGGATCCTGAAGTCACTTGCCCAGGTTTATAATTTAATTCTAATGGAAGTCAATTTTGTTAGATTTATACATAAAAGCTGAATTTATATGGAAATTTTAATGGAAATAAAAAAAATATAATCTGTGATTCAGTTTGCACAGTTCAATAGTTTAAATTGAAAAGATTTTTTTTGTCAAATTTAATAGAAATTTAAAACAAATTTAGTAAATACATGGCGGAAAAAATCCATGCTTAATTCATCAAATGCATCAGGAATTTTAACATTTTCATGTTTATTGGCGAAGGGATTTTTTTTTGGATTTTTGGGATTAATCCTAAGTTTTCACGCATTGTTCAAAAATACAAGGATAAACCATGATGAAATTTGTGTGTGTTTGCGCTTAAAGGTTTAATTTGCTGATAACTTTTAATGTAAAATTATAAAAATCTGATTATTAGCTTAAAAAATCAGAAATTGTAGGTTTTATTAAGTTCTTTATACTTTTTGAATGATGTTTACAAACATTTGGTTTACAATTTTTTTGAGCTTAATTTTTTTGCTTTACTTTTATATAAGCAATAAGTTTCAAAGCTTTTTTTTTGAAATTAATGCCGAAAAAAATTGAAAACATTCAAATTTTCCAAAAAAAAACAACATTTATCAGCCTGTTGGAAGTGCGTCGGGCCAACTTCGAATTTCGAGCTGAAACTTTGCCAGTTTAAAGACCCTTTTGCGACACTTTTCGACATCTAATTACTTTTTTTCGACACCCTTTAGTTTTTGAGATATCGAAGCTTCAATTTTAGGCAAAAATCCCGACCAACTTCACGTTTCTAGTCGGGCCAATTTCTGAAAAATAATTTTATTAGACATGTTATATATCGAAATTAAAGTTCTTTTTACGACAATTTTCGACACGCAAACCGTTTTTAAATCTGATCATTTCTTGCTGAGGTATGAGCTGTCAAAGTTTTGCCTGCTGTTTCCATGCACCAAAAAAATCAAGTTTTACTAAAATTGTCAATTTGTTACAAACCTTTTATCAAAATGCATCTCCTTTTCATGACGTATCCAAATACTCGAAAATATTTTCAATTCAGTTATTATCAGTCGACTTATAGCATGTCAAGTGACCAGTCATGGATCCGATCTCAAAGGATTTTTTTTTCAAATTTTCTCAAAAAACTTTTATTTTATCTTTTTTTTGAACTTTCTGATATTTGTTTGAATTAAAAATATAAGTTTCAGAGATTGTTGAGAAAGTGATATCAATTTTGAGATTCAATTTGAATTTGAATCCTTTGAGATTTGATACTCCCACTACACTTCAAGTTCCTGATTGGTTTCTTAATCCAATGTTGCCCAAATAACCAATTATTTCTTGAAATTGCACATTAAGCAGTCGAAATATCTAAACTATAAGGTTACAGTCTTGGATAGTTTTGGAACTTCCACTTCGCTTCAGTTGCTGCTGCTTACAGTCTCAATAGTGTTGAAAACTATCAAATCGAGGACCTTTGCTACAGAAAACAACTTTTTAAAAATATATCATGATTAAGTTTGAAGCCTATTAAGGTCATACAAGCTCCACATAGGAAGATGGCTACAGTAAGGAAGTAAGTAAAAGGCAATACAAGCATTCCAGATTATTACGATGCCAAAATAACATCAGCTTGGTGCCGCATTTCTATTAGATTATCTCGTTCTTTGGGTAAGATGCTGTTAATTTTTAATCATGTCTGGAACTCAACACAAGAATCCAGTAAATGTTTACACTTGTCTGGAAGAAAAACTTCAGATCGAGCAAAGTTTTAGTCGTGTCTGGATCAAACTGCATAAATATCAATTTAATACCAACAAACATTTTCTAGTGTACGTAAACAATTCATCAAATGCATCCGGGATTTCACATTTTTATGTTTATTTGCTCAAAGATTTTTTTGAGATGATCGATTAAATTAAATTACAATTCTCTTTAAATAAAATACCTAATGCTTGTGTTTTTGTTGTGGAATTAAATTATTTTTCAAAAATTTATTAGGGGCCGTTCACTTATGACGTCCAGGGGGGGGGGTCAGCAAGAAAAAGAAGATAGAAATTCCTGGAAATTCATTGTTCTCTTTTGAAAAATGACCGTTATTTCGGACGTCATAAGTGAACGATCCCTTAGGAATATTGTCGGTGTTCCTTTTGATGATAAAATTGCTAACACAAAAGCTACTCTTCAGCATACATACATGAAATTGAATATTACTTATCAAAAAAAAAGTGAACTTGCTTTTGTGGGATCATTCTGTACCTTTTTGATTCCCATATTTCTAAATGCCGCAACTTATTAATGACCATTATTCCATTCTTACATAAATTTCGATTCCCACCCTATAATACCTTGAGTAGATCCGTTTTAAAATGATTTAAATTGTAATCGTAGAAAAAATATTTTTATTAATTTTTCATGTCATGTGAAAACAATTTCAATACATATCAAGTCCTTCAATTTTAATGGTTATCTCCTTTTTCTGTCTGCGAAAGACTCCGTTGCTGACTTTTGGTGGAATGAAATCAAATGCAGGCCTTACACATTGTCCACCATTATCACCTTCAGCACATTCATTAATGGCTTCATTGAACCACCATCCTTCAGCACATTCGCCTTGATCAATTTCTGTTCCTTCAAAGCAGAAGATGTATGACCAGCAATTTGCTCCTGGGAAAAATCCAGTCTCTAATGGTGGACATTCTGGAGTGATGATTGGATCAGCGCATGGTGCATTACGGACGTGATCGCAAGATCCAGTATTGCGGTTAAAAACAAGATCTCCAGGGCATGTAATCCAATTCATACCTGGTAAGGTGCATGCACGGTATTGTTTACAGGTTGGATCTGCTGGGTTTGCAACCTGATTGAAAAAAGGTTTTTGTTTTGATTGAAAAATAAACTTTTAAAGAAACACAATTATTTACCATAAGACTAGCAGTAGGGCAGAAAGAAGATGGAGCATTGCATAGATCATTCTCAAGGACACAAGAACCAGTGCCTGGTAAGGTGGGATCAAATAGATAATACATAGAACCTTGATTTCTACAGTCGACTTGATGAACAGCAATTAATTGTGTTGGAATTGTTTCATTCCATTGACAGTATAAATAGCCATGGCAACTTGATGGATCAGGTACATGGGCAAGGGTTCCTTCAGTTCCACATAAAGGTTGAGTCAATTGTGCTTGTTGAAGTGATAAATGTGAGGAAAATGTGACCAATAGAAGGACTGAAGTTACTAGATGTTTAAAATGAAAATCAAATTTTATTAAATTTTTGGATTTTTTTTGTTTTCAATTTAAAAAAAATGTTAAAGGTTTTTTTTTAAATTTTTTTTTATTTTCTTTGGTTTTTTTAACTTCCTTTTATTTTTTAATATTTTTTTAAATTTTTATAATTTTTTTGAATTTTCTTTTATTTTTTTAATTTTTTTTGAATTTTTTTTTGCTTTTTTTGAATTATTTTTTTAAGTAATAAAAATTGTCAAAATTAATTAAGATAATATTAAAGCATAAAAAATATAAACACACATTTAAACATCTTCTTGAACCTTATTCGATTTTTGAAAACGACACTTTAGAATTAAATTTCAACTTTCAGCGACTTTTCACGTTAAAAACTCGCCAAAAACTAAATTAAAATCAACTGAAACGCAAAAATATCGCCACACATGCCATTTATATCAATGGTTTCCTTATCATTTTGCCACTTGTAAGTAGTCGACACGACAATAAATCTTTTGGTATCAAACAAGAATTTCTCATTTTTGATAGCGATCCTGCCGATTGTGATTTTCCAATTTTTTTATAAGGAAGTTTTTAACATTTTTTTGTGCGTGCAATTTTTAAACTTATTTTTGTAGGAAGTTTCACTTCCGAAACATTTGTTTTGATAAGAATTGTTGATGGTTTTCTTTATATTTCAAAAAAAAACACGTGTTAATGCCAAATTTTTCTTGGGAAATTCAATGAACTTTTAGCAAATTTGATCCTAAATGGGTTTTGTTGACATGGTGCTGACTTATTTTTAGTATGGTGTTAAATTTACAACTGTCTAGGCAGTCCAACTGCGCAATTCTCAGCGGGACATTCTGTTTTTTTGAACAAGGTCCCGCCTAAAATCCTTAATGTCCCCCTTTTTTTAAAAATGGCTGTAGATTAAGTGTGTTCCGTTTTTTAGAGTTGAAATCAAAACAAGTCCCGCTTTTTAACCGGAATGGACAGCCTACATATAATATGGTTGCAATATCAGTTTAAAAAACATCTGTCAACCTTTTGCCAACCTCTTTAAAATTCTTTTTGTTACTCGGAATCGGATTGTCTGCTGGTGTTGAGAATATATTGGTGACTTATCATCCTTCGGTTTACATAATGTTTTAAAGGCTCAGATTTATGAGTTGCGATTGCATATCTTTTGTACTATACCCTATAAACCTTGAGTTTTCAGTGGAATCTCAACCAATTGTCTATGTAGAACTAAACTTAACATAATTTAGCATTAATTGGATTTACATAACCTATAATTTCAACATTTGACTTGTTTGGCATCATGTGTGGTTGAGAATAAGTCCATGGTGTACTAGTATCTACAAATGGGTTTAAATATTTGTTATCCTGTTACAAAAAGTATTGTCGATGTCACAAGGGTTTGCACTATGGTCACGACATTTTAACTTTGTGCCGATGTTGCTCAATTCGAATGATTTAAGTTACAAGCAGCTGAAATATGAAAAACTTATGAATAAAAATAATAATCAAACGACAAATAAGTGCTATGAATTGCAGCTATCTTAAATTGCTATTTTAGTACCTTTTTATCGTTTGCACTTTTTTAATTATCAGCAGTCTTAGATTATCAACTTTTGTGGAATTAATTAATGGTTATTTTTAAATTTTTTTTGTACCATAGATTTTGTACATTAGCAAGCTCTTGATTATACTTTTAAAGCTGCAGACATGAAGCATACTTTAACAAATTGAACGTCAGCGCATTTAACGTGTCGTTCTAGCGAAAAAATCGACGAATCTCACGTGCTGTTTTGGTCATAGCTGTGTAGTGGTAAATCTAAGTTATAAGCATGAACTTTGTTTGTTAGGCAAAGCTAGTAAGTATAGATTATAACAGTGAATGCCAAACACTGTGCCATATCCAGGAATTGTGTCGTCATCTTCATTGAACCAAATCCTGAATGTTTGCACAGATTTATAAGGTTGCAATAAAATCAATTTGTCACAAAAACTGAAATCATTTGTTAAGTAATAAAAACTAATTTGTTAATTTTAAATTTTTAAAATATCTTTTGTGCCATAATCCAGGAAAGCATTAAAATTTTCCTAAAAATTTATTTAAAACTTTTACAAAGTATTCGTCATTAAATTTGCATATTAGTTGAGATGTACAGCTCTCAAAAATCTATTAAATCCAGAAAGTGCGTTGACTGTCTTAACTCTTTGAATTTCAAATGTACGTATGCATGCTGGTGGATCAGAATCTGGAATACATTGTCGCTCAGTTTGATCAAATAACAATCCAGTTCCACAATTAAATCTTCCAGTAATTGCACCATTTTCACATAAGATAAAGCTATAGCATGTCTCGCCTGGGTAGTTACCATTAGCACCTACTGGACATCCAGCTGGTGTAGATCCAAATGGATTGCATGGTGCTCTGTCTGCAAAGTCACATGTTCCTGTATTACGATTAAACACGAGTGGTTCACGACATGAACTGAATGGTGATGATACTGAGCGGCATGGACGATGTTCGCGGCAAGTTGCATCATCTGGATTTGCGATCTGAAAATAATTCATGATTGATGGGCCACAAAACTAGTAAATTTTCTCATAACTCACCATGATTTCATCTGTACCAGCAGGTGGGCACATTGATGTTGCTGAACATTCAGGGAAACTGTCTGTACACACTCCTGAAGTTCCAGTTGGATCTGGTCGGAAGAATGTTGATCCTTGAGCACGACAATCGAGTTGATGAACTGATGTTAAGGTTGGTGGAGTTACTGTCCTATCCCAGTTGCACCATAAGTAGGCATTACAGCTGGATGGATCATCAACCCAAATTCTTGTTCCGTCAGTTCCACAAAGGTTTTGTTGTTGTTGAGACAAGTGTGATGAGATGAGGGTGATGGCAAGTACGAGAAATGCTGGAATGTTAGAAAAATGAAATTTGAATTTAAAATTAAAAAAAAAAAACAATTAAAAGTTTCTAATCTACAAAAATTTAAAATAATTCAAAATAATTTGAAATAATTTAAAATAATCTGAAATAATTTCAAAAAGTTTAAAACAATTTAAAATAATTCAAAATAATTTAAAATAATTTGAAATAATTTCAAAAAGTTTAAAATAATTTAAGATAATTTAAAATAATTTACAAATTAAAAACTGAAATTTCAAAATAATTTAAATTTAAAAAAATTGAATTTAAGAAAAATTAAATTGTAAGAAAGTTAAATTTCTTAAAAAAGCAAAATTTTGAAATATTAAAATGTTTACAAAAAATAAAATTTTAAAAATAATTTAAATTTAAAAAAATCGAAAGTTAAAATAAAGAAATTGAAAAATCAATTTCAAACCCAAAAGTTTAAAACATAAACCTTAAAATTTATTACTAAAGTTAATTTAATTCCTCAACTTACACCTGTGAACCATTTTTATTCGATTTAAGTTCAACAATTTTTTCAAAAATAATTTTTTGCAGCTATCGACCGCAAGAAACTGCGTGAAAATCAAACTGAAAATAAAAATGAAGTTCGCACATTATATTCTCAATGAAAAAAAAAAGTTTTCTTTATCTTAACGGAACTTTATTGGGTTTTGGTACTTAACAAGTCCACTGATAAATTTTTTATCAACATTTTCAATTATTTGATAATATTTTTTTTACCAACCGTGACCTTCTCCATGTTGTGAATTATTTACAAATATTTTAGTTTTTTTTTTATCAATTCGAAGATCATTTCAGGGACATTTGGAGATTTTTTACAGAAAATGATGTCCAGGAGTGCTGCAAGGTTGTTCAGCTAGCATTTAAAAGCTTCTGATCATTTTTCAACTTTACCTAATGTTACTAATATTTATTATTTTTTTGTAGCTAGTCAATTTTTGATAAAAGCTAGGCTATCAAATGATTTTTGATCAAAAAGAGGAGAAAATCTCAATTTGAAAGATTTAAAGGTTTTAAAAGTTTGACAATTAAAGTTTTAAGGAGGAAAATTCTTAAAAAATCAAAAATTCTAGGTAAAAAATGCAAAAAACAAATTTAAACAGATCAAAACATTCAAAGTTGCTTCAAATTGGCAATAATTATTTTTTTTGAGTTATATAACCTCAAATTTCTTGCAAAACCATTGTTCTAGGAAGATAAAAATGATGCAAATTTTAATTTTAATTGCATTCATATAAAAACTCATTAATATCGCACAAAGTTGTTGATTGTTTTTGATTATTGACGAATAAATAAACTGGCTTTTATCATAATTAAGCATGTAAATTTATTGACAAGCTTCAATATGGATGAAACATAAGGTTTAAAATTATTAATTAAAAATATTATTTAATGAAAGCTTAAAAGTGCACTTTTTAAAATAAATTTCATTATTTTTGTCATTTAAATTTCAACTTAAAAAAGATTATTTTTAAATATTATATGAAAAAGTCCTTTGTTATAATTTTCATCAAACTCGAGTAATTAAGGTTCACTTGTATCGAAATTAATCTTTTTTAATGAACTTTTTAGTTTTTCTTTATTTTAATTATTTTAAAAAATGTCGCAATTAAGATAATGAATTTTGTTTTAATTTACCTTTTTGCTCTGCTAAGCAGAAACCACCAGATGCAACGCTGATAAGAAAAAAAAAATGATTTTTCAATTTACGAGATTCACTGCAATTGCAATATTTAGATCAGTGGTGTTCAACCTTTTTTTTTGCCACGGCGCTCTTGGTATTAAGCCATGACAATAACCGCACACAGCATACGGTTCGAGAAATATCCTAAATTTATTATTATGCCCGACACTAGTGTGCCGTAGCACATGGGTTTGCTATCACTGATTCAGATTATTAAAGTAATAAAAAATTAAATTTTAACCTCGTGGGAAAAATATTTTGATGGAAAATCAATGAAAATTTTGATTAGTAAATTTAAAAGAGAAATAAAAATTGAATTTTTTAAAAGCTTTTCGTTTATTTTTTATTTAACTTACAAAAATAATTTTTCTAGAGTTTTTTTATATATAAATTAGAGCTTTAAAAGATGAAATTGATTTTTTTATGCATTTATTTATATCTTTAAAGTTTTTTAAAAATATTATTTAAAATCATTTTTCATATTAAATTAATTTCAAGAGTAAAATTCAATAGAATTATTTTCAAATATTTATTAAAAAAAATTTAAATTACAAACAAAAATATTTTATTGTATTTATTATTTTGAAAAATTATTCCAAGTTAAATGCAAATTGAAAATCTATCAAAAATTAAAATAGATTTTTTTGAAAAAAAAAATTAAATCAAAAGAATGGAATTTTAAGTTTTTAAAACCATTTTTTTTATTTTTCACTTTTTAAAATTTATATTTAAGATATAATTACATTTTCTTGATCAGATTTTGAAAAATATTTAAATAAAATGTCTGAAGGCTACAAAATTTTATTTGTCATGCATTTTTTTGAATATTCTTTCTTCATTTATCAAAAGTTTTTTTTAAATTTCACATTTTTTAAATTTTCGAATGAACTTTTGATATTAAAAAGAAAGAGCATTTGTGGGGCTCATGATAATTGACTTGCATGACTTTTAAAATAGTTTTTTTATTTTAAATTAATTTTATTGGTTCCATTTATTTTTTAAAATGTCTCAAAAAATATTTCAAAACTTTATTATTTATTTAAATTTATATTTTAGACTAAAAAACTACAATTTTTCATTACAATACATTTTGTTGTGTTTGACGGGCTTAAAATCTAGTTTTTAAACATTTTCTAATTGTTAAATGAAATCAATCACATTTAACTTAATTTTAATCTTTTATTTCAGTTTTAAATATTTTTATATCCATTCACATTATTTTCAATCAACAATTTAAACAACAAATTTCACAAAAGCATTCAAAATTTTCACACAATACAAATTTTTATTTATTTACACCCCCGCAAAAAAATCTCATTTCAATTCCAATCTAAAATCCCATTCGATGTATCACGCTTAACTATAGCTGCGTCATCTGAGTCTCATGCATCGTGTCAATTTGTCTGCCATTGCTGTCCATTTCCACAAAACCTTGACTACTTCCATTTCCAAATCGTTTTGTAATCTTTCGGAACCATCGGGGTAGAAAAATTAGTGAGAATGTTTCGCGGAATTGTCTTGACATCGTGCAGTAAAGGATGAAGTTTATTGAGGAATTGAGGAGGGCTAGGAAGTCCATCAAGTCACCTGAAAGTGGAATTTCAAATTATTAACTTTAAATTCAATGAATTTGGTTTATAGAAGTCAAGTAGAGTAGAGAAATACAAAAGTTTTGTGATTTTAATTCAAGTCTTTGATCCATAATTCAAGTTAACTTGAAGGACACTCTGGTCTTTGGCCAATAATCCAAGTCAAGTTGAGAGGTACTCTGATTTTTGGTTAATAATTCAAGTCAAGTTGAGAGGTACTCTGGTCTTTGGTTTATAATTCAAGCCAACTTGAGAGGTACTCTGGTCTTTGGTTTATAATTCAAGCCAACTTGAGAGGTACTCTAGTGTTTGGTTCATAATTCAAGTCAACTTGAGAGGTACTCTAGTCTTTGGTTAATAATTCAAGTCAAGTTGAAAGGTACTCTGGTCTTTGGTTCATAATTCAAGTCAAGTTGAGAGGTACTCTGGTCTTTGGTTCATAATTCAAGTCAAGTTGAGAGGTACTCTAGTTTTTGGTAAATAATTCAAGTCAAGTTGAAAGGTACTCTGGTTTTTGGTTAATAATTCAAGTCAAGTTGAGAGGTACTCTGGTCTTTGGTTAATAATTCAAGTCAAGTTGAGAGGTACTCTGATTTTTCGTTAATAATTCAAGTCAAGTTGAGAGGTACTCTAGTTTTTGGTAAATAATTCAAGTCAAGTTGAAAGGTACTCTGGTTTTTGGTTAATAATTCAAGTCAAGTTGAGAGGTACTCTGGTCTTTGGTTCATAATTCAAGTCAACTTGAGTTGTACTTTAGTCGTTGGTTAATAATTCAAAAGCAAGTTCAAATGTGCTCTGGACTTTAAATGCCAACCTAAAATAAGGGATAAAAAGGTATTTGAATCTCAACTCATGTCAAGTTGAGGGGTAAGAAGGTCTTTGAATTCTAATTTAAGTCAACTCGAATAGTTAAAAGTTTTATAAATTCTATTTAGAATCGAGTTGAGAGGTACGCAGCTATTTAATCAAAAATAATTCAAATTTTAAATCTTACCCAATTTCTGATAGCAATAAAGATAAAAATCATGATGAAGAAGCGCCGAGAGTAATCCAGCCACTCCCTGTGGGAATTCAGTAATCAAGAATAACAAGAGAACAGCAATCAACATTCTAGTCGTGCGGTCAGCTTGCTTCTTCTTGGTCAGTAACTTTTCCGACATTTGATGATTTCCGATCAATTTTTCTTTCCTCTTTTTGGCCTCGTAAAGTGCTCGAATGAGTTGAAGTGAAAAATAAGTCAACAAAATGCACGGAAGTAATTTAATTATGACTGAATAAACCCACAAGAATGCTTTGTCGTGCTGCTGATAGAATTTTGATGTATGAACGTAATATTTTGTGATTTTACGAATTTCCAAGCCAGTCTCTTCATTGATCAGTAAAACATCCGTCATATTTCCTTTAACTTCCGAGTTGTTGTAGGCATAAACATACATATCACTGCTAAACACCCCAAGGGTCATATAGTAAGGCAAACAAATAATTGGACTTATCACATATGACGCTGCAATCGCCCACATTGTACGTTTCATAATGGAATTCTTTCTATTTGGATGACAGACCGACACGTAGCGCCAAAGGGCTAAAATTATTGTTAAAAATATCGAAACTGTGTGTGCTGTCTGGCTCAGCATCGCGTGGGTATAAATGTAATGTGCATAGCTGTATGTCAGTCTCTCCAGTCGTGTATTCAAATCAAATGCATAGTCAAAGGCATAAGGAACGTAAACGAGCATCACGAGAAAGTCTGAAACAGCGAGTGCTGCTAAAATGTAATTTATATGCGTCCTTAGTTCTTTTCGCGTTAAAACAATAAAGTTAAGGACGTTTGTGATGCATCCAAATATGCAAATGCACAGACTCAGCTTGAAGTGGATTCGATTGAAACTGCGGATGAAAACAAGAAAAAATTGAGAAAATTAATTGAAAATTGAGATGATTGGAAATTAATTTATTCAAATTTTATGGATTGTAGTTGAATAATTGTAAGATTGATGACAAGGGTTTCATAGATTGGATGAATATGAGGAATGAGATGAGATCATTGACATGTTTGATACAATCTTCAAAGTTGAGTTATTTATTGAAAGGATTTATGAATATGGAGTTATGCTTATTGATCTTAAAACTTGATGAATTGATTTAAAAATCAAATATTGACTACAATCTGGAACAAATTCACCACAAAATAGAATAAATTTATAAAGAACTGGAATAAATTCACCACAAACTGGAAGAAATTCACCACAAACTGGAACAAATTTCACCACAAACTCGAATAAATTCACTACAAACTTAAATAAATTCACCACAAACTTGAAAAAATTCACCATTAATTAGAAAAAATTCACCAAAAACTGCAATAAATTCACCACAAACTGAAAGAAATTCACAAAGAACTGGAATGAATTCACCACAAACTAGAATAAATGCACCACAAACCAGAATAAATTCACAAAGAACTGGTACAAATTCACAAAGAACTGGAACAAATTCACAAAGAACTGGAACAAATTCACAAAGAACTGGAAGAAATTCACAAAGAACTGGAACAAATTCACAAAGAACTGGAAGAAATTCACAAAGAACTGGAACAAATTCACCACAACAAGTACAAATTCACCACAAACTGGAACAAATTTACAAAGAACTGGAACAAATTCACAAAGAACTGGAAGAAATTCACCACAACAAGTACAAATTCACCAGAAACTGGAACAAATTTACAAAGAACTGGAACAAATTTACAAAGAACTGGAACAAATTCACCACAAACTTGATTAAATTCACTACAAACTGGAATAAATTCACCACAAACGGGAACAAATTCACCACAAACTAGAATAAATTCACTACAAACTAGAATAAATTCACCAAAAACTGGAAGAAATTCACCACAACAAGTACAAATTCACCACAAACTGGAACAAATTTACAAAGAACTGGAACAAATTCACAAAGAACTGGAAGAAATTCACCACAACAAGTACAAATTCACCAGAAACTGGAACAAATTTACAAAGAACTGGAACAAATTTACAAAGAACTGGAACAAATTCACCACAAACTTGATTAAATTCACTACAAACTGGAATAAATTCACCACAAACGGGAACAAATTCACAAAGAACTGAAACAAATTCACCACAACAAGTACAAATTCACCACAAACTGGAACAACTTTACAAAGAACTGGAACAAATTCACAAAGAACTGGAAGAAATTCACCACAACAAGTACAAATTCACCAGAAACTGGAACAAATTTACAAAGAACTGGAACAAATTCACAAAGAACTGGAACAAATTCACAAAGAACTGGAACAAATTCACAAAGAACTGGAACAAATTCACAAAGAACTGGAAGAAATTCACAAAGAACTGGAACAAATTCACCACAACAAGTACAAATTCACCACAAACTGGAACAAATTTACAAAGAACTGGAACAAATTCACAAAGAACTGGAAGAAATTCACCACAACAAGTACAAATTCACCAGAAACTGGAACAAATTTACAAAGAACTGGAACAAATTTACAAAGAACTGGAACAAATTCACCACAAACTTGATTAAATTCACTACAAACTGGAATAAATTCACCACAAACGGGAACAAATTCACCACAAACTAGAATAAATTCACTACAAACTAGAATAAATTCACCAAAAACTGGAAGAAATTCACCACAACAAGTACAAATTCACCACAAACTGGAACAAATTTACAATGAACTGGAACAAATTCACAAAGAACTGGAATAAACTCACCACAAACTGGAATAAATTCACCAAAAACTGGATGAAATTCACAAAGAACTGGAAGAAATGCACTACAATCTAAAATTCACCACAAACTAGAAAAAAATCACAAAGAACTGGATCAAATTCACAAAGAACTGGAAGAAATTCACAAAGAACTGGAACAAATTTACAAAGAACTGGAACAAATTCACCACAAACTTGATTAAATTTACTACAAACTGGAATAAATTCACCACAAACGGGAACAAATTCACCACAAACTGGAATAAACTCACCAAAAACTGGAAGAAATTCACAAAGAACTGGAACAAATTCACAAAGAACTGAAACAAATTCACCACAACAAGTACAAATTCACCACAAGTTGGAACAACTTTACAAAGAACTGGAAGAAATTCACTACAAACTGGAATAAATGCACCACAAACCAGAATAAATTCACAAAGAACTGGAACAAATTCACCACAACAAGTACAAATTCACCACAAACTGGAACAACTTTACAAAGAACTGGAACAAATTCACAAAGAACTGGAACAAATTCACCACAAACTGGAATAAACTCACCAAAAACTGGAAGAAATTCACAAAGAACTGGAACAAATTCACAAAGAACTGAAACAAATTCACCACAACAAGTACAAATTCACCACAAACTGGAACAACTTTACAAAAAACTGGAAGAAATTCACTACAAACTGGAATAAATGCACCACAAACCAGAATAAATTCACAAAGAACTGGATCAAATTCACAAAGAACTGGAACAAATTCACCACAACAAGTACAAATTCACCACAACAAGTACAAATTCACCACAAACTGGAACAACTTTACAAAGAACTGGAACAAATTCACCACAACAAGTACAAATTTACCACAAACTCGAATAAATTCACCACAAACTAGAATAAATTCACAAAGAAGTGGAACAAATTCACCACGAACTGGAACAAATTCACAAAGAACTGGAATAAATTCACCACAAACTGGAACAAATTCACCATAAAAATTATCAAAAAAGAGAAATCAAATTGCACAATATTCTGAGAAAAATTGCTCACTCAAGCAAAACTCGCATCGATTTATTAATATTTTACATTGCAGCTTTCATATCCGTTCTCAAAGTGATACACCCACACCTGCTCGGTATCAAAAGCTGCATATATATTGCTATCAATGAAGAGTATTAAATTTTGATTAATTTATGAAACTGTATCGATGAATTAATTTTTGAATTGTTTTACTGAGAATTCTTAAAGCTTCCTGAAACTTAAACTTGACGTAAAATCCACCCAAACCCCATCTCATGTCTAGTTCTATCCAGTGAAGATAATCATAATATAATTAGCAGTAATTGCAAGTCCAACTGAGCATTATGCATCACATGATGAAGTTTATGAAAGTAATTAAAATTAACAGAATCAATTTTACAGTTTGGTACATTAAAAAGTCTACGGCTGCTCATTTTAATTAAAAACTTTTAATGTGCATGAAAATTTTCATATTTTGTTGTTATTTTGAATGTGTTTTTATGATTTGCATGCTGTAAGAGTTGAAATTTTTTTAAAACGAGCGTGTTTTTAGATGCAAAAGTGTCATTTAGGATGGAACAATGGCCAAGGGGAACAAAGCTTTGTGTAAAAAAAATTATATGATAAAAATTTAAAAGATTAGATCAAATTTAGAGCATTTTTTCTACAACTTTTGTATTTTTTAACGGAGGGGGAACATAACATGATGGGAAATGATTAGATTTATTGGCATCTCATTAATGATTTTAGTCTTATTTTGCTGGTTTCTTCTTAGAGTTTAACCTTTTTGACCAGTAAATTTAGGAAACAATCGTAGAAAATCTTAATAAAATTACAAAATTTCCACAGAAAAACAATTTTGCTCAAAGCTAATCTCTCCTTTGAATTCCAAATATTACTAAGTTCTTGAACTGAAAAATCTATGTCTCATCAAGTGAATAAAGTAAAAAGGTAAAAAACTAGAAAAAACATCACTTTGTGCGCTATATTTAGCGATAAACTGTAAAGTTTCTCCTTAAAAATGACTCACAATTTTTAAAACATCCAAAAATTAGCATTCGTGCATCATATTTTGGGTAGCCATTAAAGAAGTTCCATAAAAACTCCCGCAAACCATCAAAAAAGTTTTTATTCATGCGTCATATTTTGTGCAGACAGTAATGTTTTCACCCATAAATGACGCACATTATCAGAAAACCTATCCAAAATATGCAAATCATTCACCCTAAGGACACTTACCTCAGCCAGTTAATATGCACAAATTCAACAGCGCAATATTAAAACAGAAACAATAAAAAAAATCCAAAATGATGAAAGCTCACGCTAGTCATTAAAAAATTATTCTTTACAATATTGCTGATGAGCACGAGAACTAAAATTCTTTAGAAAATTTCTTCCATTGTCTTTAGTTAAAATATGTTTGCTGTGGTGTTGAATTTTGCAACAAAGAACGTTGTGCAATAAATTTTAGTTCTAGATTTTTGCTACGGTTGCGGTTAAATTTATATAAACAGCACCTCCTCATATCATTACTTCATTGTTTGCTATTAAAATTTCTTCCATTCATATGAGATTTATTGTCCTGATTGTTGAATTATTTTCATGCAAAAATAGTAAACTCATCGAGCAATGAAATCAAAGCAGCTCATCAGCATGAGTTAATTAGCTTTTTAATGGATGTTGAATTTACTTTACATTATGAAATTTAATTAATATGAATTTTTTTGTTGTAAAGTTGGGAAAATATGGTCGCTATGGTGCTGAATTAACTTAGTTTTAAGGGATTTATGCAAACTTAGCAGACTACCACTCTGGCTTCGATTGCCTGAGTCACACCGGCTTATTTCCAGCTTTAAATCAATCAACCAACTTGTGCCAATCGCGAATCAATCAAAAGAACACAAGATTCAGACTTACAAAGTGTGAAAATCATCCAATTCATTCTGACAGAATGAAAATTCTATCGTGTTATTCATCATGGATTCATCCATTGCCCTTGATTCCGATGTTGCATCAAAAGTTTATCACAAAAGCAATTTCTTCTCGTCTTCCTTTATCTTGCAATGATATCTAAAATGAAAAAAAGTTTTTAAAAGTGAATGAATATTTTTTTCAAACGAAATGGAAAATTAGCATTTTTGAGGTTATGTAAGGTATTTTTTTTGCAATATTGGTGAAAATTCTTTGCAAAGTTATTATTTAAGATTATTGTTGTGGAGATTAAGAGGAAGATGTTTTCAAGTTTATAGAGGAAAAAATGAGTTTTGAGTTGTGGATTGTGAAAAAAAAGAAACTCTTTGAAAGTCAATTTGGTCCCTCCCTATCCCTCTCTATCCCTCCCTATCCCTCCCTATCCCCCCCCCCCTATCCCTCTCTATCCCTCCCTATCCCCCCCTATCCCTCCCTATCCCCCCCTATCCCTCCCTATCCCTCCCTATCCCTCCCCGTCCCTCCCTATCCCTCCCTATCCTTCCCTATCCCTCCCTATCCCTCCCTATCTCTCTCTATCCCTCCCTATCCCTCCCTATCCCTACCTATCCCTCCCTATCCCTCCCTATCCCTCCCTATCCCTCCCTATCCCTCCCTATCCCTCCCTATCCCTCCCTATCCCTCCCTATCCCTCCCTATCCCTCCCTATCCCTCCCTATCCCTCCCTATCCCTCCTTATCCCTCCTTATCCCTCTCTATCCCTCCCTATCCCTCCCTTTCCCTCCCTATCCCTCCCTATCCCTCCCTATCCCTCCCTATCCCTCCCTATCCCTCCCTATCCCTCCCTATCCCTCCCTATCCCTCCCTATCCCTCCCTATCCCTCCCTATCCCTCCCTATCCCTCCCTATCCCTCCCTATCCCTCCCTATCCCTCCCTATCCCTCCCTATCCCTCCCTATCCCTCCCTATCCCTCCCTATCCCTCCCTATCCCTCCCTATCCCTCCCTATCCCTCCCTATCCCTCCCTATCCCTCCCTATCCCTCCCTATCCCTCCCTATCCCTCCCTATCCCTCCCTATCCCTCCCTATCCCTCCCTATCCCTCCCTATCCCTCCCTATCCCTCCCTATCCCTCCCTTTCCCTCCCTATCCCTCCCTATCCCTCCCTATCCCTCCCTATCCCTCCCTATCCCTCCCTATCCCTCCCTATCCCTCCCTATCCCTCCCTATCCCTCCCTATCCCTCCCTATCCTTCCCTATCCTTCCCTATCCCTCCCTATCCCTCCCTATCGCTATCTATCCCTTCCTACAACGATTAAACTATCAAAATCATCAAAACAGTTTCACCAACAAAGCTCATCAGTCAGAAGAAGTCCAACATGACACCATATTTATTTTTATCACACAGAAAATAAAAAAATGTTGGCAAAATTGAGTCGTTAAGTGCGAAGAAGACAATAAAAGCCACTGAAAAGTCACAAACATGAAAAAAAAATGTGTGAAGAATTGGCATGCAATAAAAAGAGGACAAAAAGGTACTCGACAGGTGTTGAAGTGCCGACAATTATGGTTGGCTTTTTTTTGTATGGTAAACGGAACGATAAAGTGGAAAAAATGGTAATTTTTTGGAAAAAAGAGTCTATTTTTGGGCTTTTAGAAATATCTAATATTCATAAAGTTTATCAGCGAGAGAACCAACTTTAAGGGTTGGTTTTGAATCATTTTATTAGTTTCAACCCCCTTAAATGGCTGATGATGACGTAAAGCTGCACAAGATTTTCATTTGTTTTCGAAATTCATCTCTTTTGCGATTAACGATGCTTAAAGTATGAAACAACTCAGATAAAAATTAAATTTTTTCTTCTATTTTATCTTCACGAGTTTTGTACTTTTCGGTGAGTTTTCTTTTGTCTTGATTTGAGTTTGCGGAACGTCAAAGGAAAGAGTTTTGAGAGCTTTTTATTTTTTTGTTGAATTGTTGCACGTGTTATGAGGGTTTGTAAGGTAGAAGGTGGATGAGATTGTAATGTCTGATCAATGAGGATTTTTAAAGATTTTTGAAATTGTGCGTCATATTTAGGGAAAAGTTTAAAGTTTTCCTCTGAATATTATGCACGACTTTTGAAATCTTAAACATGTCATTTACAGTCATTTACATCATTCTATGAACTTTAGCCAATCTTTATCCTCTTTTTAAATGTCATTCCCGACTCCAGCTATCATTTCCCCATTGTGAAATTTCCTTTTATCTTCTTATTTACAGCCAATTCAACAGGACGACAATAAAACCTGTCAAATGCACAAAAACAGTTTCTAACAATACAAGAAAAAGTAGATAAAATTGATAAATGTCAGGAATTTTTTTTGAAAGTACAAAGAGGCAATAACACGGATGAGCAATTCAAGTATCATTCACTGACTAAGAGTACGATGAGCAATTTAGCTAAATGACCTTGATACCATAAAGAAAAATCACGTGCTGTCTTTTATCGCGCACGTTTTGAAATTTTCGTCTCGTTTTGTATTTAATTGAATGTTGTATTTGTTGAGACTTTTAAATGAAAGTCAATATTCGGAGAGCAACTGTAATGTCTTCCCAAAAAATAGCGCACGTTTCAAAATTTATCATTTTTTCTAGCAAAATTCATTCAAGTTTGTGAGAACATAAATAAATCATTCACAAAAGTCATCAAATCATTCATAAAAAAGAGTTTTTAGCATAATAAATGTCCCTATAAAAATCCCATAAATCCGACAAGTATCATAGAAAATTCAATAAAACACGACTCGTGCGTGGAAGAAGCAACATTAACCAAAAAATTATTGAAAAATTCCACAAAAAAGAAGAAAAAGTCAACAATTTTCTCTCATCGGTCACGTTTGACTTTTCCGCTTATTTTCGTCATCGCATTTCATTCTCAGTTTTTTGTTTACTTTCGAAAGTATTTTATTTTCCTGCTCGTTCGAGCTTGGCGGAAAAATTGATTGAAAAATGAAGTAAAAAGTTTATTTCTACTCGACTGTGTCCAGTCGAATCAAGAAAGGTTTTTAGAAAAAATTGTTTAAATTTCTTCGACTGTTTACAGTTTAGATTCATTCATGGGAAGTTGCACAGTAAATAAATATGAAAATTTAATTTGAGGACTTTAAAAGACATTTTGTAGCTGTAAAGCTTGGCTTATTGTGAGATGCTCAAGTTTCACTCTAGCATCTTTAGCTCAGCTCTAGCTCATATTTAGCTCAGCTCTAGCTCAGCTCTAGATCAGTTCAAGCTCAGTTCTAGCTCAGTTCTAGCTCAGCTTTAGTTCAGCTCTAGATCAGCTCTAGATCAGCTCTAGATCAGCTCTAGCTCAGCTATAGCTCAGCTCTAGATCAGTTCAAGCTCAGTTCTAGCTCAGCTCTAGCTCAGCTCTAGATCAGCTCTAGATCAGCTATAGCTCAGCTCTAGCTCAGCTTTAGCTCTAGCTCAGCTTTAGCTCTAGCTCAGCTCTAGCTCAGCTCTAGATCAGTTCAAGCTCAGTTCTAGCTCAGCTTTAGCTCAGTTCTAGCTCAGCTCTAGCTCAGCTCTAGCTCAGCTCTAGCTCAGTTCTAGCTCAGCTCTAGCTCAGCTCTAGCTCAGCTTTAGCTCAGCTCTAGATCAGCTCTAGCCAAATCAGCATTTAGTTTAGTATGATAGCAAAGCCTATCTCATCCCAACCTACACACAATTGCTATATCCTTCTTTAATTCTGACAATTCATTGTCTTTTCATTCTTCTTTTTAATCCAGCAATAATCGACATTATTTGTTGTTGAAAAATTTCCACAATTTATTTTTATTACATCCTAAATTGCTACCTTCATCTACTCTCATTTCCTTCCCCTCCTTAAAATTTTCATGAGATTCCGTCTCATTAATATTCCGTAAATGAGAGAGCCTTCCATTATGACGTAAATGTTTAGACCATTAGGGTACTGAAATTTATAGCTTCACTTTAATTATTGCGATACTTCAACTCACGCAATTTAGCATTGTAATTTGTAATGTCAAAATATTTATGCCTGGCTACAATGCCTGAGTATTCTGCAAGCTGGTTGATTAAATGTTGCTACACAAAATGAAAATGGATAATTTACGATATTGTAATATTGACTTGTTGTTATGGGCAATTGTATTTATGCGATAAGGATTGTTATTGAGTGACTGGATGTGCTGATGACTGCGTTTTTTATATAGTTCTCATGGTTTAAAGTTGAATCAGGGACAATGAAATGTCCGAGAGGATGTTATTTTCTGAATACAGAACCAACAGGATGCAATTGAATAAAGCTCAACCCGAAAGGATGTAATTTTTTTAAACTCAACCCAAGGGGTCGTTCACTTATGACGTCCATCAAAAAACCTGATTTTTAGACCCCCCTCCCCCCCTCTGTCACAAAATTCTATAAAAAAATCGCTTCTGTTGCATAGGCTGGACTGAACTGTTCTGATAATTTTATCAGAATTCTGTTATTTATCGGAATTGTTCTGTTAATATTATCAGAATTCCGATAAATATCGAAAAAGTTCTGTTAAAAAGTTCAGTTAATAAAATTGCGATTCGCAATTATTTTTCAGAACTGTTCTGTTATTTATCAGAATTCTGTTAATTTTTTTTTCATATTTAATAAATTATTTTAAATAATAATAAAAAGAAGTTAAATCATAAGTCTAAACGTCATTTTCAAATATAACTTCCTGTATAACTCAAAAAAAAAAACACTTGAGGTTTATAAGTCCTGACACAAACTGGAGTTGGACTTAAAAACCTCACATGTAGATCACTATTCCGGAAATTTATAAATATTTATAATTAAACTCACAGTGTAATTATGAGTAGTCTCATTTTTCTGGGTGTCAAACCCAAATCCTAAAACGTATCCCAAATGATTGAAAAATTTCTGAGCTATTCAAACCAGAAATAAATCAAATGATTCATAAATATTGTATAGCCCAAGACGCTTCAAATGAGCGGTTTATTTTAATATAAAAGATACTCTAGAGTAAATCTGCAAAATTATGAAACTGGCGAAAAGCGAGTTGTAATATTTCTCTACTTGCAAAAATTTGAAAAATAAAAACTCAATTTTTTACAATTTTTGAACAAAAATAAACATTATTTTT